CCGTCCGCCACGCCCTTGGTACCCGCCAGCAACACCGCTGAAAGCGCCAGGTAAGGGTTCGCGAGGCCGTCGATGCACTTGAACTCCCAGTGGCTATCCTCGATCTTGCGCAGTGGCGTCTCGCGGTTCTGAGTGCCCCAGGCCACCCAAGTACCACCAGCCCAGCAGCCGTCCAGCACCCGTTCGTAGCTAACCATGCTGCTGTATGTAAAGGCGGTTATAGCCCGAAGGTGCTTCAGGACACCAGCGTAGAATGGCTCATACACCTCCTTGTCCGAGCCCTTGGCCGATGAGATGGACAGGTGTACATGAGCCGCCGTTCCACAAGCCATGGCGTATGGCTTGGGGTGCAGTGTCATGCGGAAACCTCGAGCCGTAGCACAGCTGTTGATGACATCTCGTGCGTAGAGAAGAGTGTCTACTGCCTCGAGCGCAGGTGCCTTAGGTAGAATAACCTCGTACTGCCCATTGGCACTCTCAGGGTGTACCATTTCGATGTAGACACCAGCAGCGTCGAGCTGTTCGATGGCGTCCTCGAGAACTTCGATCGCCTCGTGCTCCATAGCTCGTCCCACTGACCATGCATGCCCATCACCGTTGAGAATCTCGTATTTGGTCTCTTCTCCACGACGGAAGAGGACGAGCTCAATCTCGAACCCAAGGGTAAACGACAGGCCTTGCTCGGCTGCCTTGGCAATAGTCTTCTTCAATAGGGTTCTTGGGCAAAGAGCAACAGCCGAACCGTCCTTCTCCTTGAAGTCACCCATGACTGTGATATGACCCTTCCGAGGACCGAGGCGCAGAGTGTTGAGATCTGGATGCAGTCTGTATTCTCCTGTTGGTGTGACATTGGGTGCTGGGACATCAACCTGCAGAAGACCAAGGCCGGCCTTTGTTACGCCAAAAGTAAAGTCCTCGCCGTTGCGAAGCAGAGACCACACCCTGCGCATTGGGATAGCTCTCATCCGAGGCATCGCTGTGAAGTCGTTCCAGTACACCCGCAGGAACCTGGGCTCCTCTTTGTTCTTCAGGAACCGAGCCAAGGTTGCGATATTCTTGTGCTCGGATCCCTCAAGCCTATAACTAGAGTCTGGCTGCAGAGGTCGGAACGCCAATCTGAGATCATAGAGCTTGTTTGCGTTGTTGAACAGGATATCCTTGACCAGCTGGCCTGCTTGCGACCAGGTCAGGTCCCCCTTGTAGACATAGTCAACCAGAACAGTTTCCAGGACTTCCCGGAGCTGGTCCACGGCCAAAACGTACGTCTCGGGGAACCAGTGGCCATCCGTGCTCCAGAGGATCTTGGATACGGGGCAGAGTTCCAGAATCTGGCGGACGACTCCCTCCTGTCCGTCACGGCTCAGGAAGGGGAACACCTCGCCAATGTCTGCGTACACATTGCTGTAAACTGTGGCAAGATACCCTAGCTCGCGGGTGAAAGGGTAACCGGCGTGGAGAAGTACAATAGGCACTTCGGGGTATGTCTTGATGAATTCCTGCAGATGGGCAGGCGACGACTTGTTAAGGGTGATGTCGTTGTCGCCAAGGCCTGTGTGGAACTGCACAGGCTTCTTGTGCTCGTCCTCGCTATTTTGTATCAAGCCTGCCAGGATATGGAGGAAGTAGTCGTTGAGAGGCTCATGCTCAAGTCGTGTGAACTTCTCAGCACCTTCTGCCTTCCTTTCGTCAAATACAACCTGGAATTTTGACATGAGGAGCTCCAGGTCGGTGATCTGAACCACGTCGAGGCCAGTCCGATAACAGATGACGGACTTGAAGCCGACGACCTCAGGGTCATCGAGGGCGTCGTAGATAGCATCCATAAAGTTCTCGACGGCTCCCGAGAATGCCTCTGAAGGGTGGGAGAACGAAGCACATGCCCGTTCAATGCAATCAGCGGCGACCTCTTCAATGCGGAGGATACGCTTGTTGGGGCTTCTCGTATAGGCGTCAAGCGTGTTGTAAGGCTCAACATCAGCCGAGTTGCCCAAACCATCATCGACGAGGATGTTCTCGATTCCCGAAAGACAAGTCCGGATCCATTCCTGGTAGTTTCCCCCTTGCTTCCTCACGATTGCCGCCTCGACAGCTTCCCAGGTTGGCTCAGTTCCGAGAAGTCCAGACAGATGCTTCACGGTGCGGATGTGAGCGAGGCTGGTACGGGATGAGTCGAGGGCATCACCGTTAGCCTCGGTAGCGATAGATAGGAGTGAATGCTTCCTTATCGCGCCGAGCTTGAGCAGCGGGTGTGCGTGATGGTCGATGATGGGAGTGGTCTGGATGACCCGCCGAAGTGCCTCTTCGGTGTTGACCTGATCCACCGCCATCTTTTGCTTGTGCAGGAAGAGATTTCCCTTCCCTAAGCTGCAATTGAGAGACTTCTGGTGGGGGAGAATATGTTGGACGCTGACGTGCTCGCTGGTGTGGATAGTCGAGTTTGGAGTACAGAGTAGCGCAAGTCTATAATCTCACCTCCTAGGAACGGCAAGTTGAAGGTCAGCAATGGAATCAAGGGCTAGAGAAACGAAGAAAAAAGAGCACTCGGCAGATCACTAATGATGACACGACACGGTAGGGCGAGTTGCATCATCGGGCGTTGCCGCGTATGCCCTGGCAGGGACTGAGACATGGAAGGCGCGGAGAGAAGCAATTTGCGACTTGCAGTTGTTAATGGGGCACTGGTTGACCTGCATATGTACCATGACTTAAGCTCCTCTAAGGGTAAACATAAGATAAATAAAAGGTAATAAGAAAACGAAAAAAAGATCCAATATCAACTACATTACAAATTTAGTCTTGAGTTTACTAAGAGTCAGACTAGATCTTTGCCGTTCTGATGTCTTAGTTATTTCTTAACTGGCTTTGAGACACGGGCATACAACTTGGGGGATTGTGATGAAAAGCCCGCACTCGGCGGAAAGATATGTGATGTGATAGTTACAAGGGGTGTTATCCGTGCCTGTTGATTCCTTTTTCAAACATCTCGATTGAAACCCCTCGTGAGGCTCTACTGCATCGCCATGTCAGGATATCCTCGCATCGCGCATGGAGTTGAAAATCATGGTGGACCCGGAGCAGACGTCGATCCCCCGTCTAAAATCAGATCTGCAAGGAAAATGGGAGAAAGCTTGGCCCTGGCAGGACCTGCTCGGAGCAGCGTCGCTCTTTGCTCCGTCGTCGAGATTAACGGAGCAGGTAACAAGCCCGAGCCCAGGGCAGCAAATAGCAAATAGCTTGTTTCTAGATGAATGTTGACTTGACACCAAGGGCGCCATCTTCCTTGGAACTACCCGTGTTCTTTTTTGATGCTCTTATTCATCTTGGCTTCAGGACCAGGGCCATCAAGAAAAAAACCCCTGGCGTAGCGTGCCCCCAATCATATGCGGCTAACCTTTCCAAGGACAATCGTCTCCATCCCCCGGACTGGCCGTATAAACTTCATGACTTTTGCCGTGGAGCTGAGTGGACCAGCGTAAAAGTATCACGGCAGTCTTTCACAGCTTCAAAAGTAAATACCGAACCATCCGTCGTCGTCAGCTTTGAGCTGAAGACAATCAATGGATCCGTCCATTGTGAGAGTCTCCGCCAAGGCTCGGCCTCGTCGCCTCAGCTGGGCTTGGTCGCCCGGAAAGCATCGCCCATGGCGGCGCTAATCCATTCCATCCGAGAAAGAACCTGAACCTTTACTGGACGGGTACCTATGTGCCTGTCCGCGACCTTTGATCTGGGCCTGTGCTTTTCTTTTCCTTTGGTTGAGATGGCCCGGCGGCCGATCATTTCCTCTTGCTGGGTTATGGACGCTCATCACCCGCAGACGAACTGAACCCAGATTCTGAGCTTGTTTGTCGGGCGTAGCATTCGCAGGTAATTACTGGAAATAAGCGACTTGGTCAAATGTTGCATGCGGAAGCTGCCAGACCGAGAGAAACCTCCCGCCCACGGTAAAACCAGCTGCTTTCATAAGATGAAACTGCCATGGCAATGATCTGGACCCATGTTTCTTTTCCGCTGGTGGGCCGACGCCGTGTTGTCGCAATTGTCCACTGAGCAATTACCACCACCTCCACTGGAGGTCACTAAGAGTGCAGCGCTAGACTGCAACTGGCCCAGCACCGCGACTGCACCGTGTTCTAGGTCGACCTCGATGCCCGCCATCTATTGACCATCCGTCCATGAATTCCGCATCTTACTCTGTGCAAATTCTTGTCTCTGTTGTTCTCATCTGCCTCTTCCATTCATTCCCTTCTCTCCTTCATCGCCGTTTCTTCCCTTCTTAGACGTTGAGCTCAAGGTATTATCTCCTCATCCACCTTCCACGCGTTCTCCATAGCCCAAGAGAGCCAAGCTTTACTGCCACGCCTCGGTCCCACGCTGCCCCAGCCAGTACCAGAACCTCTGTCGATCGCTACCCTTTCGCTCTCTGTTCTCTCCCTCCCTTCCTCTCCATCCCCCAGCTCTCCCCGTCCCCCAGTCCCCCGTCTCCGCTCTCTGCAGCTGCTGCCAATTCTCCGGACTCAAACTCTGCTGGGAGACCTCGAATGCTCACCAGGCAAAGATAGGCATCAGAGTCGGCCAATCCGTCCCCCCTTTGCTAGATAGATCCATCATCGTCGTTGTTGAGGACGGCCGACTCGGGACGACCGAGTCAGCACACCACGGGGCAGCCCTCGACTCTTCGCCTCCCTTGGCCGTCTTGCCGATCATCGATCCACAAACCGCAACGTTCCTCCGCGACCGCAGCTACCGACCAGATCGACCACCTAGACGTAGCCGAGAACCACCACGACCGGAGAGACTCTGGGTGTTGAGACGAGGACGCGAGACGAGCTTCATCGAAGCTCTCACTCCCCAGCAAAAGGCCGTCGTCTGCCTCCCACCTTGAAGCACGAATTCTCGCAACCGCCCTGTCCGCGCCTTCGACCGACCGACCGATCTGAACGACACAACGATGCCGCGCCGTCGTGCTCGGCCCTCGATCTCTTCTCTCTAGCCTGCCTAACATGAGGATCGCCATTCGCGAGCAGCTCGCAGCCCTCGTCGTCTTTGCTGTCCTCGTCGGTCTCGCTGTTGTCTCTATCCCTACCTGGATCTATGTCAACCGTTTCGTCGTCGATGTTGAGCGCGAGGGTTTGACACTTACGGCCTCACTCAAAGCCTCGCGCATTTCCGCAGAGCTGAACCTCGTCCAGACTAGCTGCATCACCATCGCCTCTCGCATCCTCCTCCAGGATGCCCTCACTGACTTTTACGACACTGGCAGTCGGGACTGGGATGCCGCCAGGGAGGATCTCCAAAGTGCTCTCGCCGTCAGCGCGTCTACGGGGTTGTTGCAGATGAGGTTGTACTCGAGGAATCAAACGGGTGCTTCGCGAGGTGGTCTGCTCAATGTCACGTCTCCCGTGGTCCCCACGATCGCCTTGCCTTACAGGGACTCGTCTGGCAATGAGGTCCTCCTTGGTGACGATGGTCCGGGCTATCCCCCGAGCCTCTACCCCAACATCACCTACGTCGACCTCGGCCACCCAAATACCATCAGGAATAATACTACAGCTGTGGCTGCAGAGGCCTTCAAGGACGTGCGCATCTACCGCGATGGGGGCCTGCTACTGGGCCCGCTCGTTCTCAATGAGACAACGTCTCTCCTGTCCGTATCGATACCCATTCGAAGCAATAACGATACCTTCATACTCGGTTATATGACCGTCGTCACACTGGCCAAGTCCCTTACCCTCATACAAGAGTCTCGCGAAGGGTTAGGGAAAACAGGCTCGGTCCTACTCATAGGACCTACCGATCGCTCAAATCGCTTCAATGCGTCGTACCCTGCGAGCAACGCGACCTACCTCCCTGACTCGGAAGAGTTTGGCAACCTCATGGTCAAATTCATCCTCCCCCCCAAGACGCCCGAGGGCTATAGTGACCGCCATAGCGTTTACCAGTTTGACAAGGAGTACGACAACAGGGCATTCCCTGTTGAGAAATACCCAGCCGCCTTTGACTCCTTTGCCAAGCGGTACGATTCCGTCAACAATGCCAGCGCCATGATCAGCACCCACAACGAACAGGGCGTCCCGGTCGCCGTTGGATTTGCGCGTACCCAGACCCCCCTGGTCAACTGGACTATCATTGTCGAGAAAGCCAAGTGGGAAGCTTACAAGCCAATCGATACGCTACGAAACATTCTCCTCGGCACTGTGTTCGGAACAGTCGGCTTCATAGTCCTTCTAATCGTCCCATGCGCTCACCTCAGTGTCCTGCCGATCCGGAAGCTCAAGGCCGCCACCGAAAAATCAGTCAACCCCCCTGGGTACGAGGAGTCCTTCATTGACTCGGAATATGAGGATGACGAGGAGCTGCCAAGCTCGGGAGGAATATCTCAGAGATCAAAGAAGAGGGGTTTCTGGTCCAAGATGAAGCGGCGCCTTCAGGGGAAGCGCACCAAGCCGAGCTCCAACCGAGACGTTACCCGTCGGATGTTCAAGATTCCTGGCAAGGTGGACGACCGGAAACACTTTATTACTGATGAACTCACCGAACTGACACGGACATTCAACGACATGAGCGACGAGCTGGTGAAGCAGTACCTCTCACTTGAAGTCAAGGTAGCTGAGCGGACGAGGGAGCTCGAAGAGAGCAAAAAGGCGGCCGAGGCTGCCAACGAGAGCAAGACGCTCTTCATCGCCAACATCTCGCACGAGCTCAAGACCCCTCTCAACGGAATTCTTGGCATGTGCGCCGTCTGCATGGAAGAGAACGATATTGTCAGGATTAAGCAATCCCTGAAGACCCTCTATAAGTCGGGCGACTTGCTGCTGCATCTTCTCGAGGATCTCCTCAGCTTCTCCAAGAATCAGATTGGCCAGCAACTCAGCCTCGAGCTGAAAGAGTTCAGCTTGGCCGAAATCCGGTCACAGATCCTCACCATCTTTGACAAGCAGGTGCGAGAAGGAAAGATCAACTTTTCGGTCGAGTTCCTCAGCTCCGATAATGTCGAGATTGGTACGAGCCCGGATCGAGCCGGCGGGGAGACCAAGTTGCCAGCACTGGGACCTCAAGGCACGGGACGGCTCAAGGATATGTGGCTCTGGGGCGACCAACACCGAATACTTCAAGTCATCATCAACTTGGTGAGCAACAGCTTGAAGTTCACTCCCCACAATGGCAGTGTATCGGTACGCATCAAGTGTCTTGGAGAAGCCGAAGTCATTGCCGAGAACGAGAGCCGCACATCATCGCTCTCGAGGAACTCGCGGAACAACTCGCGAAATGGACGCACTCGTCACCGTGGAGCGGCCAGCCCGACGCATTCTAGCAGCTCTGGTCGAAAGGACTCAGGGCAGCGCTTCAATGGCACTGGAACGGCGCTGTCTATCAACCCCATGGACCCCAAGGCGACTCCCCATGTGCAAATCCGTGAGCGATCTCCTACGCCTCCTCCACCAGGAGCAAAGGCGTACATCTTCCAGTTTGAAGTTGAGGATACAGGCCCCGGTATTCCTGAGCACATGCAACAAAAGGTCTTTGAGCCGTTTGTTCAAGGAGATCTCGGCCTGAGCAAGAAGTTCGGCGGAACTGGCCTTGGGTTGAGTATCTGCCATCAACTCGCTGGCCTCATGGGAGGATCGATAACATTACGGAGCACCATGGGCGTTGGCACGACATTCACGATGCAGATTCCTCTCAAATACGTCAAGAACAGGCAAGTCCTCTTGGGCAGATCTTGATGAGCATGACTAACTGTTGAATCCAGGACTCCTAGCACTGCCTCGAGCAGCGTGAAATCTCGGCCAACTAGTGTTGATGCTACTGCCGATATGGAGCCACCGCGCAATCTCAACCCTCCGAAGCCCGCAGCTGACACCAAGTCCGGCGTCCTGAACCCTCAACCCCGACTGGTCGGTCTAAGCCAACCGTACTTTGCTGCTGACCTTCCTGCTCCAAGGAGCACGACGCAAAAGATGGCTGAAATCGATCGAGCATTGGCCAATAAGAATGGCCAAGGAAAGCTGCGTGTCCTGGTCGCCGACGACAACTCGACCAACATTGAGGTCGTCAGCCGGATGCTCAAGCTTGAGGACGTCTACGACGTGACTATCGCCAAGGATGGTCAGGAAGCCTACGACCTGGTCAAGGCAACCATGCAAAGGAACGAGGCGTTTGATGTCATCTTTATGGATGTCCAGATGCCCAACCTTGACGGTCTACAGAGTACCCGTCTTATCCGCGAGATGGGATACACTTCCCCTATCGTTGCCTTGACGGCCTTTTCCGAGGAGAGCAACGTCAAGGAGTGCATTGACTCTGGCATGGACGAGTTCCTCGCCAAGCCGATCCGACGGCCGGCCCTCAAGCAGGTTCTCAAGAAGTTTGCGACAATTCCGGAAGAGCCGGAGAACGAGAAGCGCTCCCCTTCAGTTAAACCGTCAACACGGACAAACGGGAATGCAGTCCAGCCACACACTGAGGGCCAGAATGGTACTCTCAAGGAAAAGGAGGGCTGAACTCAACTTCACGCACATCACATACAAAAGTCTTTATCAAAGAACAGTCGCGACAAGGCCGCGACATGACAGATGAGCGACCTGCCATACTACTACAACACTTACATGTCCCACATTAGAGGACCTCGCACTGCATATACAGTCAACCCCCTATCTCTGTCATCTATATCCTCAGACCTCTCAAGGGGGCGGCTTGACATGGACTGGGGGATCAGGCCAGCAACATAGCCTTTGCTTCCCCTTACTACTACTACTACAACAACAACCACTACTACTACCATCACCAACTTGCATATCCTACCTCCTCATTCCAAGCTACAACAAAAGTTTCAAGCGGGAGGAAACCTTGTCTTTGGCGTTTGGTCGTCTTGTGTTTCTTGATTTGTTATTCTCTTGCAGGAGGGCGCGGGACAGGGGATCAAACAAAAAGCCCCTCGGGTGTCACGGGTTTGGTTCATTCAGGTTATGCCATCTTCTTTCTTCTCCCTTCACATCGCGGGTCTTTTGGTCCTTTCTTCCAACCCTTACAACTCTTTACTACTACTTTGCTCTTTGCTTCTCTTTCGCTTCTCTGGCCATTTGACACACACACAACACGAACGATCCGACCCGCGCGTATAGGTATATATGTCTTGAATTTTTTTTTTTACTGCGGTTGCGATACAGAGCCATGGTTGCCCTGAGGGGGTGGGTAGAAGATGAAGAGCGGGATTTGAGGGCGCAGACTTGAAAGAGAGATGAAGGGAAGCGATCAAGAGAAAGGGATGGAAAGGGAGCGTCTATATATATTCATGTAATTATATGTATGCGCATAATATTGAGATGAAGGATGAACAACTATTCAACGTTTTGCTTTCTTGACTCTTGTTACCAACTTGGCTCTGTGATTTACTGCACTTTTGATGGATGATGCCTTGGTCTGGCGATATCGAATATGAGTCTTGCTATTCACACCGCGTTAAAACACTAACCGCACTATACCACAACACAACTAAGAGGCCATCAAACTCAAGGCTCAATGCATATATAACAGCAGAGGGATGGGAATATTAGAAGGGATAAGGTCATGTATATAATTTGGCGTTCAGGGGGCAACTTTGTCTTTGTTAGTGGTGCGTAGGTCTCTAAAGCAGAAGGGTTGTTGGTGGTCAGGGGTCCGCCGCAATAGCTTCATATTAGGTTCAATTAGCTTGTCTATTATTGAAATACTCAAACATAGTATTTTCATGCCTTTTCGTGTGAATTTGGCGTAAAAGCGTTGTCGAGGTGTCGTAGAGTCGGTATCAGGCCATAGTGCGAATAGCAAGACTCTCGAATATACGCCCTTCAACGTCAACCATTTTAGACTTGACCTATCCTCTTCACTTGAAACTCAGAAGTACACGTAAAGGATTATCCAAGGCAATACTAATCGGGTCACAGTTCAGTTGGAAACATTGGAACTTGAAATGGAGTGAATTTTTTGGAGTCCATCCCCGTGTCAGAGCAAAGCATCAACCAGCCTGACCCCTTACTCGACCCTGCCCATCAAGGGACCCAGTCCCTGCCCGTTTCATTGACTTCATCACTTTCATTTCATCCGCTCTCCCTCACCGCGGGGCGAATTTCCCAAACCAGAGAACTCCATCCTGTAGGAGTCTCCATGATAACCCACCCACCAACACATCCATTCCATGCATAGCCATCCCGGGTCGTGAACCAAAAAGATACAGACAGACGAATAGAAACGAGAAGAAGAACCGGTAAGAACACAGCTGAGAAGAGAGAAAGAAACAATAGCCACAGACAAAGTCAACAACACGGACGAAGGAGAATTAATAAAAGGAAGAAAACACGCCAGAGCAACCAGGGAAAGCAAGCACACATGTACCGCCGCGCGTTTGAAAGCGAGCCCCCGAAAACGCCTCGTGTCGCGGAACCCCAGCGGCTCTCACCGACCAGAAGCCTGCCCAGGCGCCACGCCTTCATACATAGGAAATCAACATGTCCAAGGAAACAAAAACAAGTTCGGACGCAATCAAGGTCCGTCAACAGAGAAGTAGAGCGGGAAAATCGTGTACTGTTTGGCCTTGTCCGTGCCGTGTCGCGTCGGTTCGCAAGCGGACGACCGTTGTTGAGATTAAGACGGCGTTTGGTGTCGAAGTGTCGAAGTGTTGAATTGTCGAGGTGTCGAATTGTCGAAAAAGAAAGCAATCAAATGCGAATGTGGCCAAAAAGCCGTCCAGCTCAAGAGCTACAGCGCAACAGCCGTGTCGATGACGGAGTTGGCCTAAATCTCCATCCGGCCGGCAATGTCTTCACTCATGAACCTCTCGTTGCTTCTGTCGAGCATGTCCATGTCGTCAATGTCGTCGTCAAACTCGTCATCTGAATAGGCAACAAGATCGCCATCTTCCCCTCTGTTCCAGAACAATCCGTCGTCCATGTCCTCGTCGTCTTCCGTGTACGGCACCAGCTCAGCATCTCGGTCACCAAGCCAGTAGTTGGCACGCTTCTGCGCACCAGCTGATTCGAGCTCTTGTCGGTTGCTGTGGTTCCTTGCCAGGTTCGTAGGCCGGAGTGTCGGGCTGTGGGATGAGATGACAGGTACTACGCGCACGTAGAGATATGCCACACGCTTCAGGGATCGGTTGAAGAAGAAGTAGTGCGCGGCCCAGATGGCGCTCTCGTCCTCCTCAAACGGATCGGTGTCGGGGTGATAACTGAAGATTGTACACTCGTTAAGGTGCATTTCCTTGTCGATCAATGACCAGCATTGGGGTCCCCAGTTGGAACTTGTGTCGCTACCGAGAGAGGAGCCGAGCGACTGGGGCTCAAAGTTTGGCCTCACGTTTTGGAGAATCGAATCTAGGTTGACCATGACGCGGCGCAGGTTTCGCTCGCGCTTAAAGTCGTTGGGCCGAAGAACGTGGGAGAAATCGTAATGGGGATGACTGGCATTTAGCGTCGCGATCAGGTACGCAAATGTCCGACGACTTGAAAGATCTGATAGAGGACCGAAGGCGCTCGAGTGTGAAAATAGTTGCATGCTCGGTGAGGTGGCCAGCATCTGCGCACGTTCTGGTGGTGATAGGCTGGCGCCGAGCTTGAGGAGGGCTTCATGTTGCGAGTTGAGATCCTTATCGATGTTCTTGTAGAGCTTCTTGTCGGAACCTGTTGACTTTGTCGTGTAAAGATCGCAACCGCCTGTAACGTTGCAGTCGGGTGTGTTGAAGTTGAGGGCGCCCGTCACCGCTTCGAAGTCTTGCACTGGTAGATACTGCAGTCCGCATGTCAGCGTGGCCATGGCATGAAAAAGAGTCGCGAATGCCGGAATCGCTTACCTTCATATTGATGGAGGAGGAGCTATTTGGCTCCGATGTCGCGATAGAGATGCCGTGGTGTCGCTTTGCGTTGCTATGCGATGATTGTCGTGATGCGAGAGCGCGGTCGGGAGGGAACCGATTGCGTCAGCGTGGAGTAGCGGGCCACGGGGCGGCAGGAGACAGATGTCGCGATGCGGAAGGCGCAGAGGTGGAGACGCAGTCGACGTCGAAAGTCGGAATCGGAGTCGCAAAGTGTGGGATTGAAGTCGATCGCAAAATGCGACAAGGGCGACGATGGCAACGGTTGGTGTTTGGGGGAGGAAGGGATGGGAATGGCTTGGCTGGATTGAAGTCGGGGTAGCGTAGATAGATGATCGCCGGAGCCTGCTGCGGTTCGGAAGTATGAGGGAGGGGCGCGGTCGGTCGGCGTGTATGGTAAAGAGACCCGTGAATCAAGACCGGAGATAAAGAGACCAACGGTTGGGTGGGGGTTAATGCTGTAGGTCAATTCACCGGTAGTTGCGGCGATTGCAATGGTCAGGCAGAGATAAGCGACCAAGATGGTGAAGCTGTCGAATGTGTACGTAAGTTTGTAAGCGGCAAGATGAATGGAATGCAACAAGAGGGAGAGAGAAGGAAGAGGGGCGGCAATGGCAATTGAAGTTGCGTGGATGGAAGGGAATGACTGGCTGCGGGACTGATGGATTGGATGCTTTTGTCTGAGGTCAGCGGGTTCACGCAGGCAAGACAGCTTGTGAACCAATATGGACGGCTTTGTGATCTGATGGTCGCGGCCACCCGGCCACGGGATCGCAGCAGCGGATGAGCCACGTTGGCACCCGCAGAAGCAACAGACAGCTCTCCTGAAGCTTTGCCGGTCCCGGCCGTCAACACCGAACCAAAGAGGGAATTCCGGGGACTGCGCCAACTTGTCCCGTCGGTATTCGGGTCAAGCAAGCCAAGCCGGCGGAGCCCTCCCCCTGTCAGCCCATCTCATGCCTCATCTCGTGGCTCTCATGAGACCAGGGGTCCCGTCCAAAGAGCTCCAAATCCCTGATCTTGACCAATTGCCCAGCTCTGCTTCCAATCCAATCGATTTGCCCATGCGAGCTGCTGGCAATCTGTAAGCTCAACAGAACACTTGTTCCCGCAATCGCTAGGTTTTGGGCACCACAAATAGGGGGGCTCCTTTGGCGCAACATGGCAGCGAATCGGGCACTGCTCTGAAACCACGGGCCGCTGTCGAGCGCCATCATGCTTCAGCTCGAGCATTCCAGGCGCACTAGATGAAGCTTTCAGTCATGGTCCAATGTCAGTTTGCAAGTAAGAAAAGGCAAAAAATGAGGTCAATCGTTTCTCTTGATTCTGGTTGCGAGGCGTCCCGACGGAGTGATGCGATTGAGCTCGCGCTCGGGTTTGTCGAGCGCCCAAGGGACACCAACGTGTCAGACTGGGGCATGCCGAGTGGCATACGACGTGTGAACTCGGTGCATCCATTGAATGCCGTCACTCTTCGCCATCCGAGGATCCGCTGTCCTTGAGTCGACTCTGCATGATCCCTCCGCAATGGGTCGACGTCAGATTGCCGTCCCTTGCGCCGTCAACCGCATCTGCCGCACGGTGACGCCTTCACCCTTGGGCCTCATCTCTTGATATGAAAGAAGGTGGTTTTCCACCGTCAAAGATCTACAAAACAAGACCGTATCGGCCTAGGACTCCCCAAACACCACCAGCGCCGGTTCCCACGATGCAAATAAACATGCGTGTCCTCTCTTCCCATTGAAGAGATGCTCAGCCGCCTGAGACTTGCTCCATCACATAAACCCCGCATCTTTGAGTGATTCCAATATTTCTTCTTCGACCTGTTGATCCAAAGTTAATTCGAGATCAACTAACGTGTTGTAGTTCTTCGTATGAAACCGTATTATAAGGAACATCGCTCGATCGGTCTGGGGATTCGTAACGCAAGTTGAGTCGAGTTGGAGCCAGGCAGCTATTAACGTCGTCGCCGAGGATGGTCTACATGATCTTTGTAACTTCGTCCTCGACCTTGTTGACATTCGGCGTTAGCTGTCATCTGGCGATTTTTGTTGGGTGCAGGTTGCTGGGCCATCACGAGACTTCACTAGTCGCCAGGCTGGATATCACCCCTGATTACTCACCTCCATGTCCTCAAGAGAGTCTTGCTGGCCGATGCAGCGGAGTACGTTCTTCTTGCTGCTCTCCTGCAGCTCGCCGGCGAGGAGGAGTTCGTCGAGGATGTAGTATGCCTTGGTGAAGGAGAAGATGATATCGAGCTCGCAAACGTTGCCGTAGTACTTGTCCATCTGCTCGACGTATCGGTGGATGATTTCGAGGGTGATCAACTCATTGTCCTCCGAGGAGCATCCCGCAATGAAGAAGAGCGAGGCATATCGGCGGTAGACGATCTTGGTGTCTGTTGCTGTCAGCATATGCTGGCATCAAGTTAGGAGCTAAGGGGGCTGACCCTTGTACTCGAGAAAATTGCACATCCGCGTCCTACGGGCGAGCACGAGCTGGGACACGTCCTTGACGATCTTGGCCTTGTCCTTGGGGGAGAGTGTTGTGAACCACTTGGCGAGGCGCTGGAGGCACTAGTCAGTGACGACATGTCTTGATGGGAACTGGCAGGCGGACCACTTTGCCCTGACGGGACAGGAGAATGAGGTATCTGGTGGTTAACTCTAGGTCAGCGGCAGGGAACGAGCGAGCAGCTGTAGAGGAGCATACTGGATCGCCATCGTGATGTTGGTTTCACGCTGCCGAGCCTGCTTTGAATCGTGCAGGAGGGAGCGAGGGAGATGTTTGGGGAGATGCGAGTTGATGGAGATAATTCTGGCTTCAAGGCGGACACGGAAGCAATTTGGCGGGTTGGTGACGAGTCGGGCCTCAGGCGGGCAGCCCAGTCAGAATGGTCCAGGCTCCAGCCACGCCAGTCAAGAAATAAACCAGATACAAGAACGGCAGAGAGTATTAACTAACTCATCTAAGGTTTAGTAAAGAATTTTCTATAATTATGATAAAAATTCTTATAAATATAATATCATAATAATAATACTTTAGAGTTCTTAATTATATTTATTTCTTTTATTATTTATATTTAGAGAAGGGTAAGCAAATGTGTTTGTTGTACTGGTGTCTCGTTTTTTCCTTAACCTGAGTGCCATGGAGCCAATGCGCCTGGCTGATCCTCGCTGCGAGTCAGTGGACAGCCAGGTGGCTTCAGTGATTACAGTAAGTGACGGGCGGTCAATTAGCGGCCACTTACAGCGAGTCTGCAGTAGGTCTGTCCATCCAGCTTCCATTCATACATCTGGTGCGAACGATCTCAGACAAGAACAGCCATGATTCAACGGCTCAAGGCATAGATCAAGTCTTACCTGGGCAAAGTACTCCAAACCCCGCGTCAGTGATGGAGCCATGAATATCCGGATCGCGAGATTCCAAAGGTCATCATTCTATTGCCCATCCCCCTCCTTAAGCACGCGACTATGCGCTCCCTCTGATGTCAGTCGCGATGGAGGTCCTTGGCCATTCAGGAATCAACTTTCTCCCACCATCTCCCACCTCTTCATCACATCTCATCCTCGACCATCATTCGACTCCCCTGCAACCGTGACAAACGCATAACCACCACGCTTATCATACTGCGCACCGTTGTGATTCCAAAGCTCCTCCCGTCTGCGTCTGTGGCCAGGCAATATTACTAATCCCACCTCCGCTCTCCCCCACGTTTCCCTGGGGCTCAATAGTCTCGAAAAGCCCGCTTCCGAGCAATCGGAGGAGCTAGCAAGTTGCGTTGTCTAGCCCAGGGCGCGCCGAGTTGATAAAGACGGGACTATCTGGGCCTGCCGCTGGCGTCTCCGAGTTTAAGCCTCGAAGACGCCGACGCCGAAATTTTCCCTCGCATTCTTCAAACCTTGGCTCAGCCTTTCTCTACTTTTGCTGTTGATTTCTTTCTTCTTTGATCATTTTATACCTGTCTATTCTCTATTTCACTCTCATATACCCATCATGACGAAACTCATTCTCTCTACGGCGTTTGTACTCCCCGATTCCTGTGAGGCGCTTTCGTGCTGACAAACCCCTCTTTAGCAATGTCATGTCGGCAGGCCCTTCGGTGATTCGCAAGCCCGGAAACAACAGATCCAACCTCGAACTCGTCAATTCCCTTCGCGACAACTTTGCTGAGGCTCGGCGCGACTATGCGACACATGCTCCTGGCACCAACGGCTTCACGAACGGTGATGCGCCCAACGGCAAGGCGACGGCCGCCGAGCTCTGGACGGAGCGACAGGGCAGTGCGCTATACGTTCCCCGCATCAATTGGCAAGCCGCCGGGTTGCGGGAGGAGTCGAGTCAGTATGAGATCACAGTGAAACTATTCCTCTTGCCCGGGACGCCTGTCGCTGAGAGGGAGCAATACGCCAAGGAGGCCCTGGACTTGGTCCAGAGAGAGCTCGGTATTCAGACCATCGATCTGCTAATAGTTTCCTTCCCTGGCATGTCGTTCGAGGGCAATTGCGAGTGGGAAGCGGACAAGGCCAACGCTAATCAGGGCAATCTGGAGGATGAGCTTGCGACTTGGAAGGTATTCGAGGGTTTGCACAAGCAGGGTCTTGTCAAGCGACTGGCTGTGTCCGAGTTCGGCAGCGAAAAGCTAGGCGCCTTCATCAAGCGCGCCACCATTCGGCCCGTCATTGACCAGATCAACCTGCGCAACTGTTGCGATGTCCCCCCGCCGCTCAAGAAGCTGGCTGAGGAGGAGGGAGTCGAGTTGCACGTCCATACCGACTGTACTGATATTCTTCCCCCCGGAACTCTGCGCGAGCTCCTCGGCCACGGCCCCCGAGGCGCTGGCCTGCTCGCCGATGCCGCCGACAACGGAACCGGGCTGGCTGGGGAGATTGTTCCTGAATGGGTTGTGCGTTACACAGCATTTGTTCAGGATCGAGGCGTCATCGAGAACAAGGGCTATTTTGCCGGAGCCGAACTGGTGGAGCCCTAGTTCCGCAACTCCGCAACGGTTGACGAGTGGGATGGTGATGATATCAGGGAAGAGATGTTTCGGAGCATATCTGACAGCTCAATATCGGGCTGTGGATGGATTTCGTCCTTTGGTTTTTGCAAAACAGCGAGCATCAGACACACGGAGTTTAGACACTATGACAGGGAAATTGGCCGAGACGGCTTTTCTGTTTTTCTTTGGTTATCCCAGCATGCTTCTTTTGCGACCTCTCATCCTCACATCTTCTAGCTTCTTGAGTACGATCTTGGCCTGCTTGAAAGCCTGGCCATATGCATCGAGCAGCTCTGAGAAGATACACTCAGCACGAGGGTGCGTACTACCAAATGCCCTTTCTAGCACGTAGAGATCTACCGCTCGGTCTTCATCTGATACACTGCCACTTGCAAGGCCGAGGTCGATGATGACTAGCTCACCATCGAGAGGACTCTGGTTCTTTGGGTCGGTAGGGGGCCCCAACATCATATTACTGGTGGTCAAGTCCCCATGGACGATTCCAACCTTGTGCATATTGCCAATAGCAGTGCCGATGCGTCGCATCAGGCTCTTCAACTCGGTGTCATCCTCGATGCCCTCTGTGCGGGTTCCAAGGCGCTCGTTGATGCTCTTGCGGACGGGCCCTCCATGTATCCATTCCAACATCAACCACCCAGCAGCCTCATCAACAGCGTAGACGGCTGGCACGCGGACGCCATCGCGACGACACTTTGCGAGGATGCGGGCCTCTGACAGGATCCGGTGTCGCGTGAGGCGCTGATCGAGAGTCGGGTGCCGCCAGGGCTTGGGAGGGCGGTACTTCAGGGCGCAGGGGATGTCGGGTAGCAGGTAGGTGCTCTTGTAGAGGCGGCCCTCGGCGCCTTGTGTGATGAGGGTTGGCGGGGTCGACGCGGGGTATTCGAGGATCTTGGGGAGGGGAAATTGATGCGCCTGCTGCGCCGCGGGGTCGGTGGCCGGCGCCGTCGCTGTGGCCGTCATAGCTGTTGGAGTCCTCTGAACTGAGCTGAATGTTGATGATAGAATAAAAGTCAAGGATTAGATCAGTCAGTGGGGAAAGATCTAGCGATTATGACGAGCTGCAAGACGAGCGCAGGTACGGGGCAGTCATGAAGTCAGTTGAAGACGCAGACAAAAAAGGTTGATTGGCACTGGCACCATGCATCGGACGGACACGCGCAGTCAGCAGCGGGCCGATGAAGGGACGGTAACGGCTAGGAACATCCATTTTTTTGGCGGGCACAAGAGAGAAACGTGACTGGCGGGTTCTTTGCACTAACAACCAGCCCGTGGTCAAATCACGTTTATTTCTACCAAGCTTGACGCCATCGACGTTTGACTGCCCCTCCAGGTTTTGACAGCACATGGGATTTTATGCCTTTTCTCACTCATGGAATAACAACCCCAAATTCACTCAACATCCTTCGAAACCCTAGGATTGATCCACTGCGCCTCTCCAAACCCTAAGTCCAGGCCGAGGCGCATTTACAAGTCCCCTGGATAGCCGAGACACTACTGGAATAGGCCTGGTAATAGTGCCGCTGGAAGAATCCCTCACGACCAACCGATGCCGGAATCAACTGCACAAGTCCACCCGGGACGCTGCCAATGCAATCGAGAACCCGCTAGACAGTTCGGCATCGCAGCATTAGCGCTGTGGGATGGGGGCGACTCCAGGGGCAAACAGCTTATGGCGCATCCTCTTTAACCACCACCCTTTTGCGTAATACAGCCTTTTGTAAGGGCACGTACGAGAAACACCAACAGTCAGCATCACCATATCCTGACCGTTTCTTCTCGGGATCTCGTATGCCCGGCACTCCCGCTCGCCACAACGGCCCTCTGCCGCGTCCCGAGGCGAATGGCTGAGGGAGCCGTCAAGCTAAAATCAGTCACACACAACGCCATCCGCGCATCCCACATCCACCTGCCATGTGATGGGTTTCCCTGCCCTGGGTCGTAATGGATCTTTTAGCTGCAGCTACAGGGGCCCTTCTCCATTCCCAGCCATCCGCGCAAGTGGCCGAACCCGGCCGCTCCAGAACAAATCTGGCAGTTCGGCCTGTCCTGGACGACGGTACGGCGCTGGTTGAAGCCCCGGAGGCTTGAGCAGAGCGCACACACAAACTGCTTTCGCGCTTGTGCTGCCCCCCGTCGTCATCCACTCACTCCCCCTCTGTGCCCCAGCCCAGTTATCTTGTGCGCCGTCGATCCAGCCTCTCTCTCTCCTCTCCCTTTTCCCTCCCCTCAAAGAGAGAGACACCCCAAGGACCATGCGCGATAGCCTCACCCAACGCCCTGACTTGCCATCCAGACGCTTCGCGCTCAACCATGGCAGAGTCCGACCTGCTCCAGTGGACCACCGTCCTCATTCTGACCGCTCTTTTACTTGCCGCCATCGTCCTCGCCCAGATCGTCTCCGTTTATACAGCCTACCAAGTGGCGCCCCAGGAGATCGCAACCTTTGTTGACACGGCCGACTTTTCCTCCCAGGAGAATGAGTCGTATGATCGCGACGTCTCCAAGGTGCAGCGTCTGGATGAGAAGCTACGCTTGACCCAACTCCTAAGGGAGATACAGAGGACGTGCGACGATTTGCGCGAGGACCTCAATGGCATGTTGCTCGAGGAGGACGCCACCCAGATGAGGACCGTCGCCAGGTTGCTCTGGGCGTCGAAGCGATCGAGGCTGGAGGGTCGTGTCCGGAGGCTTGATATGTTGCGCATGCGCTTTCTTGTCGTGTACATGGGTGTCGTCGCATTCAACACAAACACTACCAGCCATACTGAGAAACCACAACCCCCATCTGCGCCCAGGGACCTCGAGAAGTCGCCCGTCTTCAAGACACCACCTCGTCCAGCTCTTCCCAAAGGCCTGATGGAGGGAATCATCAACCGTCCCCCCCTCCGCAGTCTGACCACGCAGGCACTCATCGGCCACCAGGAGCACACTTCCAAACCCCATCGCAAAGGATGGGCAGGCGTTGTCGAGGAGCTCCAGACATCTCCCAGGATGCAGCAGCGCCACGCCTCGATCGAGCGCGCAATGTCAAGGTCCTACTCAAAGTCGCCATGATCTACTCTCATCGGTTTGGTCATAAGACTTCCCCTGGTTTTCCTTACGTATTGGCACACGGTTACAGCGACACGACATAAACTTTCTCACAGGTTGCCCATTGTATGCGACGGACAGAGCGCGGGCATGGCACGGCGTTTTCTGGTGCGGCCATCTTGGCCACCAAACATTTTTCACGATACAGCATGATCCGATACAGTACAGCACAGCATCGGCATTCTAGATCTTCTACAGGCATGGAGAGGCGCGGTTTATGAGCGATGATTAATGATGCCTTGGTCTGGCAAAGGTTGGAGGGCATTGAGGAGTTTGGTTCGTTTTCACTTCACTTCGCATAGATGGGATGATACCCCCCTTTTTCTTTCCGAGGCCTTACGCCTTGGTGCATCTTGTTTTATGCCTTTTTTGCTATTGACGTTGATAGCATACCCCTATCATGTTTCGTCGCCGTTCTTGGGAGATATGGAGGATACAGCAGCCCCCCATCAATGACCAGAGACAGCTTCGGGACCGGTACCGTTTCTTTCTCCGACTATAACGTTGTTAGTCTTGGCTTTAGACGGATCTGATTTGTGAGTTTTGACTTGCCATCGAGAGCCACCAAGAAACGGCTCACACAGTTGTAGCAAGCCACCTAGGTTTCGGGTTAGCTTAGACTCAATTTACTACGCTGGGCTCTATCTTACCGTTGCTGTGATCTCGACAATCTCCTGCTCATTAAAGAACTTCTTAAGGTGGTCAAACGTCTCGTCCTTGACGTGAACATTCCTCGTCATCTCATCCGTGTAGAGCAACACGGCCCACTGCTTCTCCGACAACTCGGCTGGACGCTCACCGAGCGTGTCCTGCTTGATGGCCTCGAGTCCTGCCTCAGAGACGCCGCCCTTGACGGCCAGCGGGGCATGGTGCTTCCACTCATACCAGGCCTCGTTGCAAACGGCAACGCGCGAGATGGCGAGCTCACGGAGGTCGTCGCTCAGCGAGGTTTTTGTGCGGACAGCGCCGAGGAACGAGTTCCATCCGTCAGCCACGGGAGGAGAATGAAGGAGCGCAAGGTCAAGGGACTGAAGAGGACGAGGGTTTCGCCGTTCCTCGATGCGCTTCACAATGGCGGCTTCTTCATCGTTCTTGGTCGGGACAGGGGTGGGTACGTAAGGGATTCTCATGATGCCGGTTTGGTGTAAGTTGACTGTGTATGTCAGTTGAGAAGATCGTATGCGCCAGAGGTGCTAGATATATCAGGATTGAAACAAGAGGTTACTGTAAATAATATATACAATGAGAGATAAACCCGACAGATGTCGAGACCCGAAAGCCGCTGCTTGGTTATATGTTCTCCCGGATGCGCGGGGTCGGTTTAGAATCGCAACTCCCGTCTCCACTTCCCGAAAAGCGGCGCCGAGAGGCGGAGGTTTAACACGGCATCTGGACGGTTGCCAGGATGAGCTTGGAAAATGCATTTAAAGATGGGTTGAATAGAGTGTTGCGGGTAGAGCTAGGTTAGCTCTAATTATGACTAGTTTACAGCGAATTGGAGTTTAGGAATTTCGAGTGGAAGATGGGCATTCACACCGGAGCCCAACATCCTCAAGGTGTTACCGAAATGCCCATCTCCAGCACCATAGGGAAACGAGCATTTGTCATTAAATGCATTTCCCATCCAATTTAGGCGCAATAAAAGTTGACCTTTAAATATTCCAAGCCTTTTCAAACCACGTGCCGTTTGTTGCCAGGAGCGCCGAGGCAACAATATTTCCACTGCTATATCCTGAGTCTCGAGATTCTTTGTTGCTCCGTCAACTCTCCTCCCAACATCCACACCCAATTTCACCAACCGTTCAGCATTGAAGCGTCAAGATCCAACCAAGCATTTACATTTCGCAAAACTCGAGAAGCGACACATTAAACCACGGCAAACCATTTGACTCCAGATATTCCCTTCTCACACCAACAACTGCGCGGGTGCGCTCCAATCCCTCCTGTCAGATCAATCCAGTTCATCCGAGCTTGGATCGCAGGGACGCGTTGCGCACCGTCACGTGACAGGGAGCTCCCAACCTGGATCATTAACGCGACCTCACTTTTTTCGCGTCGTCACGATCTCCTTCAAGCTCCTCCTCCTCCCCGTTCGCTCTTCCGTCACTCTCGCTCGCGCGCTCATCAGCAACGATGGCCGAGATCAAGATTGACAGCAAGGTCTTCCAGGAGCGCATCTCGCACTTTGTGACTGCCTGGAAGAATGACCTCCGAAACAAGGATGGCCTGTTCGGTGGCGCTCAGTCCATGGTCGTGATGATGGGCAAGGTCGAGGAGATTCCCGAGTTCCACAAGAACAATGCGATTCACGTATGCGATTCCGATAATCCTCGACTCGAAGCGAAAGATGGAAATGTTGACGACTTTCACAGTTCTGGCTTCTAGGCTACGAGTTCCCGACCACGTTGATGCTGTTCACCTTGGACACGCTGTACATTCTCACAACAGCCAAGAAAGGTATTGTTGCCTATGCGCTCGTTGCGCGATTTACCAGGAGCTGACTGTTGCCTAGCGAAGCATCTCGAACAGCTCAAGGGCGGCCGATTCCCCATCGAAGTGCTCGTGCGAGGCAAGGACGCTGCGGAGAACGAGAAGCTCTTCATCAAGGTTACCAACAAGATCAAGGAAGCAGGAGTAAGCGAATCAATCCCCATCGTCTCGAGCTCATCTTAACATGTTGTGATTTCAGAACAAGGTCGGCACCATCTCCAGGGACACCTCCCGAGGCCCCTTTGTCGAGGAGTGGAAGAAGCTCTTTGCGGATCAATGCAAGGATGTCACCCAGGTCGATGTGTCAGCGGCGCTCTCGACTCACGCCTTTGCTGTCAAGGACGAGAGCGAGCTCCGAGCGATGCGAACCGCTTCCAAGGCCTGCGTGGCCCTGATGACCCCTTACTTCCTCGATGAAATGTCCAACATCCTCGACGCCGAGAAGAAGGTCAAGCATTCGGCGCTTGCCGAAAAGGTCGACAAGAAACTCGACGACAACAAGTTCTGGCAGACAGTGCAACTTCCGAGCAAGGCGAAGCTCCCCACCGACCTTGACCCGACCCAGCTGGACTGGATCCTGGGACCTTCAATCCAGAGCGGCGGCAAGTACGATCTCCGATTTGCGGGCGAGCCCAACGACGATAACCTCCATGCCGGCATCATCATTGCTGCTATGGGTCTCCGATACAAGTCGTACTGTTCAACGATCGCACGAACCTACCTGGTCGATCCCAACAAGTCCCAGGAGAGCAGCTACAAGCTCCTTACCCTCATTCACAACACCATCATCAAGGAGATCCGAGATGGTATGACGGCAAAGGATGTGTACGCCAAGGCTCTGAGCATCATCCGAAGCAAGAAGCCTGACATGGAGAAGCATTTCCTCAAGAACGTCGGCTGGGGTATTGGATTGGAGAACAAGGACCCAACCCTTGTGCTCAACGCCAAAAACCAGAGAACCCTGAAAGACGGCATGACTTTGATCATCAACACCGGATTCCAGGACATCGAGAACCCCCAGCCTCAGGACAAGCACAGCAAGGTGTATGCCCTGGTTCTTACCGACACCATCCGAGTCACATCCGCAGAGCCTGTGGTTTTCACAGCCGAGGCGCCCACTAGCGCTGACGCAAACTCGTTCTTCTTCAAGGACGATGAGGAGGCCGAGCCTGCGCCAAAGAAGGAGAAGAAGGACTCTCGTGTCGGTGCCGTTGCTACTAAGAACATCACAAACACAAGACTCCGCTCCGAGCGTACAACTCAAGTCGCCAACGACGATCTTGAAAAGAAGCGCCGTGAGCATCAAAAGGAGCTCGCGGCCAAGAAGCAAAAGGAAGGTCTGGCGAGATTCTCAGAATCTACCAGTGGCCAGAACGGTGGCGAGGTCAAGAAGTTCAAGCGATTCGAATCTTACAAGAGAGACAACCAGTTTCCCACCAAGATCAAGAACCAGGAGATCATTGTTGACGTCAAGAACAACACCGTCGTCCTTCCTATCATGGGACGCCCTGTTCCATTTCACATCAACACTATCAAGAACGCTAGCAAGAGCGATGAGAATGACTTCTCTTTCCTGCGAATCAACTTCCTTTCTCCTGGTCAGGGTGTGGGAAGAAAAGATGACCAGCCATTCGAAGATGCCACAGCACACTTTGTGCGAAGTTTGACCTTCCGATCGTCTGATGGAGAGAGATACAATGAGATAGCGAATCAGATTTCCAACATGAAGCGTGACGCGGTCAAGAAGGAGCAGGAGAAGAAGGACATGGAGGATGTCGTTGAGCAGGACAAGCTGGTGGAGATCCGAAGTAAGCTGATATCTTTACTGCGGGTGACCTGATACTAACAGAGACCAGATCGACGACCCGCTGTATTGGACAATGTCTACATTCGACCTGCCATGGAGGGCAAGCGAGTGCCCGGAAAGGTTGAGATTCACCAGAACGGTATTCGATACATCTCACCTCTGAACGCACAGCATAGAGTGGATGTGCTGTTCTCCAACGTCAAGCATCTTTTCTTCCAGCCTTGCCAACACGAGCTGATTGTCATCATCCACATTCACCTCAAGGACCCCATCATTGTGGGCAACAAGAAAAAGACCAAGGACGTGCAGTTCTACCGAGAAGCGACGGACATCCAGTTCGATGAGACGGGTAACCGCAAGCGCAAGTACCGGTACGGTGATGAGGATGAGTTTGAGGCAGAGCAGGAAGAGCGACGCCGGAGAGCCGACCTCGACCGACTCTTCCAGGGTTTCGCCCAGAAGATTGCCGAGGCTGGCCGCAACGAGGGTATCGAAGTGGATATGCCCATCCGCGACCTTGGATTCCACGGTGTGCCGTTCCGCAGCAACGTCTTTGTCCAGCCTACCACAGACTGCCTTATCCAGGTTGTTGAGCCTCCTTTCATGGTCATCACTATTGAGGAGGTTGAAATCGCGCACTTGGAACGTGTTCAGTTCGGCCTGAAGAACTTTGATATGGTCTTTGTCTTCAAGGACTTTACACGAGCACCATACCACGTCAACACCATCCCTGTCGAGTTCCTCGACCAGGTTAAGGATTACCTCGACTCTTCCGACATTGCCTATACGGAAGGACCTCTCAACCTGAACTGGCCTACCATTATGAAGACAGTGACAGCAGACACTCACCAGTTCTTCGTCGATGGAGGTTGGTCCTTCCTCCAGGCCGACTCGGACGATTCTGGCAACGAGGACATGTCGGAAGAGGAGTCTGCGTTTGAGATCGATGACGATGAACTTGACGAGGCGTCCGAATCTAGTGAGGAGGACTCTGACTTTGGCAGCAACGCCAGCGATGATGATGACGACGACGATGCTGAACTCGACAGCGATGAGGAGGGTGAGGACTGGGATGAGTTGGAGCGCAAGGCAAAGAAGCGAGACCGTGAGGGCGCCATGGAGGATGAGGACCGTGGCAGCAAGAAGAAGCGCAAGCGCTAAAGGGGTAACTTGACTAACGCCTTGTTTCCCCCGAGGCGGAGGGTGATTTTGGCGTGAACGGGGAGACGACGGACGGGACTGGTCTATTTGGTTTTTTGGCTTGGTTTCTTCGATTGTACTAAAAACAATACTTGCCTCCTTTTAGTTTCTTTGTATGGCTGTCAGGCACTATGCTCCCAAGGGGGAGAGAAAGGGGATTTTCAACAGAGAGAAGGGGCAAGTGTCTGTCGAGCTCGGACGTACTTGGACGCTTCTCCCACGAGGCTTTTCATATCATATCAAGTTTTGGAATGATCAGGATCAGAGTAGGGCAGTTGTACCAGATAAGATAATTCACGATTTCAGCATAATGTATGATTAGTCTCTTCCTAGGCTCACCAGAATTAAGATGAAGGATTAACATATTCTTACATCATCTTTATAGGGGCTTATTTATATGATGCTCTAATGATGGAGATAGGTACGCTCTGGTAGTCCTCGCGCAAGCAAGGAGATGATCTCTGACTACATACCCTGAATGTTTTTCGTATACATGTAAGTGATACCAATAGGCGCCTACCTGGACGCCATGTCGCTCTAGTTATCAAATTTGTTCGCGTGAGAGCTCCTCACATTAGAAGGATCTCCCAAGATTTGCTCAAGTCAAGAGTGTGGGCGCATTCGATTACATCGACACTTCTGAGACTCACATGCAGGAAACGAGTTCAATGGCTGGGATAGACACACGTGATCTAGTGATCATCCAAGACATCCTGTAAAAGGCAATGATGCAAACTTTACCATCCAAACAAGCAACAGCACAAAGTGTTTGGTTTCGCTGATCAAAGCCAACGTGAAGCTTGAGCTAGAGAGCTAGCGAGTGCCGATAGGGCATGATCGTCTCGACGGCAGACGTGCGAGCTGCGTGGTCTGCTGGATCCTTTCTCCACAGAGATCTACTAGGGGCGGGAATGCCGATGTCAAGCTGTACAATGACGGTATTTTTTACTCTGTCAGCCACAAGGTAAAGATTTGCTCGACGGGCCGTTCTGAACCGCCCTTGAACTCAGCAAGACGGCAAACGTGCCGCATAAGCGCTCGATGGCTGGGCGATTCCGTGTGTTCCGCCTGCTGTACGAGTTGCATGCTCCAGCGTGAAAAGGCTTGGCCTCCGCCACAATAGCCGGTACGGGCTGACCTATCAAGACGCAGCTTCCATGTCGAGAAATCTTGAAGTTGTTGGAGCATGGGAAACCTTGGATGACAAGCTATCGTATTCTTCCAACCGCCCATTTGGTCAGCAACACACTGCCTACCCTACCCCTCAACCAAGCCATTGGCACAGTTTGAGAAACATTGGTCACGACAATCCATCACCTGAACAGCCAATCACGGGATGGTACAGGTTCGACATGTCTACTCGACCTTCTTGAATAGGCACGCCGATTCGGTGACCAAGGTCCTGACCGCTCATGCAGCCAAGAGTGGGTTTCAGACATGTTCAGCCAGCCGAGGTCAACAGCGGATAATTGCCAAAAGCCGAATACGTAGGTAGCTGGCGAGCTGGGTAGGTATTGTGCTCTGTACTGTAGCTCTGGATAAACTCGTCGTTGACCTTTGCGTACTTCTTGTAGATCTGTTTTTTGTGGGCTCTGAAGATCAAGGTTGATCAGGGGTCGGAATGAAGGAGCTGAGAGACGAAATTGGGAGGTAGCCAACGCCCAAACTGCCGGAGATAAGTGGAATCATGGCCATAGCGGCGGGAAAACTTTAAGAGTTTGCAATATTCTCTAGAATATTAGGGGAAGACTGATGTAATATGGATGAATTCATGCCCGATTATTTCGATAGTCGTAGACTAGGGACTTGGGCAGAGCGAAGAGTTGATGTAACTCACGTGATGCCAAGAACTACCCAGAGTCAACTGCACCCACTCCATCGGCGACACCGCCATCCACTGGAACTGTCTTCCTGACCAGATTCTGAAAACGCCATGGCCGATTTGCCGTCTGAACAGGCCAGTATCGCCGATACATCACATCCAAGACCTTGGGACCCAGACCCTAGCCACTGGGGTTTCGCCCGCTGGCAGGATGCGGGCTTCTTTGCCGGCCACTAACACGTTCGCCTGCGAGACACCTACTGCACGGTCCGGCCTTGTCGTCATGTGTCCAGGGGTCCGGCGGGAAATGATCATCATCTGGTCCGGGAGGGGACGACCTGAAGAAAAATGGGGTTGGTCCGTTCGGGGGTTTTCCCAGACTGTTGGGGAACCACTTGGCCGGTCCTCATTGTCGACCATGGCTGACTGAATATCTGCATGTCTGAGTCGGCAGCACCAGCACCAGCAGATACAGAGCAGCAAAGAGGAGTCAAACTCAAAGATGTGTGCCGCCGAGGCCTTGTGATGCTGACGACCATGACGGTATAAATATCGCACAGCAACCCACTCGGACAAGGCGGCAATTCAAACATCTGTTGCCTCGGGCGTGGGTTGGATGACGTTGGACAAGTATTGTCGCCGCCGTTTGTTTGCTGACCGTTACGACACACATTGCATCCTCAGCTTCTTTCGAGAGGCGCAGAGAATCGCGTACCGTTTCTGGCCCAACAAATCAGTCGCCAAGCAGATAGACGCCCCCCCGGGCTGACGACACCGGTCTTGTCGCCCAGGCTCCACGGCGAGTTCCATCCGAGAGCGGCTCCATTCAGGGCCGACCGAGCCTCAATCAGCCACTTACACCAGGTCCTACCCCAGACGCCGTCTTAGCCTTACAGCGAGCAGCGAGAGCTCGCGCTTTGGATCCGGAAGAGGGAGCGTGGCATTCTCCAACGCCGGCCTTTTTGGTGTAAATTGCAGGAGTCGACGGACTACTCTACCGTAGATTCTGGTCTGGCGGACGCCTCGTCGATCCTCAGCTCTGTCAGGATCCGGACTTGACACGGCCGTCTGCAGTCAAGGACACTTTTGGTAGGGATCAGGGCGTTTATCACGGTCAACTACGTGGATACCAGCTTGGCGAAAAGTGAGTTCAAGTTTCTCGTTCTTGGGTCTTCTTGGGGGTTTGGACTTTTCACTGTTCTGGAACCACTCCACCCCCTGTCCTACACCACGCTGCACCCCTACCCTACCCTTGCTCTGGACTTTTCTGGGGCGCGGAGCCACGCAACGACGGCGTCGTCGAGAGACTCTCTCTTGGCTGGTGTGCCGAACAGCGAGAGCCAAGCCTCACTGACTGGCTCATCTGCTCGTCACCTCGACTCGCCATTCCTCGTCGCTGCGACACAGACTTGTCGAGTTCCGAAGATCCGATCAAGCGCCTCGCCAAGCGGCTCCGTGGCCTGCTGATCGGATGCAACTCATCGTCCCAATATAACCCTGTCGTCCTGGCCCTGGGCCCCATTGCATCCCATCGTCAAATCTCCTCCCCCAGCAAGTTCAGTTCAACTCAACTCGACTGTATCCTCCCTATCCCCTGGCGTCGGATTTTAATTTCACACAAATCTTGACGCCTCTTCCTAGTGAAATCAAACCAAATCCCCTTTTCTTCTTTCTTCGTCGAGTGACCGATATCTTTCTTTTTTCTCTCTTGTCTTTTCTATTGTCATCTCGACTCTCTCCCCACCGATTCCGCGACTGTTCATTGAGCCTTGCCGCTCACTGACTGATACGAAAACGGCATCGTGCTTACACAACTCACTTCCATTCTGTACTTGCCCGATTCGGCAGGGTCGAGAGTGCCTCGTCAAGCTGAGCGGCTTCTCGACTCCTCTTTTGCCCTGGATTCTTCAAAACAAATATCTACTCGCAGCAATTCAATGATTGCAGAGTCTAAATCTGTCCCTCAGATCGAAATCATGGCCGCCTCTCCTACTACTACAACAACCACCAAGCCTCGACGGGAGCCCCGAGACACAGGGTTCCCTGAACCCTTCAACGATGGTGAGTCTAGAGTTCCGCGGTGCAGTAAACGTTGACCGTGCTAACCAATCTTCAGTCCGCAACACTACTCTACCTCATCCCGATGCAGACCTCTCACCAAACGCATGTATCAGTCAAGAAGACATCGATCCTGACCGGGCACTCACTCGAACTCGCCGGTCCTTTTTGAGGAAGAAGAAACGGACTCTTAACCACGGACGCATCACGCCTACGTCTGAAGCTCTCTACAGCGTCCTGTCCCTTGTTAGCACCGACACAGGAGACAACGCCAGCATTAAGCAAGCCAACCCATCCATGACTAGCATCCGACCATCAATGTCCAGCATTCGCCCATCCATGTCGAGCATCCGGCTTTCAAAGGACGAAACCGAGAGTCTCGCATCAAGGAACACGAGGAGGGATGACGAAACGCCACCAACATCTCCTGATGTGCCCTCATATCGATCTAAGAAGGGATTCATGAAGAAGTGGCGAAAGAATTAGAAGTGGCTTGGTGAAGCCTTGGACACCCAAGGCAAATCTGGACACGATGACGACTGTTGTTACGACGTATACGGCCAAACCTGATGATCGAGGATGGCAACATCACTCAGACGGACTGCTTCAATTACTTCTCTTTGTGGATAGCGTGGCGTTTGATGGGCACAAGGGCATTGGCATGGGTATGGACATGTACGGGCATGGATTGGATTCAGGATTTATCGGTGTTGCCGAGGACAAGATGTCAAAAGTTTGAGATTACGGTCCCCTCTGGTAGGGAGAGACGGGAATGTCACTTGTCCGGCCAGTCAGCGAGGGAGCAATCATTCAATTATTGATTGGGACATTCGTTAAAGAATTAATAACTAGCATCATCGCTATTCTCATGATCTTGGTCATTATCTATGCTGGTGTTTCCATGATGGTGACCCTTTTCGTATATCCTCCATATCGTTCGCAACTGGCTATGCGCAATCGCCATACTGGCGGCGAATTGCGAGGCAAAAAACGACATCTTGGTCCTCTATAGATATTCCACACATGGCAGTGTAGATCTACCTCTAACTCCCGCGGTAAGAAGTGTAGCTATATGGGCTCAACAACAGCGGCACATGGTAGTGCTGCCCCTCCTCGACACGAAAGGTGATGGTCACCTCTGGGAAAAAGGTCTTTTCCTCGCCAAAGTAGGAGGCCGTGTCGAAGCGCAGTGTCCAGCGCGTGGGTCCTTGGCCTCTGCGCTCGTCGAGCACGTCGAGGAGTGTATAGACGGGGACCTCGCCAGCCGAGTCGGCGGAGCTGTAGGGCAACCAGACGAGGACGCGGCCGTCATCGTCGGTGATGGACTCGAACGTTTTGGGCTGGGGCTGGGTGTGCGGGTTGGCTCCGGGCGCTGGGGCGGGGACGGGGCCCTCGAGACGAACGCGAACGCCACGAGCGGGGCGACCAGCCTGGGTGTCGAGGACGTGGCAAGTGATGAGGTCCTTTGCGGAAGGTGAGGTCATCGCGACGGTAGGTTTTGGAGAGCGATGGGAGTGTTTTGGTGGTGATGGGGGGTTGTTTTGTTTTGGGTGGTGCGACCTGACGTTCGGAGGTTGACGTCAAGGGTGGTGGGGGAGGGGAAGATGTAGCGAGAGCTTCAGAGCGTTGATAGTAGGCTTGGCAAAAGTATTATCGGGGGGCGCCGACCGATACTGGCTCTACTTGTCCTTTTTTTAGACGGACGTCGTGAATATCGATTCTGAAGTACCGAACAAGAACAAGAAAGAGAAGGATTACGCGGCGCAAGACAGGGGGACAATGAAGTGAGGCACACTGCCCGGTTTATATCAGTCAGTTTTTTCCTTGGATTCGTGCCTGACCGCAAACAGCCTTGGGCTGCTGACTTGTTATGCGTGTAGGTCGAGGTTTGATGGCTTACGGTCCAGTAGGTAGCTTTTTAGCGGGCTCTGCTGATGCTAAGGACTTGCAGACGGAGGACCTGATGTTGACTGACGGTGTGCATAAGAGACAGAGGTTTTGGGTGTGGATGGAGAAGAAAAGGCAGCGAATGATGATGCTGGACTTTACAGATGCTGGGATGTTTTCAAGTAGGACTGGTGGATCTGAATCAAAGAGTCCTAGTTGTTGCAGGTGAATATGAGTTGGTGAGGCTGGATGAGTGAGTCCTAGATTCACGGCTGGTGGTGAATGGGACAATGGGTTGATGAGGGGCTAATATTTGATGAATAACGGGAAAGGGAAGGATAGACAATCAATTATTGTAGAATGTATTAAATATAAAACGAGTTACGATGAACATTGTTTTCTGTTCACTCGACAGTTCATGCGCTGACAGCGCTGACTTTGTGCCCCCGACCAGTTTGGGTCAAACAAAGCAAATGGTTCAGTTACACATGGTGGGACTTTGTTCCTTCTTAAGTAACAATAGAAAACAATGTCAACCCGTACCATGAGAGGGTTATACGAGACCCGAGAGTGTTGATATCTTGAATTGAGTTGTGCTGACAGTCCTATTGAGTTGAGAAACGGTCCGGTAGCTGCCAATGCCGCCTGGTGGATATACTAAAGTTAGGTATTTTGAGGCATATGCAACCACAACCTACATGCAGAGTAACTAGAATACAATACAGCTCGAAATGAAAGAGAGACAGACACCCCTAAATATGTCTGTTTATCACATTCCTTTCCCTGTCAAACCTTCAATGACCTGAGTACGCGCCCGGATAAAACAAAGCCCCGAAACCCCGAGCAGCACAGCCCGTAATCTGTCACTGCACAGCCACTCACCCTGACAGCCAAGCACGTCCCACCCACGCCGCAATGTCCAACACGTAACGCTTCACGAGCGCCAAGCCACACCTGCACTTGAATCCCATCAGCTCTCACTCTCCCCTGGGATACGAACCAGAACAACACAATCGACCATCTCGCACCCACCGCCTCGCGCCATATCGATCTCGACGGATCTTTCATCGCGCGCCCGCGCAGATTTCACCGCCGAACTTGCCTACAATGGCCGACGATCCCCGTGGCATCGACCACACTGATTCCATCGACTCCAACGATGGCCCGAAGCAGCCGGACAAGAAGAAGAGTCGTCGACCAGCGAGTGAGCATCCCTCGAGCCTCGTCCGCCGTGCACCGCGACAAATTCATGCTGACTGATTCGCGATAGACACCGCGTTCCGACAGCAGCGCTTGAAGGCCTGGCAGTACGTTGTCATCGTTCCCTGCTCTTCCTCGTTCTCGATGCTTATTGCGACAGGCCCATCCTCACACCCAAGACCGTCCTGCCCCTGTTCTTCACCATTGGAATCATATTCGCTCCTATCGGAGGATTGCTTCTCTATGCCAGCGCCCAGGTGAGCTCCGACGCTACCGTTGAAACAAAACGCATCTGACAGCCTAGTTAGGTCCAAGAACTTCGACTCGACTACACCCACTGCACAGAAGATGCTCCCAAACTCTCCAGGGATGGCGGCGGCTATGGTGCAATGCCCGGCGACAATGTCCAGACTGCCTTCAAGAGCTCTAATAGATCCGTGAATGCAATGTGGGCGCGCGAGACCAACATCACCGTCACCCTCGACAACGGCGTCAGAGTCAACGAGACAAACCGGTGCCATCTCAAGTTCACGCTGCCCGAGGAAATGGGCCCTCCCGTTCTCTTCTACTACCACCTCACCAACTTTTACCAGAACCATCGTCGCTACGTGCTCTCATTTGACAGCGACCAGCTCAAGGGAAAAGCTCGCTCGTACAGCGACATCAAGAACGGTGACTGCGGCCCCCTGTACGGAGACTCCAAGCTTTCGAAGCCCTACTACCCCTGCGGACTCATCGCCAACTCCATGTTCAACGATACCTACTACAGCCCCGAGCTTGTGACTGTTCCGGCCTCGAGCAGGTCCAAGAATGACACCTGGACCTACGACATGAAGACGACAAACATTGCCTGGGGAAGCGACAGGGACCTGTACGGCAACACCAGCTACAAGCCCGACGACGTGATCCCCCCTCCCAACTGGCAGAAGCGCTACCCGGATAACTATACCACCAAGAACCCCCCGCCAAACCTGAAGGAGTGGGAGGCTTTCCACGTGTGGATGCGAACCGCCGGCCTTCCCACCTTTAGCAAGCTGTACCAACGTAATGACACCGTCGCCATGTGGGCCGGTACTTATGAGCTTCAGATTGATGATCGTGAGTTTCAAGGATGTACGCCTCTGTGGAACACCTGACTGACCTTTTAGACTTCCCCGCCAACAAGTATGAAGGTACCAAGTCCATCATCATCACCACCAAGACCGTCATGGGAGGCCGCAACCCCTTCCTTGGAATCGCCTACGTGGTCGTCGGCGGTGTCTGCATCTTGCTCGGTGCTGTCTTTACAGTGACCCATCTGATCCGCCCCAGGTATGCTCTTGATTCTGCAGTCTTCATTTCTTACGCTAACATGTTGTCAGGAAACTTGGTGACCACACCTATCTCTCCTGGAACAATGCCCCCGGCGCCAAGTCCGGTCCTAGCACAGCCGTCGCTTCCGGCCGTGAACTTCGTCCTGGCGAGGCTTAGGCGGCTCGCGAGGACTCCCGCACTCTCCTCCGAGCTCCCGCAAGCCCTTCCTTTGCGTCCATCCGGTCTCCTCCCAACACCACGGACAGCATTGTCCGCACTGCCATGTCGCCTCTGATTGGGAGACGTGAGCACTCGGGCTTTTGACCTGAAGACGCAAGATTGGGTCGAGGGTTGTGGGAGGAAAAGTGCAAACTTGGTTCGGTGTGTTTTTCTCGTCGTTTCTCACATGGTTACTTGTTTTCTGTACCATCATTCATCGCAGCGCCCGACTGTGTGTGTCAGCTATTTTCTGCGCTGCTGCTGCTCTCTTGCGTTTGAAGGATGCAATTCTGGGAAACCCAGGGGTTGTCTGCTCCCTGGGCCTATTCTTGATGGATCAAAGAGACGGATGAGACGGAAGAGCAAGGATCTTGACCTTGGTATCGTTATTGGGTAAGGGAGTTGAGGCGCGATGCAATTTGGTTCAAGGATAGAATGAACTGGTTTATATCATTTCTCGTTTGTCCATGTGAAGTTGATGTTATATCTTGCTGTCAACATCAAGAGCAAACTGCCCATGTTTCCAAGTTCCAAAAGATACTTTATCCATCAGAAAGAAGAACGAGGAATGGCATGCAAAGATGTCAAGAAGCAGAAGCCATAGCAGCAAAGGAAGACAGAAAAGGTCACAGGGGTTATCTTGAGGAGGACCCCTCCGGCACATACCCTAGAGAGGGGTTCAAGAGCAGGTCGATGATAGCCCAGGAGAATTATACAGTCCGATCCAAGAGTTATGAATGCGACACAAAGCAAGAATATTCTGGTAGTGTCTGATTCATTCTCGGCTTTTGAATCCTGAATGATCGAGGTGGTTGTCTTCTCTGAGGTTGTGTCCAGACTCCAGGTCTCGGTCCTTGTGGACCGCAATCTCGACTCGCCCATCACCAAGAAAAGGCGTGGTGGCAGAGTGGTCTAATGCGATAGACTAGAAATCTATTCTCTTCGGAGGCGTCTGTTCGAATCAGGCCCACGTCGATTGGTTTTTTTTGCTTCTTTTTGTGGTTGTTGATCACTTGGTTTCTTTTTGGTGTGTTTCCAAGATACTTGACAGATAAGATGAAAACAAACCGTGTTTATGTGGTTCGGATGAACTAGGAAAGAGCAGACAATAATATGATAAACTTTATCAAAGAAGTCATGATTTTTGTTCCGTGTGAGAGCATCATGTGGCAACAGACTGGTCTTGACGTCCTTGCTTGACAAAATTAACCAGTCATGAGGCTAACCATACGTGGCCTTCCTATTCTGTCTAGATCTACCCCTCCAAAACCGCCAACTCCACCATGAAAGACGGGAGCTTCTAGAAGATGCCCAAATCTTGAACTCGACAACCTCTCAACAAAGCCACTCTAACCCGACCCGATCGCAAACCTTTCTTCCGAACCAACTGAATCGCCATGGCCGCCGTAATCTCCGCCGACGACGCCCTCGAGCCGTCCCTCCAGTCCCTCCTCGACCAGCGCAGCCTGCGTTGGATCTTCGTGGGCGGCAAGGGTGGTGTCGGAAAGACCACCACCTCGTGCTCTCTCGCCATCCAGCTCGCTCGCGTCCGTCGCTCCGTTCTCCTCATCTCTACCGATCCCGCACACAACCTTTCCGATGCCTTTTCTCAGAAGTTTGGCAAGGAGGCCCGCCTCGTTAACGGCTTCGACAACCTCAGTGCTATGGAGATTGATCCCAACGGAAGCATACAGGACATGTTGGCTGGTCAGGGCGATGCTGATGATGTCAATGCTGCTGCTGGTGGACTGGGAGGCATGATGCAGGACCTCGCTTTTGCGGTGAGTTCAACAACCTCACAGCTCTAACTATTGCTGACATGACAGATTCCTGGTATCGACGAGGCCATGTCCTTCGCAGAGGTCCTCAAGCAGGTCAAGTCCCTCTCCTACGAAACCATCATCTTCGACACGGCCCCCACCGGTCACACCCTCCGTTTCCTCCAGTTCCCCACCGTCCTCGAAAAGGCCCTCGCAAAGGTATCCCAGCTCTCGTCGCAGTACGGACCCCTCGTCAACAGCTTCCTCGGCTCGGGCGGTCAGCTCCCCAACGGGCAGAACCTCAACGACATGGTCGAGAAGCTCGAGTCGCTGCGCGAGACCATCTCCGAGGTCAACACTCAGTTCCAGGACGCAGAGCTCACCACGTTTGTCTGCGTCTGCATCGCAGAGTTCCTGAGCCTGTACGAGACGGAGCGCATGATCCAGGAGCTTGCGGGTTACGGCATCGACACCCACTCCATCGTCGTCAACCAGCTCCTGTTCCCCAAGAAGGCGAGCGACTGCGACCAGTGTAATGCTCGTCGCAAGATGCAGCGCAAGTACCTGGATCAGTACGAGGAGCTCTACGCCGAGGACTTTAACGTTGTCAAGATGCCCCTGTTGGTTGAGGAGGTTCGGGGCAAGGAGAAGCTCGAGAAGTTTAGTGAGATGCTCGTTACTCCTTACGTTCCTCCGGAGTAAGCAGGTCTATAGACTCGGGTGCAAGACGTGGACGCTTTGAAGATTATCACGCAAGATGGAATGGGCAAGACAAAAAGAAAGGTCATGTAGTACATACAGGAGCAAAGAGGGCGTAGAGTTGTCGTTAGGGGTTGATGGTTTATGACAATACACGATGATATTTATTGGTTATGCACACACACAGTCACAAGAGAAAATACCCAAATCTCAGCAAGTTTGTTTATTATTTTATTTGTTTTCTGCTTCATGTTTGCCTCGTAGACTAGCGACCACTCGCTGTCAAGTCATGCCCCTACCAAGGCCAAAGTCTGATGAAGTAATACCTAAACCCCCAACCGGTGGCATAAACCGCCATGAAACCCTTCCAAGATCCATATCTACACCCCAAACGCCGTTCCGCTGGCTTGACGGAATCATGCAACATGTGAAAAGCAACCCCAAACCCCTTAAAACAATCCAGAATATGACAGCTCTGCAAAGCTCGCGTTGATGGCCTCATTGTACCTTGATGTCGAGATGGTGAGAAAACAAGAAACAGCCGCTGGTAGAAATCATAGTCGTGCGGGAGCTGAGCATCTGGCTCACAGCTCTCGATAGTCGCTGGGTCGAACTCTTCGCTGCTTGTTCTGGTGTCGATGGGGGTTGACGGGCTTGCGGAAGTAGGCGTCTTCGTCGGCAGCGTTGCCACCCTGGGAAAAGTTGCCGTTCTGGAAGCCATTCATGCCTCCATTCATGCCTCCGTTCATACCCATGTTTCCGTTCATAGGATTCATGCCATTCATGCCGTTCATACCATTCATTCCCATATCCCAACCGTTCATGCCCCCAAAGCCACCATTGATACCGGGGAACCCTGGCATGCCCATCATGTTGGGCATACCCATCATACCCATGTTCATGTTCATGTTGCCCATGTTTGGCATTGGCATCATGTTTGGCATCATGGGCATGCCGTTGAACATCATGTTATTCATTCCCATGTTCATACCCATGCCATTCATCATGTTGGGCATCATGTTTTGTTGGTTCTGCATTGCCTTGGGACCCTTGGGAATCCGGGGATTGTCGAGAATGTCGTCTGCGGGCCGCTTCTTGGAGTTGACATCCGTGGGCTTGGCGCTGTCGACCTGCTTGTCTGCGTCTTGTGAAGCGGGGACGAGGCTCTTGGGGCCAGTTGGTGGAGACTTGATAGTCGCCTTTTGAGAGGCGGGTGAATTTGACTTTTCCTTTGGCGAATCCTTGGCCTTGTCGGCAGCATCGCCCTCGGGCTTTTGCTCCGGCTTGTCAGCCACTGTAGTAGGGTTGTCCTCCTTCTCGCCATCAGCCTTGACTTCATCTGACGCCTTGGGTGACGGAGGGGGGGGGCTTTTGGCTGTCTCCTTCTCCTTCAGATAATCCTGAATCTTCTTCGATGTCTCCTCATCTGGTACGAGGTCATCAATCAGCACACCTTCTGACTGGCAGGCAGGGCAGACGAAGTCGCTTTCGATGAGAGCATTGGTTATGCAATCATTGCAAAAGGTCTTCTGGCAGCACGGAGTCTTCATTGGCTCTATGAACATCTTCTTGTCGATCGAACACTCCAAGCCCCGTTCTTGAATCTCCTTGTCCTCGGCCAGGGGTGCCTTGGCAGCGGAGGAAGACTTGGCCTTGGCCTGGAACTGTTCCCAAGATGCCTTGTCTGGTTCGGCAATGACAAAATCTCCTTCAGCGTTAACCATGATGCCTGAGGGGCGCTTGGATTCATCGCCGTCAGTCTGAGCTAGCACAACAGACTTGTCGACCTTTTGCAGGAACGAACGCGGAATTCCAGTAGTTCGCTTGACTCTCGGGCGATTGTCAAACTCGGGATCATCGTTAGTAGGGCAAAGCTGAATCCAGTGGCCCTTGTTGCCACAACGGTAGCAAATGTAGCCATTCGGGGGGTCATGGTCTGGGACATTTGCTGGCCTCTTCGCACCGGGCTTGAAGACGGGTGTTTGGCTATGGCATGTTAATAATTGATCTACTTCTACGGGTAGGCAATACTTACTGTGACATCTCTTCCTGCTGGGCTGACCACTGCTCGGTCTGCGCTGCAAACATGGCTGCCATCTTCTCCTCTTCGGTCATGGCATTGTTCATTTGGTTGATTGCGTTAGAACTAGGCTTTGATGCCGAGGCCTTTGCTGCTTGCTCTTTGCGACCAGCATTCTTGGCCGTTGAAGGCATCTTGCCGGATACATAACGGGCAGCCCGCCCCGCGCCTTGCTTAACGGCTGGCTGACGCCGAGCGATCACCGTTGTTGATCTGGGAATAATGGTGGTGTCGTCATCATATTCTGAGCAGTGATTAGCAGCGCTCTTGTGTTGCGCCTGGGATGTAAACTTACCCTCGCTGTTATCATCGGTGTAAATATGAAGATCGAAATCAGAGCCATCGCCAAGTCCGCTCTTGATGATGATTTCACGCTTGAGCTCAAAGACTGAGATACCAGTGCCGTCGAATTCGACTCTAGTGGGTTCCCTTTGGGACTTGAACTTGAAAAAGACGGAAGACGTCATGATGATTGATTTGTGCTGTGTGTTTTCCTACAAGGAATCAAGACACCACAGCACAGAGGGACAAGAGGTGGTGTTATAACGGAGGTCGATGAGTTTTCCAAGTCGAAGTGGCCGGGCGCACAGAGCACTATGTGAGTATTGATTGCCTCTTTTGTGTTTGCAGAGATAACTCTGATTGTTCTCTTTGTTTGTTGGTTTCTTTCTTGCACTGCCGTGCCTCTTTCAACTCTCGAGATGAACGGAAATAATCAATTTTGATTGTACTTGGAGGGAACAATAGCGGCAAAAGGGTCAAAAAAAGGTGCAATGAATAAAGGAGTACAGCTGGCCAAAGAAAACAGCCAGAAGAGAGACAACCCTGAAACTCCACCTCAATTTCCAGTCACCACGTTTGTTAAACCACTGAACCAGAGACCTTGAAGTTAGCAAGTTGTCCTAGGATCTACGCCCTTTCGAGAGAAGGCTAGCGACAGAGCACGGCGTCTCGAGTAGCGAGTATGCGAACGGTCGGGCTCGCGCGAGGTCGGCGAGATCGCGTCAGGTAACCGCGCGTTGCCAGGTGGATCAAACGGCCCTCGATAATCGTTGAGCAAGAGTGAAGAGAAGAAAAGGTCGCGCGCAGGCGAAAAAGAGTGCAGCCAAGTGACTGCTCTGGTGTCGCGAACTGAATACTCGATGGGCGGAATGAAAGCGACGATGGATGAGTATCGAGGCGAGTGGGGAGAGGAAGAGTCTTCGAGGGAGGAAAAGCACTGCCCCTGGGGTTAGTAAGCATCTAGACGTGAGGAGACCGGATGCCTGGGAGGGGGAATGCGCTCGAAATTCCGGAGTCGGATTACCGCAAAAAGGATTTTCCTCCCGATGACTCAGCCACTTACAGGCTGGCATGTGACGTAAAGGCTGGCTGCATCTTGTGCTCTTTTGTTCAACGCAAACGTTGCCCATTTTCCCTTACTAATCACTACTCGGCCTAATCATTATTGGTTGCCGCTACTAGCCGGCCATTCATTGCTCTCTCATTGCTTGCGTTCAAGCTGCCCCGCCATAAGGTGAGCACGGCGCTGTCTTGCATCACTATCAACCCGATAGAGCAGGTCCGGCGTAATGCCCCGCACCTTCCTCCTCAATAGGGCAGCTCTGTGTTGTTTTCGAGTAACAGCACTCCCCAAAAGGCCCTTTATATCATCTCGTGTCTCCCGGATCTCCTCACAATCACCCAAATTTCTTTCCCGCCCATACCTCACCGACTCTATACGCGCTCACCAAGCAAAGAAGATGGCCCCTCAACTTGACGGTTTCTTCAAGCAGGTCGACAGCTCTGCTGACGACTTCATTGAGCGCCTGCGCAAGGCTGTGGCTATTCCTTCGATTTCCGCCGAGGATGCTCGCCGCCCTGATGTCGTTCGCATGGGAGAGTTTCTCGCCGAGGAGCTCAAGAGCCTGGGAGCTTCGGTAGAGCTTCGACCGCTGGGAAAGCAGCCCCACAAGGAGCACCTCGACCTCCCTCCCGTCGTCCTCGCTCGATACGGAAACGACAGCAACAAGCGAACCATTCTCGTCTATGGTCACTACGACGTTCAGCCTGCCGAGAAGAGCGACGGCTGGGCTACCGAGCCCTTCGATCTCACCGTTGACGAGAAGGGTCGCATGTTCGGACGTGGATCTACGGACGATAAGGGCCCTGTCCTGGGTTGGTTGAATGCCATCGAGGCCCACCAGAAGGCGGGTGTCGATTTCCCCGTCAACCTGCTCATGTGCTTCGAGGGTATGGAGGAATATGGTTCTGAGGGCTTGGACGACCTCATCAAGGAAGAGGCCAAGAAGTACTTTGCTGATGCCGAAGCTGTCTGCATTTCTGACAACTACTGGCTCGGTACCGAGAAGCCTTGCTTGACCTATGGTCTCCGAGGCTGCAACTACTACTCGGTTGAGATCTCCGGCCCTGGCGCTGATCTTCACAGTGGTGTCTTTGGTGGCACGGCCCAGGAGCCCATGACCGATCTCGTCAGGGTTCTGGGATCGCTGGTCAACACTGATGGTCAGATCCAGATTCCTGGCATCATGGAGCAGGTTGCCCCTGTCACCGCCGACGAGGAGGGTCTCTACGATGGCATCTCCTTCACTATGGACAACATCTACGAGTCGCTCGGTAGCACGACGACTATTTTTGAGGACAAGAAGAGCACTCTTATGGGCCGCTGGCGATACCCCTCTCTGTCTCTCCACGGTATCGAGGGTGCCTTTTCCGCTCCAGGAGCCAAGACTGTCATCCCTGCCAAGGTCATTGGAAAGTTTTCGATCCGAACAGTACCCGATATGGACATTGACACAACCAACGAGTGTGTGTACAAGTACGTGAAGGAGCAGTTCGCCAAGCTCAACAGTAAGAACACCCTGAATGTGTTCGCACAGCACACTGGCAAGTGGTGGGTGGCGTCGCCCAAGCACTGGAACTTTTCGGCTGCTGCCAAGGCTGTTGAGCGTGTGTGGGGTGTTCAGCCCGACTTTACTCGCGAGGGTGGAAGGTAAGAGTCCTTGATGTAAAAGAATATGTGTTGATTGCTAACAATCCTTGCCAGTATCCCCGTTACTCTGACCTTTGAGGAGGCCACTGGCAAGAACGTTCTGTTGCTTCCCATGGGTAGCTCGACTGATGGTGCGCATTCCATCAACGAGAAGCTGGACAAGCGCAACTACATTGAGGGCATCAAGCTGCTAGGAGCCTACCTGCACTACGTTGCCGAGGAGCCCAAGGCCTAAGCTAAGAACATCCATAATAATGAAGATGATTGAACGTGATATGGTATCCTAGTTTGGAGTTCTGTGACATGTTTGGTGTGTTTGTGGACAGGGTTCCGATGAGTGAGGGTTTGAAAGTGATCTCAACTTCCTTGATGCTCCTTGTGAGCACGAGTATGATGCCGGATCCCTTGTTACAAACGTGCTCTTGGCATTGCTACGCCATCCATCGACAACGGCCCCCACTTCCTTAGGAAAGTTAATGATGGCCATGTAATCATCATTTTTGTAAGCTGAGTAACAAGAACTCACTTCCATCCGATAGCAATACACTATTCTCTGACTGGCAAAATATCCAACTGATAAGGGATTGTTGATTAATACCAGTTGGTGATAGTCGTGATGATAGGCTTCGGAATGAGAGTTTCCCATCTGCACGTTCCCGCGAGCGACCCCACACTGTACGTACCTTGAACCCCTCCCTTCGAGTCCGCTCCAACCGCCATCCATTCTTGCCCCTCCACCGCCCTTCCATCCACCCGTCCAATCCGTCCATCCATGTTAGTTGACTGATGAGACAGGTCCGGTGATCGCTGCCCGGCTGAGCCGTCGCCGACATGGCCAAGTGACCGCTGCATTGCTTTTATCGCCGGAGGTCGCGGGAGATACTCGTCTTTTCCTCACCTGCAGCCTCACATACTCGACTGTAACACCTCTTGTCTCGCCTGCGCATCCCTTGTTGAGCTCCTCAACGTTCAAGACTCTCCAGGCCTTACAACGACCCGACTGTACGCCACTGGTGGAGTGCCTGACTCTGGCAGTGGAACTCAACCGCTCTAACCACACCTTATCGGACCCTTGAATCTACCACTGGAAAAGTTCCAAGAAACGGTCACACTTGAAGATATTTATTTCACTGCGGAATATCAGATCTGGGATCGTACAAAGAAGTCAGCTTCGACCGTCGGGATGGTTCGCGAGAGTGGCATCTCGGCTACCAAGCCCATCTTTCCCACCTACCTGTTGTCTACCATCAGACTACCTTTCTCTCGTCGCCACTCTGCCTCTTCGAGTTCTGCCAGCGACTCGACCGCTTCTTCTGCTGTCACAACACCGGCAAGCTCACCTCCGAACCATGGACCCTTGACAAATGCCGAAAAGGGTTCTCGGTTAAGCAAAACCGCGCCGAATACTCTACGCTGCGCCGGATGCTCGACCGACCTTGCCTTTGCCTCTCAGATCATATCCAAGGGTTTTACGGGCCGATACGGTCGCGCGTTCCTTGTTGCTCCGCCTGCACTGCCGGCACCCCAGACACTGAATAATATTCGAGTTGGCAAGAGTGAGAACCGACAACTTGTAACAGGCTGGCATATAGTGGCAGACATCACCTGTGGGATCTGCTCAACCAAGCTGGGTTGGAAATACGTCGACGCTAAGGAGGAAGGGCAAAAATATAAAGTTGGCAAGTTCATCCTGGAGGTAGAGCGAGTCGTCACATATCGAAGCTGGGAAGATACCGCCGATGACGATGGCACCTACTTGCCCGAATTGGACAAGCACGACGAAGACGAGATCGTGTTTGATTCAGACGATGAAGATGAGTGCGAGGACATATTCGCGGGGACCTGGGACCCTGAAGTAGTAGGAAGGAGGCGGAGTCGAATGGTTGCACGAACAAGTCGTGCCGGGAACGAATAGGTCATCGTTGCTGTGGTGCTTCGAGGCGCATGCCCCTTGATCTGGGGTTAGTTGAAACATTGGAATGGCGTCAAGGGATGGATGAATACTGAGACCAGGATGGCTCACGAACAGGACAAATACCCAAGAGGAGGAAACATGACGGAATGAAATTGCTAGTAATTATCAACCACTCAAGTTATTGAGCTGTCTACCCCATACTCAGGGGATCCAACAGTTTCGACTGTCGGTGGAAATGATAGAACCAATGTGACCGTGGCGTTTGTGGCTATGGTTAACTCAACGTCTAGACTATCCGGGCCGTGGACTTGCTCGTGTCGATACTGGGGTAGCGGGCAAGAATGGTTCTGGGATTATTTCCACCTCGTGTCACTCATCAACCTGGCATGCCTGCACGTTGTCTGGCGGAGCAACATGTCTTGAGACATCCCCCCTTCAATCTTGACCGCTGCCGAGCCGGTATCGGTTGGGCGTTGAGGAATCTGAACATACTGACGTCGAACTGTTGTCATGTAGACTATTCAATGTGAAAAGAACGGGTCTTGATATGATGATATTGAGCCTCGTGAACAAGAGTTTCCACATATCGCTTGAGATGACTTCACTCGGAGCTGCCTCTGCTGGACAACACGCAACATGTCGTTCAGACTGTTGGAGCGGAGTTGCCTGTTGGGGTATCCCATATACTTCCAAATCATGCCCAAACGTCCAAGCCAACCTGACAGTTTGGCCATGTCAGGTCATCTAAGATCCCCAGTTTACATCTCTTGTCAAAGCACAAGCACAAGCGTAAGCACAGGGGCCTGGTATGCGAGACACAGCAGTTCAGGGGGGGATTGCATCCAGGTGTCCGGCAGTCGAGTGACCTTTGAAATGGTCTGATGGTATCGGCCGAATATCCCAGGCTTGAATTTGTATGTCCAGCATCCTGGGATTGGTAAAGGGCTGAGGTGGATGGGTGGATGGATGGGCGGGATGGGTGTGCTGGGCACGCGGGATGTCATGGTGGGGGGAAGCCGTTTGCATGGGGGCCAGCTCGGCTGGGCGAGGTGCGTCCTGGGGGTAACACAGCAGTGGGTTACAGCGGGCAACGCGCAGCAACAGCGCTGCCGGGGAGGTCAGGTATGGGGCGGTTCTTGATGTTTGTGCCCCCTGTAGTGGAGCACCCCTGCTGCTACTGCTGCGTGATATCGTCACATCAAACACCAAAAAAAGCAGAGGCGGATCTGGGAGAGAGGTGAAACAGAAGAAGCCCACGAACCAAAGGCTGGACAACTGCTTCTTCGCCCTGCTCTTTGCGCCCTCACCGAACGACTCTGCATCAATTGACCCCCGCCGCGGCCCCTGTGGCCTCTTCACCGCTTCCCCGGTTAGGAAGTTCGGTCAACGAGACCGAGGCCGTTTGCTAACCTAGAAACCTACCTGGATCTTTCTCTCCCGTCGCTTGCTCCAGCTGGCTTCGTCACCGTCACTGGGGACAGGCCTGGCTCCATTCCATCCTCCCTCCATCCCACCTCATCCAAAAGAAAAAGGCCCAAGCTCTCCGCCACTTTCTTTGCTCCTCCCGCCCTCTCCTCTCAAAAAGCCCCCTCCATACCCTGCCGTCATCCCCTACAATTCCTTCAAAACCAGACCTCCACAGCTACTTGTTTTGTTTTCCTGCATCCTCGTGACTTGTCCCTAGTTACGTCTGACTGACTGGTGCCCCTTTCTTCTGACCTCTCAACCTTGTCAGCTCAATTCGCCTGTGCCATATAATCTGCAAAGCTTCACACTTGGCTCCCGTCCCTCCATCCATCCACCATCCACCCATCTGGCCAACCCCGCTCTGTCCCATTGACAAAGACAGCTTCAATCCTGCTATCGCCATGGCAGCGCCCAGCCACCGCTCGCGCGGTTCTGACGATGGCGTCTTTGACGATGCCAGAACATATTATACCGAGGAGCGCCACACCAATCGTGCTGGCCCTCGCACCCGAACATACTCGCAGGTGAGCAGTGAGGTGTCCTTGGTGCAGGTGCAGCAACCTTATCTGACACGGTGCATGTAGAACAGTTTGATGCGCCAATTCGAAAGAGTTGGCCTTCGTGAGCCCTTCCGACGAGGTAGTCATGGTAAGCAGCTAAAGACGTCATTGGACAGCGAGGTTTTGAAGCTGACGTTTCGCCCCAGATGAGAACACCCAGCAGAGCCGCCGATTCCTCATCCAGGTGGACTCGACCCTGGAGAGCCTGCAGCTGCAGGAAGATACCGATGGAAATATGCAAATCACAATTGAGGACAACGGTCCCAAGGTCATTTCGCTGCGGACCGCTGCCTCTGCTGGCCACAACCGGTTCGACGTTCGAGGAACATACATGCTGTCCAATCTTCTCCAGGAGTTGACTCTTGCTAAAGAGTACGGACGTAAGCAGATTGTGCTCGACGAGGGACGACTCAACGAGAATCCTGTCGATCGATTGTCTCGCATGATTCGCGATCACTTTTGGGAGGGCTTGACCAGACGCATTGATGCATCCACTGTCGACATTGCCGCTCGAGACCCCAAGGACTGGACCGATGACCCCCGTCCGCGTATCTACATCCCACACGGATGCCCCAAGCAGTACGAGTTTTACAAGAGAGTTGCTGAGGAGAGACCCGACTTGCGACTGGATGTTCAGCTCCTGCCCGAGAAGATTACCCCGGAGCTTGTCCGTGATATGAACGATGCGCCTGGTCTGCTGGCTGTGGATGTTGAGGAGGTGGAAGACCCAAGCCACCCCAGTGGATGGTCTCTGAAGGGCTTGCCGTTTGTCGTCCCTGGTGGCCGCTTCAACGAGCTCTACGGATGGGACAGCTACATGGCGTCTCTGGGTCTTCTTATCAACGACCGAGTTGACCTGGCCAAGTCTATGGTCACCAACTTCTGCTTCTGCATCGAGCACTATGGCAAGATCCTCAATGCCACTCGATCCTACTACCTATGCCGATCGCAGCCTCCATTCCTGACTGACATGGCTCTCCGAGTCTACGAAAAGATCAAGCATGAGCCAGATGCCAAGGAATTCCTCCGACGCTCAATCTTGGCGGCCATCAAGGAGTACCACAGCGTGTGGACGTCAGAGCCTCGACTTGACCCTATCACTGGTCTCTCGAGATACCGACCAGAGGGTATGGGTGTGCCTCCTGAGACTGAGGCTACCCACTTTGTGCACATTCTTGACCCATACGTCAAGAAGCACAACATGACCTTTGAGCAGTTTGTGCGCGCTTACAACCATGGCGAGGTCAAGGAGCCTGAGCTCGATGAGTATTTCATGCACGATCGCGCTGTGCGAGAGTCTGGCCATGACACCTCGTACCGCCTCGAGGGAGTGTGCGCCAACTTGGCCACCATCGACCTCAACTCCCTACTTTTTAAGTATGAGACCGATATTGCCCGTACTATTCGCAGCGTCTTCAACGACAAGCTTGCCATGCCCGAAGAGTTCTGCGCTGGAACCCCATATCAGCCAGGAGAGATCCTTTCGTCGGCAGCCTGGGACCGACGAGCCAAGCGACGCAAGCTGACAGTTGACAAGCTGATGTGGAACGAAGAGGAGGGCATGTTCTTTGACTACGACACGGTGAAGCGTGAGCGTTGCACATATGAGACTTGTACAACCTTCTGGGCCCTCTGGGCTGGTATCGCGACACCAAAGCAGGCCGCCGAGATGGTGCGCAAGGGTCTCCCCAAGTTTGAGGCCTACGGCGGTCTCGTCTCAGGAACGGAGGAGTCGCGCGGAGCGGTCGGCCTCAACCGGCCTAACCGGCAGTGGGACTTCCCGTACGGCTGGCCGCCACAGCAGATGCTGGCTTGGACTGGATTGATCCGCTATAGCTTCACTGAGGAGGCGGAGCGGATTGCTTACAAGTGGCTCTTTATGGTGACCAAGGCGTTTGTCGACTTCCACGGTGTGGTTGTCGAGAAGTATGACGTGACGCAGCCAGTTGATCCCCACCGAGTGGACGCCGAATATGGCAACCAAGGTCTGGGCTTCAAGGGCGTCAACAAAGAAGGGTATGTTTTCTGATGTCAAGACGAGGCATGGACAGCCTGCTAACTATCAATGCAGATTCGCATGGGTTAACGCGAGTTACGTCTACGGATTGCAGATTGTCAACGCTCACATGAGGAGAGCTCTAGGAGCGCTCACACCTTACCCAACACTGATCAAGGCTATTGAGCAGAACAACGAAAAGGCGCTTGCTGCCCTACTGGCACCTTAAATAATGCGCCGAGAGTTGGAATGCTCGAGTGGGCTGAAGGCAACACCAGGTGACGCCGTGAGGGAAGTGACATTTTGCCATGATATGCCATCTTGGTTTTTGTCTTTGTTCTGTCGCATCAAAGTCTTTGCTCGGAGTTGAACTTGAGGTACGAATTGTATGTCGGCAGTACGGGGTGACATTGGGTCGGTTTGGCAGGCTGAGGACATCCTGACGAGTTGAAAAGCGTGTAATAGGGGAGATCGATACTAGAGGCAGCAGCACCATCGAACGGGAGAAGGGGCGAGAGGCTGTGGTGATAGTTGATGGGACAGGACGGAATCAGCACAGGTCAGGGCACAGGTTGCTCACAACACTGACTGCTACTGCCTATCCCAAGTCCAGTCTGTGTCGGTGTCGAACTGACGAGATCTGAATGAGATGAGCTGGGCCGGGCTTGATAGAATGCAGTACTGTATTGAGTCAGGAATTGAATAGCCGGTGCAAGTGAGTGACAGTGGATGTATTTCCATGTGATGCATGCAATGCATGACTTGTGTAAGTATAACGATGTGGTCGATATGACGAGGGCCATCGGTTGGTAGTGTCAAGCTCGGGAAGTGACCGAAGACAAATGACGGCTGATAGGGCACGTGAGATCCATGAAACAAAGGAATCTGCCGTCAGAGGAAGTTTACCAAGGTAGGCAAGGAGGTAAGCTCAAAGTGTACCAGAGGTTTGGGGTTCTCGGTAGAATGAAAGCGGATGGCCGAGGTAGTTTTGTGCCTCGAGACGTAAGGCGTGGGGTTGACGGATGACATTGGCCTCTCATAGGTATCTGGAAACGCAAGGATAGGGGACAGCTTCTAAAAGCAGGGGAAAAGAGATGCAGGAAATAGATGCTGTAGGTGGTAGAAGGGTGTGGGAGGGGTGGACTTCAATTCCCGGACAAGTGCAGCTCCGAGGGAGTATCAAGGCCGTGAGATTCGGAGAAGTATGCTCGGAGAACCGATGAAACTGTCAAAAAAAGGACGGCTGCTGTTCTCGGTGACTGAGCGAGAGACTGCGGCGGGTTTGCTTCACATGCCAGAGACCTCCGCTGCTCCGGTGAGGGCGGGACTCGGCCTCGGCCAAGTTCCGGGGACGGGGAGAGGCGAGGCAGGGACGGAGGAAGGCCGAGAAGGGCAGATTGCGTGCGTGCAAGAGGAATTGTGCCGGTGTAGAGAAGGAAAAAGATTGAGGCCTGGTTGATTTACTGATATGCTGATTTGAATTGCATTGATATGCAGCGTCAACTGCATCGTCGTGATGTTGGTGATGGTTGATCCTCTGAGCCGTGATCTAGTTCAACTAGAAGAAACCTAGATCCGGTCTAGAGGAATAAGGTCACAACCGGTGAAGAGGGACAGCCAGGTTCGAGGTGAGTTCAAGGTGAGAGAGGGAGTACCCCAGGTTTCGAGGAGGATTACTTCATCTAGCATGGATCAGGTTAGATGCGGTACGGTAGATGGTCAAGTACCGTATCTGAGATTTTGGGGTATGGGATCTCGGTTTGCGTTTGTCGGGGAAAAGGCACATGGCGGACCCGAATTTTACACAAGGGGTTTTGTACATTGTCTTTTTAGAGCCGTTGTTGGCCGAAGTTTACTCTTCTCGTCGGCGACTCGGAAAGGGTCATGAGACTTGTTTATTGTGAAGGAGCTGAAGAATTGGCTTTGGCATTCAGTCAGATCAGGCCTGGAAGAGGGTATCATTGCCGGTATAGTATCTGATCAAGAGGCCTCAGATCAAAGACACCTACCTAGGTATTGACACGACGGCGTTCGGCATCTCGGTCAATGGGCGGCAAAAAAGTACGCCCTGACCAGCGGATCCCCGGATCCGCCATGTGCGACAAGGTGTGAGGTGCTAGGCTGTGCCAGCCTTTGAGCCGAAGATACGCAAGACTTGACTTGAAGAAAAGAAACAGAGAGGAAGGAAAAGACGTCATGCAGGTTCATTCTCCCCAGGGGCGCACATTCTGACGGCTCTGCAAGGCCAGGGGATGGACATGTACCGAGCTCCGTTTTTACTCTGCTCTGCAGGCGGTATGTACAAGCTGCGTAATAAATGCACAATACGGAGTGTATATATAACGTCTCTGTAAGCCCAATTGCCCATCGCGATCACGCTGCGGCCGTTGATTCGACAGATGCTCCCATCAACCGTCGATGGAGGATTCCCGTCCACTGTCTCTGCTCTTCCGTGATGGCCTCGACGTTTCTCCCCTCGGTGACTGTCCGGAGGTACGTACCCGCACCGTCCGGCTCGTTCTACCCCAGTTTGTTGTTTGGCCACGGATCATGCCCGCGCGCCGGCCGGTTGGACGGGGTTAGACGCCACCCCTCCCCTGTTTTTGCGGCTGCTCGTGACGACAGGATGGCGGCTCTTGACATCCTGTCCATTGATTTCAGGGCCGAGGTGCAAAAAAATTGTTGTTCAAGGGCTGGCGGGTTTAGATTTGGTTTACATGCTCGGTGGGATTCCGAGCGAGGGCCACTATTCTTGAGCCGCAGTTGAAGCGCTGGTACCTGGCTGGGTACTTGGGTTACGTAGTTGATGCTATACAGAGTACCCTTATGTTTTCAAGTATCGAGTTGCAATGAATACCACTGTAAACTACCCGTTCGTCCGACTCGTCAAGACACATGCAAAACTCAATGGCAAAAAATACACAGAAAAAAAAAAGACAATCTGGTTAGACTGACGGATCTGTCCTGGCCTTGTGATTCTGGACCAGGCCCTGTTTGCCGCTCTCGTGGCTGGCTCTTTTCCTCGTGGAGGGCGGGTCCACTATTTCGTTATGGTACCTCCATCCCATCTCCACCTCCACCCTCCACTTACAACTTCCACTCCCCCAGCTCTTGTTCGCCTTTCAACCACGGCTAACCAAAAGGCCAGGCGAGACCAGACCAAATCCGACCCTCAACCCCAATCATTGCCTCTCTCCAATCACTGTGGATACCCTGGGCGTGCATCCTGCCTGTCCTGACTCGGTGGGGCACCCGCTGAACGCCGGGTGCGGAGAACAATGACCACCATGGGGAATGGGACCGACGGGGGGACGGGGCACAGGAGAAAGAGATCCAAGGTCGAGTGACTCAAGCTGTTTAGAATTCCCGGCCGTGATTCTACTTAATATAGCCTTCTCCCTCATCCTTTGACTCGAAAAAAAGTCTCCAATTCCTTCATTCTCATTCATCTTCACTCCTGTCTTGTGATACCCTCCTCCGTTTCCGCCCCCCTTCAACTTACACACGCGACCACCTCAACTCAACCCAATTCACCTCCAACCCTCATCACAAACAGTCACAATGGCGGCCAACAACATGGCGAACCCCTCCGTGAACCCGGATCACGAGGACGAGCTCTTCCAGAAGGAGGTTGAGGCTGTCAAGGCCTGGTGGTCCGACTCGCGATGGCGACACACCAAGCGACCTTTTACCGCCGAGCAGATCGTCTCCAAGCGAGGATACCTGCCCATCAACTACGCCAGCAACGCCCAGGCTAAGAAGTTGTGGAACATTCTTGAGCAGCGCTTCGAGGTGAGCAACTATGCGACTCGGGATGCTTGATCAACGCCAGACCACTAACACGCATTGTCTAGTCCCGAGATGCTAGCTACACCTATGGCTGCTTGGAGCCTACCATGGTCACTCAGATGGCCAAGTACCTCGATACCGTCTACGTCTCTGGATGGCAATCATCTTCTACCGCCTCTGCTTCTGACGAGCCCGGTCCCGATCTGGCTGATTACCCCTACGTGAGTCTTGCGCCCAAAGCTATTGCTATGCATTAAGCATGGCTTTCACTCAATTGCACTTGCGATTCAGTTTACTGACTCGGAATTCAGACTACCGTCCCTAACAAGGTCGGCCACCTCTTCATGGCTCAGCTCTTCCACGACCGCAAGCAGCGCCAGGAGCGCCTGAGCGTCCCCAAGGCTCAGCGTGCCAACCTCCTCAACATTGACTACCTCCGCCCCATCGTCGCCGATGCTGACACCGGTCACGGTGGTCTCACTGCCGTCATGAAGCTCACCAAGCTCTTCATCGAGAAGGGTGCTGCCGGTATCCACATTGAGGATCAGGCCCCCGGAACCAAGAAGTGCGGCCACATGGCTGGCAAGGTCCTTGTCCCCATCCAGGAGCACATCAACCGCCTGGTTGCCATTCGCGCGCAGGCTGACATCATGGGTGAGTTTATTTACCCCAGATTCTCCAAATCTCACATGTGGACGTTGAAGGCTGACATGTGATATCAACAGGCTCTGATCTCCTCGCTATCGCCCGTACCGACGCCGAGGCCGCCACCCTCATCACCACCACCATCGACCCCCGCGACCATGCCTTCATCCTCGGCTCCACCAACCCCTCCCTCAAGCCCCTCAACGATCTCATGATCGCCGCTGAGCAGGCTGGCAAGAACGGTGCCCAGCTTCAGCGCATCGAGGACGAATGGCTGGCCCAGGCCAAGCTCAGCCGCTTCGACGACGCCGTCGCTGCCGCCATTGACGCCGGCTCCTACTCTAACAAGGCTGGCCTGAAGAGCGACTATGCTGCCAAGGCCAAGGGCAAGAGCAACACTGAGGCTCGCGCCATCGCCAGCCAGATTCTCGGCCGAGACATCTTCTTCGACTGGGACGCCCCCCGAACCCGTGAGGGTTACTACCGCCTCAAGGGTGGCTGTGACTGCGCCGTTAACCGCGCCATCGCCTACGCCCCCTACTGCGACGCCATCTGGATGGAGTCCAAGCTGCCCGACTTTGCCCAGGCCAAGGAGTTCGCCGACGGTGTCCACGCCGTCTGGCCTGAGAAGAAGCTCGCCTACAACCTGTCTCCCTCTTTCAACTGGAAGACTGCCATGCCCCGCCAGGAGCAGGAGACCTACATCCGCCGCCTCGCTAAGCTCGGCTACTGCTGGCAGTTCATCACCCTCGCCGGTCTTCACACTACTGCTCTCATCAGCGACCAGTTCGCCAAGGCCTACAGCACTGTTGGCATGCGCGCCTACGGCGAGCTCGTCCAGGAGCCCGAGATGGACACCAAGGTCGACGTTGTCAAGCACCAGAAGTGGAGTGGTGCTACCTACGTCGATGAGCTCCAGAAGATGGTCACCGGTGGTATCAGCTCTACCGCTGCCATGGGTGCTGGTGTGACTGAGGACCAGTTCAAATAAACTGGGAGATGCCTAATGAAACCAATGAAAAGAAAAAGAGTACGACTTTCAACGATGCATCGGCGAGGAAGAGTACAGTACAGTAGACTAAAAAAAGGACCCAAGGGTTGTTGGTCCACAGACGGAAAGGGAAGCGGCGACAATGTGCTTTTAGCCATCATGTTTTGGACGTTTGATATCATACCGCGGAAATGGTGTTTGTTTCTGTTTTCATTAACGTCGCCTGCTTTTCTTATTACCATACAAGTTCATATACAAACTAGGACATTTGGTCACTAGAATTAAAAGATTTTTTTCATCTTCAATCTCGACGTTTCATCTGAATATGTGAAGTAATGTGAGCTCGCTGGCACCTCCCTCCCAAATCTATCTAGGTGGTGTAATCCGTGCCATTACCTTTCCTGCGCCCTGTTCCCTTCCACCTTGAACCCGTCATACTGCATATAGGCATTGCAACTTCGTATCAACATTGAGTGATTGGACTCAGCCCGTGGTAATGAAAAAAAAAGACGTCGCCAACACAATCTGTGCAAGATGGCTATAAATCCCATCCCCTCTTGCGCTTCCGGCTCCGATCCGACCCCGAGGCTCGGTCCGTCCGCCCGGTCACGGTGCCGACTGCCAAGACCTATCGATCCCAAGAGCAACCGCTCCGCAATGGCCTCCTTGAAACGATCCCTTGGACTGGAACGTCTTCCTCCAAACGCGCATGGGTAGCGCGCGACTCTGGGTGGTAGAGTGCGTCTTAGCAAATTGCTGTGGACGCAACATGGTGCGATTCGGCACGTCCGAGGAACGTGAATGATTGTGGTACCAATATCAAACAATTTCCCTCCCCTAGTCCGCTTCCGCCAGCTGCATAATCAACTTGGCAGCCATGTCCAAGAAAGGGAAAGGACTGGTGACGTCCTTTTCCTCGAGCAGCCGGCCTTGGGCTGTCTCGTAACCAGAGCACTTGAAATCAACCAGGTAGACCCCGTGCTCCATTTCGTAGATCTGAATATCCAGGTGCAGGGCGACGAATGGCTCATGGGCGTGTCGTCCATCAGAGGTGCCGGCTTTTTCCTCCAGCTTTTTCCTGAGGGCTGATGCTGTTGTTAGTGACAGAGAAGTAGAGAGGAATGCACTGGACTTACTTGACGTATCCCAGCGGACATTAATGTGCCATGGGTCGGCTGGTAGTCTGTATCGCTTCATAGGATCAATGCTCGAGCTGGAGCCTCGGCTTCCATCATAGGAATCGGCAAAGCTGCCGTCACCCGATGCTTCAGCACGCTCCTCTGCGTGTCGTGACTCGTATTCCTCGTCAGGGATATATGTCGCTCCCAACTTGTGCAGAGCCTTGTGGATGCACAGAAGGGCTTCCCATGGCGAGTTACGTGATCGGATACCAAACTGCCACCGCACCGGCTTCGTCTTCTTAGGAGGGTTGATGGGTGTCATGCCTTGGGGTCTTGTGTTGGCTTCGTCAAGGCGTAGCTGGCTTCGCGAATGCGGCCTGAGACGGCGTGATGTCTCTTCCTTCTCAGCATCTGTCCTAGCAACTGGGAGCTCGTCGTTGATCAAGACCTGAGGAGGCGAGTTGTTGATGGCGCCGGCCTTTTCTCGCTCGACGTAGTCCTTGTGATAGGCTGGAAGACTTGAAGGCAGAATGCCAACCTTGCTCACATAAGGGCGAGGGGTAGTCGTGGTAGTGGTCGAAGTCGCCGACCGGGCTGAAGACATGCTGAGCATGGGGCTTGACCCTTCAGGCTCGAGCAATGCTTCAGGGTGTTCTGCATCAGTTTCAATACACCATGGGGCCAGGCAAACTGGAAGGGGACTCACGATTCACTTGCATCATCTTGTTCTCTCTCACGATCATGTAAGCATCCTTGATGGCTGAAGGCTCGGATGCCTGCAGTGCCTCCTCGACATCGTTCTTGCCGTAACCCATTGTCTTGCTGATCTTTTCCGTGACTTCATTGTGAAGTCTCTCTTGAACCTTTTCGGGGGCGTTCGGCGCGATATCGTTCTTTTGGATGGCCTTGTTGGGGTCCACTCCCGTGTTGAAAAACTCTTCGACGGGAAGTTGGAGATAGACTGGGAGATCGGTGATGAACCAAGGATCTGCCCGGATATCCTCGATCGTGGCTCGGTGCACGGGGTTGACCACCAGCATCTTCTTAATCAAGTTGGCGGCGCCAAGAGGCATCCACTGGGGGATGCTGTAGGTACCCTTTGCGATCTTGGCAAATAGGCTGGGGATGTGCTCGTCGTCAAAGGGAAGGCGGCCGACCAGGAGGACATAGAGAATGACACCGCAACTCCACACATCTACTTCTGGACCAGCATACAGCTTTCCACCGATAACCTCGGGGGCTGCATAGTTGGGACTGCCGCAGCTCGTCTTGAGGAAGTTGCCGTCCGTCATGATATTGCTGAGACCGAAATCTGCAATCTTGACGTTGAGGTTCTCGTCAAGGAGCAAGTTCTCAGGCTTCAAGTCACGGTGGACAATCTTGTGACGATGGCAGTATTCCACTGCGCAAAGCATCTGCTGGAAGAAGCGACGGGCCTCAGCCTCCTTCATACGGCCGTGCTGGACAATGTAGTCGAAGAGCTCTCCACCAGCGTATTCGAGAACCATGATGATCTCATTGGGAGTCTTGATGACGGTGTAACTAAACAACCGGGGTTAGTTATGTCGAGGTTACATGCTCGCATGTGTAACGTACAGCTTAATGATATGGGGATGACGCAGCAGCTGGAGGTATTCGATCTCGCGCTCCACGCGTCCAGCCATGTCACGGCTGATGAGCTTCTTCCTGGCGATGATCTTGAGGGCGACCTGCTGGCCGGTGCCGTTGTGAATAGCAAGCTTCACCTTGCCAAAGGAGCCCTCTCCCAGGGTGCGGAGGACCTTGTAGGCGCCGATGCGCTGCTCCGTCTTGATCCTCTCCTTGAGCGGCGCATCGGCGGGGCGGGTGCCAGGTTGAGGAGCATGTTGCTGCGGCTGCGGTTGCTGCTGCTGAGGTCGACGGACGTGTGATGAGGACAAGGAAATGGTCAGCTCCTCGTCCTCGAAGCCTCGGGGAGCCATGGTGATGTCGGAGGAGGGGTGTCGAGAGCCTTGACCAAGGCCAGGAACGAGAGAAAGCGACGGCGGGGTTGGAGGGATCTCGATGGGTACCTAGCGGCGGTAGATGTTGGTGCCCGCTGGGTATCGGGTGCTAACAGCGAATATCAGGACAATGGGCGAGGACGACACAATCCTGATATGTGTGATATGGTCGGTCTGAAGATGAAGGAGGGGAGGGGGCGTTCACAAGGATGAGACGACAGGATGCAAGAGTTGGTGGTGGTGGGCGCCCAAATTATTAGTGCTGTAGCACATGGGAAGTGGTGCGCTCTAAAAGCTCCAGTCTCTCGCTGTGGGAGTCACTGACGATGGATGGATGGGTACCCCGGCAGCCCGGGGAGGGGCCCCTCCTACCAGGTGAGGTCGGGTTTTAGTGGATCCCCAGCCAACGTCGTTCATGGATGGATTGGATATCAATGGCTGGGAGTAAACGAGACGTGAAATGTGGACCATTGATACTGTATCTCGGTATGTACGATTGATTCTGAGCTCTTGAACAATGCTTGTTATCATCACAATCTCGACCGACAAGATCCCATCCGAATACGCAACCGAAAGCGTCCTCTTTCAGCTCGAATCTGTTGGGCTTCCTCCTCTCACCTCGTCTCCTTGAAAAATTCTTGGTGAAACCATTCGTTCGTTCGTGCCTTGTTGGTCGTCGTGTTAATCAGCCCATGATTCATATGCACCTCTGGCCTCATACAATCCATCAGTTGAGACTACTCGTGGCTGGTTTCCCACCAACTTTTTTTTTTCTTACCGTCTGATTTATTGTCAGCCCGTGGAAACCTCCCAACAACTCAGACAATAAAAGCTGTGAATTAAACATGGCTCGGGAAACCCGGATACTTATTATGTAACCATGAAGAGTTTCGAACCTTAGGTTGCTGGTATCCATCACACAACAATCGTCACTTGACTCATCCCGGCCAACAAATGCAATGATATTCGTACAATAGTCGTTACAGCTATGATACATTGTCTTCAAGAGCAGCTCTAACTCCAAGCCACTCATTTTCCCCTTTTTCGTCCTCCATCTCTTAATACGTACACAGACACGTCACTCCCTCAACGAGCTCAACCACTACGTTGCTTGGCCTCCTCGTGCCTCAGCCTCTCAATCAACTTCGCCTCCAGAAACGGACTGAGTCCCAAGCTGTGTCTCCCATTAGTAACACTCCCGTAGATCAGTTATAAAGGTCACTCACATTCCAGCATTGGTGAGGATGCGGTATGTCCCACTGGGCTGCACCTTGCCGATGATGGTCCCAGAGTCGTCTACCTCGACGCTCCCCAGGATATCCTCCGGCCAAGCTATCCGTCCAAAGTCTGGGGGGTTCCGTCGGTCGCTGAGATGCACCCATCCTCCCCGTCCTCCCCCACCGGCGCCTCCTTGAGCGCTTGCGCCGCCAGCACCGGAACCTCCGGCGCCACCTCCGGCACCTTGCTTCCGTGACCTGCCTCGATTAGGCCGCTTTGGGGAGAAGAAGGAGCCTCCCGAGCCAAGGTTGAATCCTCCGGGGCTGGCGAATGCCCTGGCCTGGCTGATCAGATCGTCATCCTCGTGGCCGTACTCGGACACCACCTCGTTGAGGATCTTGACAAAGTCGTGGTTCTCGTTGAAGGACTGGGGCGTGGGAGGCACTTCGGTGGTTGTTCCGATCGCTAGGCGCTCAGAAGGAGGTTCGGTCTCGAGATAGCTGAGGATGTGCGTGAAAGGGGAGCCGGGATTGTTCAGGACTTTCTTGATTCCAGTCAGTGTCTAGTACATCCAGGATATGGCTGAGGGCGGTGGTGTATACTGACGATTTTGGGGTTGCTCGAGAGGCTTGAGATTGCCCGGAATGGCACCACCCGTTGGCGAGCCACAAAACGAAACGTTGTTCCCAGCATTGTGCTGTCAATTGGAGATTCAAGACTTGATGCTCTTTCTCGACTCGTCGCATTCGAGCTCCGAGCTTTGAGAACTAGCCCCACGTTGGATGAGGTCACTGGTTCAACGCGGGACATGTCTTTAGGCGTGTTATGCGCTTATGCGAATCAATTAAACGCGTCGACGCGGTCTTAGACGCGACCCCTCGACAGCCCCCAGACAATTTCATGGGGAGCACATGTAAAATCGTCGACATTGATGAATTGATCGAGATCAACCTTGACGATTATAATGCCGAATTCATAACCTGAAAATGTACAAAACACCAGCTCCCATATTTCGCAAACAGCGACCAGGCGCTCCGCCTTCTTCTGCGATACCCTCATCCTCTCCCGCCTTTGGCACTCCTGTTCATCCTCTCAAGCCCTTTGCCGTCAACGCTCCCAAGGCCGCCATCCTACCAATCATTCTTCCGCCGCCTACACTACGACCTCTTGCCTTTCGCACGTTTACAAAGAAGCACTCCCTTACCCTTACATCATCCGCTCTTCAAGAACTTGCGTCCTTCATCGGGAGGCATTGCGGTTCAGGATGGCGAGAAGAGGGCCTGGCTGAGAGGGTGCTCGAGGAGGTGGCGCGCAGCTGGAAGAACCGAAATGGAGGTGTCATTGTTGAAGGGACGAGCAAGGAGCTACAGGAGATCCTCAAGGCGCTCGAGGGGAACATGAGTGGTGGCAGAATAACAGGTCCAGCGAGGGGACTCCCACGGGGTGACAGCATGCTCGATATTAGGGATAACGAGGCGCTGAACACGAGACTGGGACTACGGCCGGCAGAGCCCATGACGGACGATGCCAACAAGAGCTTTGGAATGTCGGGGTTGGGTGTGGAAGAAGAGCCTGAGGAAGAGAATACCAAGGATCCTAGGGCATGGCTCAAGATCATCAACGCCTATGAGCAGCCGAGGTTGATATACAATGTCAGCAAGAAACACTTTGAAAGGTTGGTACACCAGTTTAATGGAACCATGCTTGTTGCTAATTCTTCTCCAGGGACACTTCGTCGCCTTCATTATTACCAGCAGCATCACATAAAACCACAGTCTTCCGCAACCGCTACAATGTCATCCACCAACGCCTCCTCCGAAACGAATCCTTCCAGACCTCAGCCGTCTCCTCCTCTCGCAAGCGCACTCTTCAGCGATCTCTATCCAATCAGCAATCCCTTAAACTCACACCAATTGCCAACCTGTTGGGTCGTCATGGTAGTAGTCACATGTTGCTAGGCCTGCTGGTCATCCTCCCTACTGGCGATCTTGCTATCAGCGACTTGACGGGCACTATCGCTCTGGACCTCTCTCAAGCTGTGGCTATCCCTGAAGACTCAGCCTGGTTCTGCCCCGGTATGATTGTCCTAGTGGATGGTGTTTACGAGGAGGAAGATGAATCTGTGGGCAAAGGTCTCAGCGGCAGCAGCGGTGTTGGAGGTACACTGGGTGGCCGATTCCAAGGCTTCTTTATCGGCCAGCCTCCGTGTGAGAGACGCAAGGCAACCCTTGGAATTAGCGGCCCTGACGGCGGCCAGGAGCAGACCATAGGAGGTGGCTTCGGCTGGATCGACTTTCTCGGTGTGGGCAGCGAGCGTGCTTGCGGTACCAAGATGAGGAGGCTTGAACAGCGTCTCCTTCGTGCCCGAGATGAAGAGGATGATGCGCCACCTCGTGGCCGCGTGGTCATCATTGGTGAGCTCAACCTCGACCAACCTCGGACTCTCCAAGCCCTGCGCAAGATCCTCTCCACATACGCATCTGAGCCTGAGGGCTCGGCACCCCTTACATTTGTCCTGATGGGCAACTTCACACAGCATTCTGTTCTAGCGCGTGGTGGCAGTGGCGGAAGTATCGAATACAAGGAATACTTTGACGCTCTCGCCTCGGCCCTCTCCGACTACCCTACCCTCCTCCAGTCATCCACGTTTGTCTTTGTCCCCGGCGACAATGACGGCTGGGTCTCTGCTTTTACCGCCGGTGCTTCTGTGCCCATACCCCGGAAGCCCGTCCCGGACATGTTCACATCCCGCATCCGCCGCGCCTTTGCAACGGCCAACGCCGAGGCAGGGAGCAAGTCTGATGGTTCTGTCATTTGGACGTCCAATCCCAGCAGGCTCAGCTTGTTTGGTCCTAATCACGAACTCGTCCTCTTCAGGGACGATGTGTCTGCTCGCCTGCGTCGAACATCCGTGCGACTCAAGCCCAAGACTCATGATGCCAATGTCGACGACTCGCAGCAACCCCCTGAATCATCTCGAGATAAAAGACAACCCTCCGAACCTATGGATCTTGATGCAGCCCACCATGATGACCCAATCACCACTGATACTGCATCCCCGGCTACTCCCCTCATCCCCCATGATGTCCACGCGGCACAGAAACTCGTCAAGACTCTTCTTGATCAGGGTTACCTCGCCCCCTTCCGCCAAACCATCCGTCCTGTTCACTGGGACTACGCCTCAGCGCTGCACCTGTATCCGCTACCCACGGCCATGGTCCTCCTTGACACGACGGCACCACCTTTCTGTGTCACATATGAAGGGTGCCATGTCATGAACCCTGGCAGTGTACTCGTACCAGGACGCAAGGGTGTTGGACGATGGGTGGAATATGAGGTTGGTCGGTTGGGCCGACTAAGGGAATGCGCTTTCTGAGCCATATGTAATTGATGCATATTTATAAAGGAGTTGGCGTCGAGGATAGGGCTGCGATCTAGGTCATGACTACAGGGACGGAATAGATAGACAATCCATGTGACTTGAGAATCACCAATGAACAAGTTGAAACACAAAGGCCTATAATCGTATATACCTTGCCTGTACCTTTCCTGTATACGTATCGCGATAATATCCTTGAACACGCCGAATGCCTCTCCTAACAAGATATAACCAGTTGTCGTCCAGAGATAGCTATGCAAAACGACCGATAAACACGCCATGAATCTCCTCTCCCATCACTGCAACAGCAAAGACTCCTCGTGCAAGACACCATACAAACCCTCAATCTCAGCCCTCACCTTGTTGAGCTCGGCCGCCACCTGCAGCGTCACCAGTGTGTACGCATACAGCAGCGCATAGTCACTCTCCTCAAGTGCGACCGGTGACTCGTTGCCCAAGAGATCCACCCCCATGTGCTCCTTTCGGAACTGGTAGATCTTCCCCAAGAGCCGATCCTTGTTATTTTCGACAGTTGGGATGGCGTCGGTCAGCGGATACTCCAGCATCAGGCACGAGGCGATGACCTGGAAGACGTGGCAGATGCGTTCACAGAGAAGCATTCTCTCCGAGGCTGTGAACTCGAGTAGAGCTCTTTCACCGTCGGAAAGGCTACTTCGTTTTGAAGTGATAAGACGCATCGCGTAGAAACCATTGAGCATGTTTCTCGTAGATCGCATGATGCGGCCATAAGCTGCATCTGGGAAAGGTCCGCGAAGCTCAAATTCAGATTTCGCAGAGGAACGGAGACTTTCCAGTTTGAAAGCTGAAACAGAGTCAGTATTAATATCTAGGGGCGAGAGGGAAAATACACTTACCATACCGCTGAAGAGCGGCCTGCTCACCCTCGCGCATGTAGTCGAGTGTGTTGTTACTGTGAAGCGAGACGGTGAGAGGGCCACGCTTCCAAATGAGACCCATCTGTAGATACAGAACAGAAAGACCTTCTCGGAACTTCTTTCGCCCAGAAATGGGCCAAAAGAGTCGACAGAAGATGATACCCCAGAGGATGCCCAGAGTGACTGAGATGACTCGATGAAAGGCGATGTCCCAGATTAAGGGGTCAGCGCCTCCTTCGTCGTCATCGTCATCATCAACACTCTGTGATAGGCTGTACGCATACAGAGTGCTGACATTATATGCCAGCAGGGCAATTCTACCCAGGGGAGCCTTCTTGACCACCAAAATCACATAGAAATTGAATAGCGCCACAAGGCCACCCAGGAACACTAGGGCAATGGCATTTCCTCGACTGACGGTCCAAGCAGTTATAGCAAACGTAGCACCAATGAGCGTTCCCTTGAATCTGGCAGTTCCTGTCGTGTTTGCCGCTCCAGTTGTCATGGCCGCGACAATCATGAAGGACAGGAGACCCCATTCACCTCGCCATCGTTGATAGATGGGTCGTGTCGAGGGAATAAAAGCGAGCATGGCCCAGAGCAGTGCTCCAATGCCAACCTTGAGACCAAACAGAATGTCCTCTCTCACGAGGAACCGTGAAATCGTGAGTATTCTCTGAGCGAGCCTCCTCGTAATCTTACTAGATTGAGGAGCAGCATCCCAGTTGAAAGTGTCACGGCGCTTAACCATTGTATCGGGAATACCCTTTGGTAGCTGAGATTTGCGAAGTCTCCTGACTGGTGGTTTAGGGATCAGACTCTCTCGTTCAGGGTCGTCGACAGGGGCTTTATCCGAGGCTCTAGCCCACTTGAAGTATCTCCAAAACTTGAGCCAATTCCAAGACCGTGACCCGGTCTCAGTAGAGTACTTCAAGTCTTCAAGGACATCCAGGTAGGCGTCGGTCTCTTCAGCGACAGCCTGCAAGTTGAATGAGAAATGTCCACAAGCTGCGGCTACTTCCTCGATGTCGGCCTGAATCTTCTCGGATCGAGTTCGCCCCATCTCAATGGCGCGGTAGAGCTCCTGCAGGGATTCTGCTCTAGCATTATTATAGAGGTTGAGGGCATCTCGCAGACTCTCCCTCAACTGCTCGTTGACAGGAATATCCGTGTTAGGATCCTTGCCAAAGGCAGGCTCGCGGAGGATCTCGGACAGAGTATGCGCCAGAGACTTGATCGAAGGACCAAGCATGTCGATGAAGAGGGCAAAAATGTCGGAGGGCACTTGGAAAGTAGTCGTAGTATCAAGGGCACTGTCTGACTTGTTTCTGTTGTTGGCCTGACGCTCCTCCTCACTCTCGCCGGACTCATCGATGACGGCCAGTCGCTCCCTGGCTTCATCCATGAAGTCAGATATAGCACGAGTTAAAGTTGGCGAGAAGCCAGTTGGGGACGCAAGGGGCTGGTTTTCCAAAATCGGAACCTCTCTAAGCAAGACGAACTGGGTTTCCAGTGCACTCCGCAATCCTCCAATCGCCTGCGACAAGGTATCGATGGATCTGGCCAACCGTCTGTCAAGTGGATAGACAGATTCGCGGCCCAGAAAGTAGTGTTCAAACTTGGCTTCTCGGAGTGTCGAGTTCATCTTGGCGTAGGCAGTGTTATACCTGGCTGAGACACGACCGTACTCTGCTGACCAGAGCTCATCCTCAGTGCCACTGAGGAAACCCTTTGTGATGGTCGAGAGTTTGTCGCCAAGGGCCGTAGTGGCGGACATGATGGACTTTCGAAGCACACGTCGCGCCGAGACCTTCCAGACTAACACGTTGACTGCCAAGGTGCAGGTCACGCCGATGACAAGCATCTTCAGCACTTGAACAATTTTGTCATCGTCAAAATAACCACCATGAACACCCTCTTCTTTTGTGATGACGGAGATGATAGCAATCGAGGTCAAGGTGCAGCCGACGTTGACCAAGGGACTGTTAAGCCTTTGCTTGACCCAACCGACAAAGCCCAGACCTCCTCCAATGCAAATAATCAGGACGAGGGCATGGGCAGTAGCGGTCAGGCCGAACTGGGTCTTCATGGCAATGGCTATGCCCATCGATAACAACGATATCACTTCTGCGTAGAAGACGGCGACAAAGGCGATCAAGGTAGCCTCGAGCATGGACCCAAAGGTTCGAGCAGGGTGGAAGTAGACGGTGATGGTAGCTGTAACATGTTTTCCGTCTCTGTTTCCCAGAAAGTTGGAGAGAGGCGTCAGAAAGGTGCCCATGCTACCGAGCACATAGGCGAGTACACACTTGAGGACTCCATGGCCCTCGTCTGTGTTTAGCCATGCCCATAGTAGGACAAAGGCGACCTTGATGTTGTGAAATACGATGCGCAGACGGTCTTTGTTCGATTCGGCCGTGTCGAAAGAGTGATAACCAGAAGCATCGTTGGAGTTGTCGCTATTAGTAGTCGCGTTGGTCGAGGTGCGCAGCGAGAATTCTTGTCGCGAACGTTCGCCGGTTCGGGGGATAATAAAGGTGCCGTTTCTCAGTTTCTGCTCAATGGATTAGACGAAATCAAAGGTACTGACATGCTGTGTAGCTATATACGTACCATTCGCTGAGAAGGGCGCTTGGGTGGCCATGCGGCGGTGGAAGAGCTCGTGGCGGAGCTCATGGTCGGTTCGCGTCGACGTCGTCGTCTTTGGAGTCGTGGACAGTTATTCCGATGCGCTTCATTCTCTCAAATCTTTAAAACTCGATGGACGAAGCGGCGGCCATCACGAAATAGTCTAGAAATGGTGTTGAAGCTTGAAAAGGATGGCAAAGCTGACGTTGCCGTGGTTGTATTGGATGGATTAGAGCAAACAATGGATGGATGGAAGCGGATTGGATGAAAAGCCAAGAATGACGATGATGAAAAACCCTGGACCTGAGCTTGAGTGGGGATTGGGCTGCCAAGTGGACCCCCTAGCGCCGTCTAGTGCGAAGCCACTTTGATGGGAAAGGCGGGAGCCTATTGCTCGCTGTTGATAGGTGCTAAAGTATTTATATCTCCTTGCTTGCGCGAGGACTGCCAGAGCATATCGATCTCTACTATTAGAGTACTATCTAAGCCTCTATAAAATTATATAATAATTTATTAATCTTTTATTTATATTTTAATAAGCCTAAGAAGAGGCTACTTACAATTAGTCTAGATCCCAGCTCAGTATGTTGCTAGTCGCATGTGATTTAACCGCCCTATTGTTGAACTAAGAAACAGGCCTAGGCCCTACGAACTTCCTTGTCCTCAGTATTTATGTCACTCTACCTGCAGCGGCAGCATTGAAAACCATCCATGGCTTTGATGTGCATAGTAGAGTTCATTTATCTCTCGTAGGGTAGCAAAACAAAAAATGACATTTTATTTCATGTGTAAGTTTTATAACGCCTTTTGACCATCCTCCCCTCTCCCGTGGCCCATATCCATCACTTCTTTGTCTGAGTGATCCCAAACGACGTGAGATGCGGCCAATCTATAATCTGATGTTAGAAAATATGCCAATCGTTTGAGACGAAACGAGGAAACCTACCAAACGTTGTCCGATCTTTGTTGATATACGTCACCTTCGCCTTTTGTCCAACACGAATCTTCTTACCCAGCGAAGAGCCAAAGCAATACCCGTAACGTCCAAACACGGGGCTATACTTTGCTCCCTTGTCGACTCTTCGGTCCTTGTTGAGCTTCTTCCACGCCATGCCCCTATCATCAGTCGCCGTCTTGCCCGTGTCATAGTCAACAGTGATACTCTGACAACGGTAGCAATTGGCCGTCAAAGGCATCTGAATGTCTCCGTCGAATGTCAGCTCGCCCCAATAATCCTCGACAAAGGCGCCTGATGCGCCTCGTACGACGATGTTGGGCCGGAACTTGGTCACGTCCATGGTATACCCCTCATCTAGTCGCGATGTGACTTGGTCATTCGACTCTTCCGTTACAACGAGATAGTGGGCGATGTCGTTGAACACGAGAGACTCTGGCGGATGGGCCAATCCTGGAAGGAGAGATTGTATACGGCGTGTCAAGCGGCTTCTTGTGAGACCTGATTTACTGTTGGGTGCCATGGAACCAAGAACAGGCCTGGATCCGTCTCCGATATAGACAAGAAGGGTTTCGAAACCCAGACGGTCTGAGAACCAAGTTGACAGTTTGTTGTCCATCTCAACGGCCATGGCCTTGCTTGCATGTAGGCTCGTCTCAAACTCTTTGCGTCCTTTTGTCGAAGGATGGAGCGGAAATCGAATCTCGTCGGGCGTCTTTACATCCTTGGCCTTGTCAAACTCGGTGCCTCGACCATGCCAAGTCACTACCACTTCCGGGCCCTGGTCTTGGTTATAGTCGATTGAGGCCTGGAACAGCATCAATTGCAGGTAGTAGCCCGCCAGCATGGTCTCGTATTTTGTCTCGCCCGTTTTTTCATCACGGTGGACCTTTTGCAGGCTAAAGGTGCGGTCTCCCACAACCCCGTACTTGCCAATTCGGACTTCTTTCATCGGCGAGCCTCGAAGCGCCTTGACTGGGTAGACGTAGAGCTTGATCAAGAGTCAGTTGTGGGGTTTATTGAGACTAATGGTTCTTGGATTACCTGTGTGACCTCCAACTTGTCTCCATCATGTGGTCGGGAGGACAGGACCAGAGCAAGTGTGGTGAGTGCCACCAGAAGAAGTGTGATGACGATGATGCCATCACCAGCTACCCCCAAGCTGCTCATGGCTATCTCTCAGAGGTTTTGGGTTGCGTAACAAGATGGGGTCGTTTTAAGAATTAGAAAAAGATATGACAGAAAACGTTCAGCCCCGAATCGATCAAGACCCAGGGCATGGGTTTATGTAGGTGTCGACCATAGTTAAACTTCGGCTCTTATCACTGCAAGTGGGTTGAGTTATCTAGACTATCGCTGGCGCAATGCAAGCGCCAAGAACCACCCAAGGATTCCTTTGCCTATTCCAGTAATTTCATTGACCACATCCTTAGCGTTCAAGACGCGCCGCTGATCCTGGCGCACCAGGCGGGGTGACATATGACGCCCTAAATCGAGTGCCCGAGTATGTGTTTTCCTGACTCGAGGACTTCCTATCCACAAACCGGATCTTCTTTTGTATTTCCCGGTTGGCTTGAGTTTGGACTGGAGACTCCGAGTGTCGTCTACGAGGGATGTCTCGGTTGGCAGGCGATCTAGACACAACCTCCACTGCGGGCCCATTCCCATCCATCGTGGAGATACCATGGCACGCGGGCAAAGAGATAAATAAGATATTAGAGTATCAAGAGAATTACCTAAGTCCTCGTAAATATAAGTAATTAATTTATAAAAAATGCCATAAAAAATTATACATTTTTATTATAATTTATTGAACATAGTTAGAGGAGAATTATATAATCTCAAGAGGCTTGAAGCAAATAAAGCCTACAACTACTATATAACCATCACATATCTAGTCACTATGAGCCGATATCTATAACATGGATGCCATTAGTGCGCTGAAGCACCCAACTTGTCAACGAGCCTCCAATAGCTCTCTGCCGAACCTTGTCTCACAGACTTGCCAATGAGAATCATGACCAGACACATGCACCAGAGCACAAGACCAAGGACTGCAATCAAGATGAAGGCATTCTTGAGGCCCAGGTTCTCAATCATTGGTACCACTGAATAGGAGAAAGCGAAACCTGGATAATGTGAGAAGAAAACCCTGAAATAGGAAGTGAATCTCTGTACTTACCCATGAGGTTACGAATCAAAATAGAGGTGACGAGACCTTCACCTGCTACCTCCTTGTAACTGTCCAAGATATAGTTGAAAGCCAAAGCCGATCCGATGGGTAGAGTCACACTGATGAGACCAAGTCCAAAGGCGATGCCTACCCAGTGCAAGTGGTACGCAGCACCAATTCCGTACAGCAGACAACCAGCTGGATGCGCGACAATGCACACAAGGCAGAGCCATAAGCGTTGCTCTGGCTCCATGATGCCCCCGTTCCTCCTGGCAAACCACAAAGCCATCCTGTCGCTCGTTGTGCTGCAAAGGACGCATCCAATGGACACACCAACGACCGCGGCGAGATAGAACAGACCAATCGTGTTGGTTCCAAAGTTGTATGGCTCGTTGCCAAGTATGAGAGCTAAGGAACCTCCGACCACGTTGTACCACGAGAGGATACCGCCGACGAGGAAGCCGCTGAAGACGATGGTCGGATATCGCAAGAGTTGGAAAGGGAGGAGGATCGCGCGCTTGGTAGCTGGACGCGGCGACTCAAATCCCCACAGAGCAAGTTTTTGCACAAACGTCTTTGGCTCAGCTGGGTAATCAACTTGGCGCCCAGCCGAGATCGAGGTCGGTTTCTGCTCTCCATCCTTGGACTCTGACTTTTCTGACGGCTGTTGCGGCGCTGCTTCCATCAAGCCAGGGGTATCTTCACCCTTGGTGCTGATCTCAAGAGCTTCAGCAGGCACCGTATCTGGGCGACTGAACATAGTCTCCTCAAAAAAGAGGAAGGTGAGGACAGTAAGAACTCCGCCGATGATGGAAAGGATGTACTGGATCCAACGCCAGCCATGAGCTTCTGCCACAAAGCCTGAGGCAACAGGGCAGAGAAAGGCGCTGCACCAGAGGTTCCAAGAGTATATGCCCATGTATAGACCTCGCTCGTGGATGAAGAAGACGTCGCCGATGATGACCTCGATGAGAGTTTCCATGGGAGACGAAACAATGCCGAGAATTATACGGTTGACAAATAGCTCGGCTCGTGATTCGACGTAGGCGGACCATAGGGTGACAAAGGTGGTGAGCAGGATCGAGGCGACCAGGGTGATGCGACGACCGTAAGTGAGGGCGACGTTTTGAGTGATGAGTGTTCCCCATCCTAGGAAGAGATATAGGAGGCCGTTGCCGGTACTGAGGTCGGCGACGGATATACCCGTGTCTGCCTCGATCATGAGATACGCAGGAGACAGTCCCGAGATGATTGCAGCAGCCAGAAAGCACCAGGTCATTGCCCAGAAGATATTGAACAGCTTGCGTTTGGGAGTCCAAGCCAGGGGGTCATCCGGGTGATCGCTGGGTTGAGGGATGAGGACAATGTCTTTGTGGCCCTCGCCATGCTTGGCATGGACCACGCCCTGTATGTCGACGAGCTGGACGGTGCCCGGGATGGGAGTGGAACTCATCTTGTAGAAACAAGAAGATTGAAATAAAATAAAGTTGAGTTGAAGATGATCCTTTGGGATGAATGATTGATGTCGAAAAGATCGACGAGTTGTCGCAGAGCTGGTTCTTATGGACAAGCCATCTCTAGCGGCCGAAGCGACTAAACCTTGCGAAAAGCCAAGATAGAGACGATCGAGAAAGTTGATAGACTAGTTTGCCAAGACGAGGACTAGGGGGCCAACCAGGGTTATACCACTAAAGGCAACAAGATGGGCCTCTTGTGTTTCTGGGGCCAAATGGACCTGACTAGACGTTGGGACATGACACATGTCTCGTGGCGGAGCCCTACATCAAACGGGGAGGAATGGATGATGGGTCTGGGGGAGGGATCACCTGGGTCAAGGAAGAAACGAGTAAACCCTTTACCTAATTCTCCTCTAAAGATTATAAGAAGAATAATAAAAAAAAGACTTTAAAGTATTATATTTATTATAATTTTTATTATAATCTTTATATTATATTTTATATAATTTTATTTATAACAATTACTTATAAGGAGTTAGGTTACTCTCTTGCTCTTCTGTTGTCTCATTTACGTCTTGACCCCCTTGGGGATCAAGCCTCTTGGGTTGGCTGATCTTGGTTTGAGTTATCGTGGAGATCTAGCCTCTGGATTTGATTACCTATTTTAGTATTGCGATTGTGACCTTGATGCGTGGATCATGCATGACCTTATTTGCACTACCTACTGATAATCGAGAAGGATCACGATGCCTGTTTAAGTCACTGCCAAGTCGTAAATCTGGGCCCTTTGGGTCATCCGTTATGGCGGTCTAAGTCTCTCCTCGTCTGCATATCCTAGTGCTCCTGCTTCTGACACCAATACGAGATGGAAATGCCATCTGACCTGAGCTACGTGATGACAGAGAGAGGAAATGTCATAGGGAGGTAAGTTTTGCAACTTGAGGAGAATCATGTATTGTATTGCCAAACGGCGGTCAAGATTGTACCGAAGCAATGTTCACATAAAAGAAAGCCAGGATAGACAGCAATCCAACTCCAACGACTGATACCAGCCACATGTAAAGACCAGAAAGTCGCTTCACTGTGGCCGTATTCTCCTTCTTGGAAACTTGCAGCTCACCAGCAAGTAGTGGCTTCAGCTGCTCCATCGCCTCCTCGCTATGTCCCACCTCGTGGAATGCCTGTGTAGCATCGGTCCCAAGTACTTCAGCCAGGATATCATCGCCGCCTCTGACAAAGGCCTGGTCAGTGGAGTTACTCTGGAAGGGAGAGCGGCTTACGGGTGTTTCGACATGTAGTCGGTGATCTCGTACACATTGTTGTCGATGACGATGTATCCAGATGATTGTGTCGACTTGCTAGCGACATCTTGCAATGTGAATGTTGCCATGGCAGTATTTCTGTGTAATGATAAACTTCTCGGGGATGGTTACTTCTCTGAGATGCAACGAGAAGGCTTCTTTCATATATGCCACGAAAGGGGCTAGAAGAGAGGCCATACGAGGAAGCGTGATTGTCCAAACAGCCCATCAGCCCATCAGCCCATCAGCGGGCCTTGATTTGGAATCAATAATTCCACAGCTAACTATTTGGCTAGTTGATTACCCTATGGGTCTTTTGCTTCTGCGACCATTTTGCTGCTCGTGCTTGGTTGCCAAATCTGTTGCCAGATATGGCAACTTGCGCGGCCAACTGCCAAGATAACGATGGATACTCCAGTCACTCATACCTATGACAAGGACTGCAGTGAATCATCCTCCAATATTAACGCACTATCTAAGACTCTATAAGAACGATCTAAGAATATGTTAATATCTTATCTTGATTTTGGTGAGTATAGGAAGAACTCATCATAATTAGTCTAGATCCCTCCTCATTTTGTCCCTTTATGTCGTGTGGATCTAATATGGATTTTTCTCGGTCGAAATAGAGTGAAGCCCCCGTCTTCTTCATATGGACTTCCCCAAGTCAACACCCCTTTATCTTCAAACGAAATCTCAGAACATCTCTACTCAACCGGTTACTCGAGTCGTCCATTGTTTTGTCGTATCTTGTCCATTGTCCTCTCTTTAAGCAACATTCAGCAAAATGCCCGTATCTTGGCAGCTCGACCACGGCCTCCCTAAAGGTTTGGCGCTCTGCTTGATCCTACCAGGGGCTGCCGCCATCGGTCTTTCGTTCTCGACTCAAGTCGACAGGTCTATGTCCTTGTTGGCCGCAATTGTTTTCCTTGGAGGTGCTTTCTACCTCGGCCTTGGTAAGAACATTCTATTTCGACACCTATCTGCATCGCGCTGCTGATGACATCCATCGTTGTCAGGCCCAAGACACAGAACCGTTCTCAAAGCCGACCATTTCCAAGAGTTCAAACTCGCCGAAAAGACGATAATCAGCCACAATGTAGCCATGTACGACATTTCCCCTCCATCATGATGCTTTTTTCTCACCCACTATCGAATTCAGCTACCGTTTCAAGCTCCCATCTCCCGAGTCGATCCTTGGCCTCCCCATCGGCCAACATATATCCATCGGAGCAGCCATCAAACAGCCCGACGGCAATGTCAAGGAAATTATACGGTCCTATACCCCTATCTCAGGTGATCACCAACCTGGCTACTTTGATCTTCTCATCAAGGCGTACCCAAAAGGGAACATCTCTCAACTCCTGGCTTCACTTTCCATTGGTCAATCCATCCGAGTACGGGGCCCTAAGGGGGCCTTCACATACACCCCAAACATGGTGCGTCGGTTTGGAATGATCGCCGGAGGTACGGGCATCACGCCAATGCTCCAGATCATGACAGCCATCGTCCGAAGCCGATCCAGTGGAGATAGAACGGAGGTAGACTTCATCTTTGCCAATGTTACGGAGCAAGACATCCTCCTAAAGGATGAGCTGGACAGGCTGGTGAAGGATGCCGGCATTCGCGTCCGATACGTGCTTGACAAACCTCCCCAAGGCTGGAAAGGGGGGGTTGGCTACATCACAGCCGACATGATCACTGTAAGAATCAGGGCAAGGTCTTGTTCTCCTAGAGCTTCCGCTAATAGTGAACAGAAATGGCTTCCGGCCTCTGCTCCAGATGTCAAGATATTGCTTTGCGGCCCGCCTCCCATGGTTGGTTCTCTGAAGAAGGTGGCTGAGAGCTTGGGGTATCAGAAAGCCCGACCCGTGAGCAAGTTGGAGGACCAGGTTTTCTCGTTTTAGAAAGAGGGGGGTAGCCAATTGGTATTAAGGCGTGGTTGAAATGAGGGCCCTGTTGAGGATTACTCTTGTAGTTATCACCGAGTATGCATGCACGCTGGTCAAAAAATGAATAAGACACTAGAATAGCAGAGTATTAATTAACTCATCTAAGATTTAGTAAATAATTTTCTATATTTATAATGAAATCCTTAGAAACATATCATTATAATAATAATACTTTGGATTATATTTAGAGAAGGATCCCCAAGTAAGTATCCATTGTTTTGTATCGTTTTTTCCTTGACCTACTCAGGTGCCACTCCAAAACCCACCTCGCACTAACTCAATCCTGTATAATCTTCTCTTCTCCTACATCCACCACAATCATGAATACAACACTGGAGCTTCCAAGCCTGCAAGATGCTCCCGTCCGCCACCCAAACTGCTGTCTCAGCTTTTCATCCAAACTTATCGAAATCTTGACCCGGATATTCTCCAGCACTGCCAATTCGGATGGAACATCAACTGTGCTCTCTATCGGAAGTGGCTCGGGGCTACTCGAGGCCCTCTTGCTCGCCCACGTTGAAGCCAAAGACGACTCGTGGGCTCCCAGCTTCAATGTGGAAGGCGTTGAAGTCCAGCAGTTGAGTGGGAAGTCCCCGGTCAACAGATATCTCCCAGAGCAAGCCATCTACACAGTTCGCGGCACTTGGGACGTCGTTTCAAGACTACAGGATCCTGATGTAACATCCTTGATGTTTGTCTACCCACGACAGCCCGCTCTAGTCACCGAATACATGAAAGCTATTGCAGGGCACGATCTCAGCATACAGACTATTATTTGGCTAGGGCCTATGGCCGACTGGGATGTCTTTGAGTCATGCTTTGTGGCCAAAGACGAGCACCGGTGGGAGCTGGAGCAGATTCAAGGGGCAGAAGCTGGTCTGGACGGATATGAGATGATGGTTATGCTGAGAGAAAAGGGCCAAGTTAAAAACCAAGACTGCAGTCAAATTTAAGGCTCTGATATCGGCGTGTCGACAAGCCACCAAGAATTGCGCCAAACGATGCCACTCCCAAAATGAACTCTCTCATCGGTCCGGGGTCCCCAGTTGGGTGAACACCATCAACACTGCCGCGTATCTATAAAACGTCAGGACAACACATATGAAATGGCATGGTTTTCTTACGCCGCTGTCGCTCCAAGGGCTTCGAAGGGCTTCGAAGCCATTGCAAATGACAGTGTCAGGAGAAATATGAGCACGAACGCCGTGATGACTCCCAATTTCGCTTTCAGCCCGTCCATGGCCTGGAGGACCCAGATGGGCGTGATGAGCATGACGACACCAATGATAGCGATCACAGCAGAGGCAAACTTGTCCATGCGGCTATCCGAGTAGTAAGAGACGTGTTCGGCGTCATAGTTTGGCACCGCCTTGTCCTTGTGTCTCCAGATTGGCAACGTCCGGATGGTTAACGAAGAATCGATGAGACGGCGCAAGGGCGTCTTGTCTTTCTGGGCCACACAGATGAGGTCCTTTCCATGCTGTAGATATTCTTGTTCTTCTTGTGCTATTGCCACATAGTCATGGTTGTGGTGCCAGTTTCTGGTGCTTCTTATGTCCCGGTAGGGTGCTTCAGGATACCTTCGAAGCTTGGATTGCTGAAGTACAAAGGCATCTAGTTAGTCGATATTCATCAGCTTCGATTATACTTGCCGTGTTTTCATGTACTCACTATACTTGTAGAGTTTGTCTGAAAGCAGTTCAATCAAGGCTCTTCGTTCTTCTACATCCCCTCGAAGTCTTCCATTGTGTCGGTCCGGTGCTCCACGTTGGCTATAGGTTGCGTCTAGTTTCTTTAGCTTCTCCTCCAAAACTGACACTTCGTCTTGTAAAGCGAGGGCGACTCGGATGTTGAGTGTACCGAAGCGTCGAAGAATGAACCAGTCGTCGTCGGATGATATAAACTCGGCATACCCCTTGTAACCGATGAACTTCCACGGTTTGAGATTGATTTCCTCTTCTGATGGTGGCGTTTCTACCGTTGTACTAGCTTGTGTCTGCGTTGTCGAGCCATGTTGTGCTTCTGAAGAAACCCAGCCACCTATTGATGTTCTCGGTGACATCTCGAGGTTTCTAGGAGTTGAGGGTGCATTCAGCATTGTGTGCATTACAGACCGCGTTTAGAACAAGAAGCCAAACCCTACCGCGACTTTTGTTCTCAGACCTGCACCCGGAATCGATTTGCGTTTCAATGATTGGGTTGTGTCTTGGTACCGATGCAACTAGGGGAGCCTTGCAGGTGTAAAGCCTGACAAGGCAAACAAGGCAAACAAGGCAAGCAAGGACTCTTCAGCTTCAGAAATTACAATTGTGCCTCCGTGGCTTAGTCTGGTAGGCTGAGAGATGCGAGGGGGCCAGCTCACTTTTGCACAGCCTACAGTTTTGTGTTGGGCATGCATGTCCCTTGGCCTGCTTCCGTTCAAATTGAGGCGCAATCATGCAGGTGGCCTGACAAAGCAGGCTTCAATGTTCATCTCTTATTTATTTAACTCCACAGATGTGCTCGCCGATTGTTACTGTCCTCCATCCCCCAAGCATCGTACAGTCAGATCCCAGTTGCATATCTCTAACGCCTATCATCCCCTGCGTGTTTGCTTCACCATGAATACCATAGGCTATGGGGCGGACAACCCAGAAGAGTTCGGTCTGCTCATACCGGAGGAAGGAGGCAAGAAATGTCAGAGCCCTGACTACCCTTCTCCCTCATGTGGCGATCCTACCTCAGGTGGCTTTAAACCAGCCTACGGTCATGTCTCTAGAGGCGAGGGTGGAACAATGGCTTTGCCCGCCCCTGATCCTCCTTCTCCTCCCGAAAGACAATAGGGAGTGTCACAGTAAGCTAGACGATTCCAGTTATAATGACAAAGACTCGATCTTGGAAATCACAGGCCTGCTAACCTCGCAGTTGCTCCAGACATAGAAACTACTCCCTAAGACTCCAAGGAAAAGTGAACCGCCTTCTTCAAAGGTTTCATCTCAAGCTGTCGAGGCGTTCAAAGTCAATCCTCTCCAATTCAACGAGGCGGGACAGAGGCCTTACTTCTCCACGCCATTTACGAACCAAGCAATCCACCAACAGGTTACGGATGCCACTCCGAACGCATCGCACAGAGAAATTAGCCAGTATAAAATCTTGGTTAATGGGTCCTGCAATAGGATAATTGGAGCAGTATGGATGTTAGTCTCAGATCAACATGTTTCTAAGCTCGCAGAGTAGTTCCACCAAGTGCAAGAGGGAGGGATTCAAAGCCGATGTGAATAGCAGTGTATTTTCAATTTCAAGTTCGTATAATCTCCCAGTTTAAGTACATCAAAATGTTCTGTCTCCGGTTGTCGGTCAGCCATTGCGAGTGGTTTCTACGTACCTCTCTACCCAGGTCCCAGGGGCCAAGTACTTCAAACACATAAGTTCTCAACGGCATTGTCATTCCAGCAGGGCCCACCTGTATGTTTTAATGATAATACCGGGGCGGGGTATGGAGTGGAATTTTATTACACCTGATGGAATACTTGTAGAGTCCGTCCACTATCAATTCGGACAAGGCTCTTCGGCCTTCGGCATCGAAGCCGCAGATCAAGCTTTGAGTCGAGCAGGCGGCCGCCAGGATAGTATTCTTGCTCGAATTCAGATCTCTCTACCAAATGTACGTTCCACAGTCGTGTTGTGCCTCTCTACTGAACAACCAAGAGAACCTTGCAGGTGAAAAGCCTGGCAAGGCGAATGGGTCGCCTAGGGGGCTTGACAGGGCAACTGAGCTACAGGAGAAGCAATTGTAATTTCATAATTACGAAGGATCGTGGCAGTCTCTCATTGGCCATTTCGTATGCCACAATGCCCTTGTATGCCAAGTATTAATCCAGAGTGATGGAGGTTTCATCCTCGTCAAGTCCGGTTCAAGCGTAGCGCAGAGATACAAGAGGAAGCCATGGGGGAACGCCATGACGGGCACTTGTACAGCCCGCCACCGCTGTTCTTTTTCTTTTTCGTGGGATCTTAGTCCATAGCTTCTTCCTCGAAGGATAACACATGACCACCCAATCTTCAGCCACCAAGTAGAATAATGACCTTCTCACGAGTCTACCAGTGAGAATGACAACCTGACTTAACTCTGGTGATTAATTTGGAGCCACTCTTAACAATTCCCAACCATGGAGTAGTATCAACTCGATACAGCTTACCAAACCGTTTCACATTAGTTTCGGCTCCCAGCCATTGGGCTCACCACCAGGCTCACCGCCGGGCTCAAGACCACCCTCAGCCCGACCTAGGTACAGCCAAGGCAGAATCCAGTGAGTGGCTCTATGAGCCGCGTTACAATGTGCATTTTCTGTTTATTTAATCCCACAGTAAGCGCACTTGAGCGCTACTCCTGATATCTCAGATACCTTTGTGACTAGTCTTGCTTACCCATCTCCAACACCAGCACGCGTTACGAATTGCTTCACTATGCCACCCCTCACCGTAGACAACCTGGATTGGCTTAAGGAACCCGAACCCAACCTCATCATAATAGCAGACGGTGGTCACGTCACCGCAAAGGATACAACTTCAGGCGCTCTTTCTCCACCATCAGACAAAAAGTAGTGCCCTAAGCGAACAGCAACGATGATTCCAGTGGCAATTTTACATATTATGGCGAAGTGTCGTCAGGTTTGGCGACCACTTTCTCAAAAGGGTGACGAACCATAGCCCGCGGATCTTGCACATCGAGTTTGCGAGTCATGCCAGGTACATGCTCTGTTGTTTGATGGGGGAGAACAGAATTGACTTCTCCCAGACACTAGCTACGAACCAAGTCATTCGTTTCAGAACGCATTACCACACCAAATTCAATATGCAGAACAAGCAACCGAAAGGCGGATCTAGTCCGGAGACTTCACATCTGGCGACAATAAAGCAGCCACTCTGAGATATCCGAAATCGCCAGCTTTTTGGATATTCGGGGTCGTTCCTTCCAGTGCAACAGGAAGGCATCAGCTTGAGTTAGTTCAAAGGGCATTGTCTTCCAAATTCGGGATTTTGACGGCGGCTGGGGTTGACTGGGAGGAGGAACGGTTCTGTCGAAGTCTTTTCGAGGTGGGAACAGGGAAATTCTTCAATTATGGTAGTTAGGTTTCTTCAATAAAGACTAAATACAGAAGCTTTCTCATCGAGTTCTTCGAGTATACATATACTCAAGGGCGCATAGTTACCGAATAATGATTGTGACCGTAATTGTGCTATGGGGTAGATATGATTTGTAGAGTGCGCGCACCCGGACGTATAAAAACTTAAGACAATAGGACATCTAGACTTAGTAAAGAGTACTTAAATAATAAGCTAATTATAAGCTAAATAAAATATAAAAATAAGGAATAATATCATAAGTCTTTAATTATTTTTATTTATTATAATTAAGGCCTTTTTTTGCCTTAGAAAATAGAGAGCGCTAACTCAGCATCTCATCTTTTTCTGCGAATGCGTGGCACGATAGTCAGCAATTAGTAGTTCAGTCGTTCTAGACTAATCTTTAATTGCCTGCTCGAGGAGAGTCGCAATAGCTACTCATTTATCACATACCCCAGTGCTTTCTCCTTCACCATCTTTGGGGCTTGAGCGATTGATAAGAGGATGAGGTTATTCAGGACGTCAAAATAACGACACAGGGTGGCTTATTAGCCAGCAACTAACCTTAGTAGCCCGCGGGTTATCCTCGTCCCCCCACTCCTAAATTAGTAGTAAAGCGTCATCTCTCAGTCAATGCCCTCATCGTCCAAATCAACAACAACACTCATTTCCTAGAAAAGCAGACCTCACGAGCTTGGTCAGCGACAGGGGGAAACAGCCCAGTTTCTGTGTCACCTTATACCCTTCAACCCTTTCCCTTGAAACTCCCTTCTCCCCCGCACATACTCAACTCTCGGTATGCTACGCCGAGCCTTTTCCATCATGGCATCGTCATCCCCCAAGCGTTTTGTCCCGTTGAAGAAGGGCCCCCATGACGTTCCCAGTGACACTCCCGCTCTCCGGGGCGTCGTCTTTGACATGGACGGCACGCTTTGGTAAGATCGGCGCTTTTTCCCCTTGCTTTCGTTTATCTAGTTATGCACCCTCGGAGGTTTTTTTTAACCCCAGCCAGTTCCCCGGGTCGGCTCGTTACCCTACACCGAGGCGTCGGATCTGGTTCAAGAGGCTGTCAAGGTGGAATATTGAGAGACAATGGCTTGTGGCGTTTGAATTGGGATTATTCATCGCCGTTGTTGTGTCATTTTGCTTCAGACTACCATTTAATCTGGTTGTCATACGCTGAATATGAGTACTAACTACCTCACAGCCAACCTCAGACTTACATGTTTGGAGAGATGAGGCAAGTCCTTGGAATCCCAAAGACAACAGACATTCTCGAGCACATCGACACCCTCCCAGACCACGAGCAAAAGACGGCCCTCGAGTCCATCCGCGCCATCGAGCGCGAAGCCATGAAGTCGCAGACCCCGCAGCCGGGCCTCATGACCCTCATGGCCTACCTCGACGCCAAATCCATCCCCAAGGCAATCTGCACCCGCAACTTTGAGGTCCCCGTCCAGAACCTTTTGGAAAAGTTCCTCGAGGGATCTCGTTTTCACCCCGTCATCACCCGTGACTTTCGGCCACCCAAGCCTGATCCCGCTGGTATCCTGCACATTGCCAAGAATTGGGGCCTGCAGGACGGGACCGGCGAGGGAGACGCCAGTGGACTCATCATGGTGGGTGACTCCATCGATGACATGACGGCTGGGAGGAAGGCTGGTGCTGCTACGGTACTACTGGTCAATGACGTGAATCGAGAGCTGGTTGATCACGTCCACACGGACCTGGTTATTAGCACGCTGGATGAGCTGGTTGATATTCTTGAGCACGGCTTTGTTGGACGGGAGGTGGATGATGAATGAAATGGGGAAAATAGGACAGCACAGGACATGTATCACCTAACCGCTAAACAAGAACGATACCAAATTTTTTCTTCACCAAGCAAACGAAAGATCCCTACTCAAACGCTGATTTCATTTCATCTGGCTTTCCTACGTGGTCCTAATTCCTGTACGAGGGCCCTCCTCCTACACGGCTAGATACAGAAGAAAAAACCCCCAGAACCGAGATGGAACCAGATCCGCTGCCTCGTCAAGAGATAGATGTGATCAAGCCCCTGGTTCTAGATGAGCTATGTAGTGATTTGAGTGTGATGATGGTCTGTCTAGAGACCACGATAAACATGTTCAAAACAGTGCGCCGAGGTATGCTAAACGAGTATCAGGGGGGCTGGGCCGCTGTTTTCAATATGTGCGGGAAGGGGGTGTAAAAGTGTACAGCTTTTGGGCATCACACGGTCTGAGGCGCTCTATACGCCATAGCCCGGGTTTGGCGGCAGTCCAAATCTTCGGTTCTCCCTTCGGAGCTCGTCGGGAGTCTCCTTTCGAGGTGGGGGAGGGGGGAGAGGGCCACCAGGGGGAGCTGGTCGGACAGGCAGGCTGAATGTCGTAGCATTTGCGCTCATAGGGCCAGCGCTCTCAGGGTAGCCCGACACCTTGGGGATCGAGTTTGTCGTGACGACACGGGGCAGTCCAGGATGCGCCGAGCCCGGTGTGCGGGCAGAGCCATAACCGTTGCGAGGTGGCGATCGACTGTGGCTCGAGCCGTACTGATCCCGAGGTGAGATAATTCCAGCCCCAGCAATGGGGATCTCGCCAGAGGTGGGAGTATGGCTTCGGTCTTCGGGTTGCGGCTGGCTCTGAGTAGGGGAATCGCTCGACCGGAGGAGCTCCTGAGTCGCGGGAGAGAGTTGAGGGGCAAGATGGGATTTCCGGTTGTCACGCTCAATCAGTCCAATAGCCCACTCTCGAAGATCGACTGGTGTTCTCTTGGCGGCTTGAACAAAGGGATCGCGATCCTGATTCCGTTAGTAATTGTCAGGTGGGTGGGATATATCACTTACGAAAAGCTCCTGGGGAGTTGGCCGAAGTTCAGGCTCCTTATAGAGACACTTCTGGATCATGTCCTCGAGGATGCTGGGGAATGCATCGCTCTTAGGGAGCTTTGGCGCCGGCTCATGGACAATCTGCTGGAGCAGATCCAGGATACCAGCAGGGGCGCAGTCACCATCTGACAGCTGCTCGCTCGCCGCAAAGGGGAACTTGCCAATGGCAAGCTCCATAATGCTGAGACCGAAACTCCAGACATCCGACTTGACAGTGTACTTTTCTCCCTGGATTCGTTCGGGGGCCATGTAAGTAGAGGTTCCAACAAAGGTGTCGGCGATGGAGTTGACGAGCTCGCCCGAAACACCAAAATCGCAGAGCTTGATATGGCCTCTCGAGTTGACGAGAATATTGGATGGCTTGATATCACGATGCATGATGTGATGTTTCGTGTAGAGATATGTCAATCCGCCGAGGGTGGCTTCGGCAATCTTTCCCAGCACATCGACGCGAACAGGACCAAACACCTTCGAGACTCGGTCAAGGGCACTGAAAATCGAGTCAGCCATCGCATCCCATGTGACTAGTTCAAACCATACTCACCCAACGTCCATGTATTCCATGCACATAATAACATCGTTGTTGGGATTCAAAAAGGCACCGTAGAATGTAACGATGTAGTCGGAGTGGCATCCATGCATAATCTGGAGTTCTCGAACGATTCGCTTCCGTATCTCTCGCTTGGCTTCGACATGAATGACCTGAAACCATTAGTGTCTTGCAGAGTTGGGGCCGTGGTGGTGAGCTTACCTTGCGGGCCATGACAGTTCCTGTTGTGAGGTGCCTGACTTTGCTAACGGTGCCGCCGTTGCCAGAACCCAGCTCCTTGACGATCTCGAGGTCTTCGGGTCTCAGATCCAGCTTGTACTCGATTCCAATCTCCAACTGCTCGTCCTTGCCCGCATCTTGGCTCCCCGAGTTGAACTCGTGTCGGTTGGTTTCGGCGGTTGGTGGGGGTCGAGGGGCGGCGGCTTTGAGGGCAAGGCCTTTGACATTTTTGCGCTTCATGGAGCGCGGAGCAAAGGGGTCGGCCATGATGACGTCGGGTAAGCGATCGCGCTCGTCTAGTGAGTATAGAGAGGTAGAGGTTGGGCGTAGCGAGGCTTGAAGTCGAGTTCAGTCAGACACAGCCAGTGCCTGGCTGGTGCTCCCCGCGACGGAAGATCGGGATGAGGACGGAGAAAGACGACAGCTCTCGGGAGCTTGTGAAGATGACAAGTGCTGAGATGCACGAGTATCGATCAAAGAAGCGACCAGAACAAGAGCTGCGTTGATCGAGGGGGGTCGAGGGCTGCGTTGAGATTCTCGCCTGGAATTGCTGTTCGGTGAAGTGATCTGGAGTCCAGATGGCGTCGGAACACGCTGTGACTAGGTCGCAGCGGAAGATGACTGTATGCCGTCGCCGAGGAGAAGAAAGAGTTCTTTGACAGAATGCGAAGCAAAGAATCAAGAGTATCCGTCGACCGTGGACTTATTAAGACGTCTGGTCAAAGCGTCGCTGAAGATTGCACGGGGTGTCGTCTATCACGGCTCCTGGTTAGGCGCGGACAGGCAGGACAGTGGCCAGTGGAGGGCGGGGTTCGACCAACGATAACGTGACGGGAGTGGCTGGAGGTGCGCTGAGCGAGTTGGAGGCGCAGGCACAACAAAGGACGAGACGTCGAGAGAACCAAGGCGGCAACAAATCACATCAAGGAAAAGGGGGCCAAGACGGGTTTGCGATACAATCACAGTCTCTACAAACCAGAAACGGCGGCCATCCAAATTATGTACCTCAGATCTGGTGGGCCACTCGCTGTAAGGGGAGAGTCAACGAAGGGACGGAGTAAAGGCTTATAACACGGAGTAATTATAGCGGCTGATTGAGGCCCAAGCCCAAGGCCAGGAGGTGATGCCCCTGGCTGGCGATTGGGGATGGAGACTGGCCAGGTAGGGATTTGAGACACTCCACGCCTCGAGCTAGGTGCACGCATCGACTCAGGATTGCGACGAGGTAACATGGGAGCTGTGTGATAATTTAGGTCCTACATTAGATTCATACGACAGGTCAACCAACCCCCCATCTCCGGCCCCGTCTAGAGTAAATCCGTGGCTGCCGTGAGTCACGACACTGGTAGAATAAGAATACGCGGCATCCATTCAGATAGGAGGTTCAGGCGAGGTTTGACAGGCATGACTTCGTCCCGCGGTTGAGCATGAAAAAAGGGATGATAGACCAGACGCTCCTGCAACCACCGGTTGATTCGGCTCTATCACGAGGTCGGCACTTGGACCAGGTTTGAGTGAGATTTTGACGAATTGAATTCGGCTCCGTTTGCAAGAGAAGAGGTTGCATTAAGAAATTCACCATCGGTGTCGCGCATGGAGCCAAACGCCTTGTCCTTGTGTAGGTTACTATCCAGATCAGCATCAATGAGGAGGCTCAACTTTCATCACTGGATGAATGATTATGTCAGGAATCCTCCTTGGCACCCCAAATTCTCTGCATGGGACCATGCCTAATACGAAAGGGGAAGTTCCAGCCACAACGCCACACTCTTTGTCTCATGGCAGGTCCCACGATATTTGAACATTACAGTTAGAGAAAATATTAGAATGAATAACTCAAGTTGACTATGTGAGGAGCGAGTTTAGGAACTTTGAGAAATCGCTGTTAGGGTGCACTTCTATTTGAGTAACTGTCAGGGCACTGAAGAGCTTGCAGACTGCAGCAGAGGCAGGCTGTACTCCTTCGGCTCGGAACATCCACACCTCCGAGCACCCCTGCCAGTCGCGACAAGGCTGCACGCTGCACGTGTGTTGCTCTTCCAGCGCATGTCCAAAAAAATACCAAATACCAGAAGCTTTCCAGGAAAGCTCATCATCAAACTTCTCTCATCTTTATTTCTTCTTCTCTGAAAACGCGAGTCCAGTGAGCCTGGAAAAAAGCTCGCGACCGACTTTCTCGCTCAGCTCTCGACCAATCGACCCCCAAAGCCGACCAAGAAAGCTTTGTTGCCTGCGCGGCAGCATCGCAAATCGTCAACATGAGCAACAGCATGCGCGATTTAATCTCTGGGGAGGCCGAGTTGGACGACGAGGAGGACGACGAGTCTTTTGACGAGGATGATGGTGGCAACCGCAAACGGAGACCTGCCGTCGAAGACTCGAGCGAGGAGGAGGAAGACGATGACGATGAAGAGGAAGCTCGCAAGGTTTGTTTTTGGTCTCAAGCCTGTAAAATAAGGCACCGTGGCTTATGCGCCGATTCTACAGGTTCGCGAAGGTTTCATCGTCGACGAGGATGAAGACGAAGACGACGTTGACGAGGATGATGCTGATGTGCGACCCGTGGTCAAAAGAAAGCGAGAGCATCGCGACCGCGAAGAGGAAGAGCAACTGGATGAAGATGATCTAGAGCTAATCGGCGAACAATTTGGCGAGCGACCCAAGCCTCAGAGTCAGGTGAGTTTTCGTGACGGCAGCTTGCGCGACCTCAACCCCTTGGCACCTCTAACCTTGACCCCAGTCCCAGTACAAACGTCTTAAGCGCGGCCACCGCGGCGAAGATCGCGCATCCGAACATCGCGGCCTAGCAGAAATCTTTTCCGACGACGAAGATGATGCGACCGAGCAACGAAACTATGGCAGGTCATACCGAGGACAGGTCGACGAGTTTGAAGACTTTATCGAAGAGGACTTCCCCGACGACCCTGATGTGAAAGCACGCGAGATGGAAGATGCCGAAGTCGCTCGACCCAGAGATCGTGGTGTTGGTCATGTCATTGACACCACCAATCTGGACAAGGACGCGCTGGACGATATGGAGGCTATCTTCGGCAATGGCGAGGACTACGACTGGGCACTCCAGATGGAGGAGGAGGAAGAGGACCGTGAAAGGGAGGAGCAGGCCATCGAACTCAAGGATGTCTTTGAACCGTCCCAGCTGAAGGAGAAGCTCCTGACCGACGAGGATAACGAGATCCGCTTCACCGACGAGCCTGAACGATTCCAACTCGACCGAAAGAACTTCAAGAACCTGCAGCTCACCGCCGAGCAGTTCAGAGAGGAGGCACGATGGATTACCAACCAGCTTTGGCCAAAGAAGGGCCTGGCTGCCGATCTGCAGAGCCCATTCGGCAAAGCTGTTGGCAAAGTCCTCGAGTTCTTCATTGTTGATGAGGTGGAAGTGCCCTACGTCTTCCAACACCGCAAAGACTACCTGCTTCATACTCGAAAGACGCGCAACCCCAACCGCGACGATCCCGATGCCCCTGAATATGTCATCAGTGCCGAGAAGCTACTGAACCAAGATGACCTCTGGAAGATTTTGGAGTTGGATATTAAGTTCCGATCTTTCGTGGACAAGAGGAACTCTCTCGAAAAGACCTTTGAGAACCTTCGAGGCTTGGATATCAACGACTCAATTGTGGAGGAGATGATTCCCGAGGCCACAACCATGGAGGAACTCCAGGATCTGCAGGACTACTTGCATTTCCAGTATGGACCCCAGCTCAAAGACCTTGCCGCCATGGCTGGCAACCTGTCCCTTACGAAGCGGCCGGGTTCTAAGTCGAATCTCCTGGAGCGAGTCCGTCAGGGCAAGGCATACAACTTCGTTCGTGCCTATGGTGTTACCGCGGACCAGCTTGCCAAGAATGCTTTGCGACAGGGAAAGAAGGTGTCTCCTGACGATGACGCTCAATATCCTATGGACTTGGCCGACAGCTTGATTGATGATAACTTCAGCACAGGCGATCAGGTCATGAGTGCAGCTCGACAGATGTATGCAGAGGAGTTGTTTGCCAGTCCGAGAATGCGCAAGCATTTCCGAAACTCCTACTACCAGGCTGCTGAGATCAGCTGTCGACGAACCGACAAGGGACTGCGCAGGATCGACGAAACTCACCCTTACTACGAGGTGAAGTACTTGCAAAACCAGGCCATTGCCGACCTTGTTCATCAGCCTGAGCTCTTCCTCAAGATGATGAAGGCCGAGGAGGAAGGCTTGGTCAGCATCAAGCTTGATATGCCCGCCAGATATGACTTCCGCAGGCAGCTCTATCAGGAGTTTGAGTCGGAGAACTTCAGTGATCGAGCAGAACAATGGCGGGAAGAACGCAAGAAGGTGCTCGACCTCGCATACCCCAAATTGGAAAAGATCATTGCCAAGAACGTCAAGGAAGTCATCCGAACGTTCTGTCAGGATGAGGTGCTCAAGATGTGCCGAGAAGAGTACGCCAAGCGACTCGATCAGGCGCCTTACAAGCCCAAGGGCATGATTTTGGGTACCACTCCTCGTGTACTGGTTCTCTCCAATGGTATGAGCGACCCTGCTCGCGATCCCGTCTGTTGGGCTTGGGTCGAGGAAGATGGCCGAGTGATTGAGCAAGGAAAGTTTGGCAATCTTGCACGAGACGAGCGCCAGCGGGAAGACTTTGTCGAAGTTGTCAACCGCCGTCGACCCGATGTGATTGCTGTTAGTGGCTGGTCTGCCGACACCAACAAGCTCGTGCGTGACCTGGAGACTCTGGTTACCGAGAAGGGCCTCATGGGTCCTGAGTTTGAGGACCCCGACACAAACGACTACCGCACAGAGCCTTTGGAGGTTGTGGTAGTGAACGACGAGGTGGCTCGTCTGTACAAGGACAGCCCCCGAGCACTTGCCGAGCACCCAAGCCTCAACCCCATCACAAGGTACTGTGTTGCTCTGGCACGCTACATGCAGAACCCCATGAAGGAGTACGCCGCCCTCGGCAGGGATGTTACCTCCCTCTCTTACCACCCGTGCCAGAACCTCCTCCCTCCGGAGAAGCTGGCCAAGTATCTCGACTCGGCGATGGTCGACATGGTCAACCTGTGTGGTGTGGACATTAATGAAGCCATAACCGATAGTTACACTGCCAACCTCTTGCCGTACGTCTCGGGTCTGGGACCACGAAAAGCCTCGAGCGTTATCAAGGCGATCAATGCCAACGGCGGCGCTGTTAATACCAGAGATGAGCTCGTTGGCGATCCCGATAGCGGCAAGTTGCCAGTCGTGGGCCCTAGGGTGTGGAACAACTGCGCGAGTTTCCTCTTCATCGAATACGAGGCCACTAACCCGTCTTCTGATCCCTTGGATAACACGCGTGTGCACCCTGAAGACTACGAACTTGGCCGCAAGATGGCGGCCGACGCTCTGGAGCTTGACGAGGAAGACGTCAAGGCCGAGACAGACGAGAACGGCCCAGGTGCAATCGTGCGGAAGCTCTTTAAGCAAGATGAGCAGGACAAAGTCAATGAGCTTGTTCTGGAGGAGTATGCAGAGCAGCTTGAGAGGAACTACAGTCAACGCAAGCGAGCCACTCTGGAGACGATCCGTGCCGAACTCCAGGCTCCTTACGAGGAGCTGCGAAGGAACTTTGGCCTTTTGACGGCCTCGGAGATCTTTACCATGTTTACGGGCGAAACCAAGTTGACTCTGTGCGACGGCATGATTGTGCCCGTCAACGTGCGAATTGTCAAGGATGACTTTGCCATTGTCAAGCTTGATTGTGGTATCGAGGGCAGAGTCGAGGCTCATGAAGCCAGCCACCGCGCGTCCATCAAGGAGGTGCTCAGCGTTGGACAGACAGCACAGGCTAAGATCCTGGACATCAACTACAAGGATTTCATGGCCAAGCTGTCAATGCGGGAAGACTCGCTGCGGATTCCGTACAAGCGGCCAATCAACTTTGGACGCGATGGGTGGGATTACGCCCTCGAAGCGGCAGACAAGGACGAGCTGCGGGAGAAGGACAAGACAACGGGCCGAACGCAGCGTGTGGTCAAGCATCCCAACTTCAAGCCGTTCAACGGTCTCCAGGCTGAGGAGTACCTCGGATCGCAACCTAATGGCGAGGTGATTATTCGTCCCTCGTCCAAGGGTAACGATCATCTGGCGGTCACGTGGAAGGTTGCGGATGGTGTCTACCAGCACATTGACGTGCTGGAGATGCAGAAGGATACGGAATTCTCAGTGGGCAAGTTGCTGCGCGTTGGCGGCAAGTACACGTACAGTGATCTGGACGAGCTGATCGTGGAGCATGTCAAGGCCATGGTGCGCAAGGTGGAGGAGATGATGCGGCACGACAAGTTCCAGAGCCGATCTCGGGGAGAGACGGGTAAGTGTTACAAGATGGATTGGATCAGACAGGGGCATGATGCTAACAAGGGGCTGCAGAGAACTGGCTAACGACATACATCAACGCCAACCCAAATCAGTCAACGTACGCATTCTGCATCGACACCAAGCACCCTGGGTACTTCTGGCTGTGCTTCAAGGCCAACCGGGCTGCCAAGGTGATAGGGCTACCGGTACGAACGATCCCTCAGGGCTTTGAGCTCAAGGGTTACCAGTACCCCGACATGCGAGCACTGTGCAACGGTTTCAAGCTGCGATACCAAAACGAGTTTTCCAAGATGGGACGTCGGTAGGTCGGCAGCCAGATAGGCAGGCTGAAGGGACTTCGAAGGGGGGAAAGCACATGTTTGATTAGACTTGGAATGAGGATGAAGCTGCAAGTGTACTTTAGGCGTAAGTTAATGAGTTTTCTTTTGCGAAACGAGGAGATAGAGGCGAGCTATGGCAGCAGGGAAAAAAATGAGAACCAAAACCAAGCTTAATCGACATGATTTGACGCATACCGAGGAGTTTATCGTGAGTTTACACCAAGGGGAACCGAGCTTGCGAGATCAGTCCGGCGATGATCATCCATTCGCCCTATCTAGAACTGACCTTTGACTCACTATCCCCAGTTGACAATCTCATGGATGAGCATGATTGCGTATCATGTTGCGCCATAGACTGATAACGTTTAAGTTGTGATATCACAACTCAAACCTCGGGAGGCAGCCGAGTTAGACTTGATAGGAGATGATACGATCATGATAGAGTATCGCGATATCTATAAGCGTATGCAGGTAGTCATGACTATGAGGTGAACCATGATTACGGTTACGCCATGACCGAGATGGGTTGATAAGGCGCTCCTCGAGGAGTCAAAGGAAAGTCACGAAGCCAGCCACACGCTAATGTCCCCAACTCTGAGCATAATGACCCATCTGGAGATATCACAAGCACTTGGCCTCCAGTTGCGTAATTCCCAAACAGCTTTGAACACTTGTCCACTGTATCAAAGCAAAGAGTCGGTGATTACGATAAGAATGGGGCATAGGGACGATCATGGGACCTCTACTGGTTCTTGTTGCTTCTGGAACGAAGCGGATACCTCGGGCGTGGTCGTCGCGAGAGGACACCATGAGTGGCGAGCTGTGACGTGTGGCTCATGCATGAGCGATCGCGGAGAGGGGAAAGCAGAAGTCGCAAAGCCGCGGTTTGATCTCTGTTGGTTTCCATGAGGCTCAAAAAAGGGGATTGAGAACTAGCTGGAAAGAGCTCGAGCTCAATTGAAGCTTGCAATTGGGCAATTGGAACCCAACTTGGCTCAAACCCCCTGAGTTGCTCGAGTACTTTCTGTTGTTGGAGACGTCGTTCGGGGATGGGTCGATGAGGTCATGTGCACCACTGCGCCTGACGAACAGGAGCGCGTGGCCCGCTGAGTCAGTTCCCACTCAGGGGGACCCACTCAATGAATTCGATGTCGGCCAGGCAAGACCTTTGAACTCCGAGAACGGCATCGGACTTTGGTCTGTAACTTGGCTATCCTATCATGATGGGGAAACTTGATGAGATCGGGGTTTCTTATTACGTTGGAAGAATGGACGACGACCCACACGTTGGTTTTGGGAAGGAGGCTCGTTCGGTAGGTAAAAGGTAGATTTTGGCGGGTGGTTCCCCCGGCAGATGCGGCTCGTTGGAATTGGTCAATGTGACTCTGGGAGTAGTAAGAATCAGCCAATATCCGCGACAAGTTCCTCTGTTTTGCATCTCTAGACGAAACAAGACGATGCAGACACTTCTGGACGTCAATTGAGTCTCTAGACTCTTGATTCCATGCTTGCACTCTCTCGTATCTGTTGACGACCTTTTGCTCAAGCTATCGCTATCAGCGGCAACTCTCCTAGGGCGTACGCCGGTACCTGCGTACCCCGGATCCCCGCAATTTAGCGGATCCTCTTTCTCTTGTGGCCAGGCGGACCGCCCGCCGCCGACCGCCGAAGAGAGAGAGGGCAGGGAACAGGAGACCCCTGCTGCAGCTTGAGAGACACACCGACGTCAGTTCACCACGAGGTCACCTGGTCCTACACGCGCGCCGCCGACGCCGAAGGAAGAGGAGGTTTCTGCTCACGCGTAGCATGTTACAGCACAATGTGTTGTTGCTACTGCGGACGCACGCACCGCCTTGGACAAGACAAGAGGCGGATGGCGTGTAGGTGCCGCCAGTCAGAGAGGACAGCACAGCAACTTGGCCATGGTTGGGATAGCTAATCTTGTCGTTTAAGCGCCGGGGAAGAGGCGGCCAAGGAAACCCTGCTAAAGAATCTACAGCACAGTACTAGATTTGGGGAGGGTCAAGGGGAGGCGAGATTCAATTGAGCCCATTGACCACGGGCAATGGCACGAGTATCGTCATGGGGATTTGAATTGCACAATCTGCATCACGGCCTGTGCTCAAATCTCCTCAATTGTCTGTTCAATTGCTCGCAATTTGACTCTCTCTCCTTTGTCCCGGTGGCTGGAATGTTTGTGACTCTTTCCCCCCCGCAGTGGTAACGTGCTTGTAGAGCTTCGGTCGTGAGAGGCATAGAGTTGGGGCGGCGGCTGCTTGCGTCAGGTCACGCGATAACGGACGGGATGGGGGATGAGACCCGCCCGCTACTGTAGACTTGGTACTAAGATCCCCCCCCGCTGAGTTGACAAGGTGGAGCCAGAGTGAGGCGCTGCTTGCACCGAGACCCATGATGGACCATCATCATCATGAATGATGGGGAAGAGAAACTGGGCCCTTTGTTGCAATGACTCTTTTCGTATGCGTTGGTCAATTGATCCATCCTAGTCTCCGGGGCCGGCACTCGCTCGCTTCCATCTTGTTGGGGAGATGCCTCCAGCTTACTAGACACAGTAGGTACCTAGGTATGTAGCGGACAGGGGAGCTTTGGAGCTTCCCCTCGTCGACATCCTGCCTAGGGAACATCGGCCGGGCCATGACCTGATTGGGCACGAGGTGATGCCATCACCCAGTGTCCCTCGCGTGACTCTCGGGATATAAAGCTTGGGAGCTGTCCCTGGATTGCATCTCGCTTTATCCCATCCAGCATCTTGTCTGCCCATCAACGCCAACCAATTGCGAATCAACGACAACATCTCTTTTTGAGATCCAACACCTTCATCTCAAGCACACCTCTCTCCAACAAGACTCCAACACACTACGTACAATACAGGGATCCAACGTTGATTCACTGTCTACACAATCAACCAACGCTCAATCGCCATCATCCAACACGTGCCCATCTGCCTTTAATAAGAGCATCTGAGAAACACCTACAAAAGAACTTGCTCCTCACATCGCAACACTTTACTCTCACACATCAGCATCACATCGCCTCCCAACTTAGTCCCTCACACCTCTTTCATCAAAAGTAAGTTTATAGTCTCCTTTTTCCCTGCCGCCTCCCGCCACTTCCTCGTCCCCCTCCGTCTCCCGGAGGCGAGGTATACACGGAGTACCTGCCTCGCCGCCCAGTACAGACCTCCGGCACCCCGCACCCGCATGGAGCACCCAAACTCGCTCACCCGGGGAAGGGCCTCCCTGGCGATTGCCGTTCGTGTCTGCGTCTGCGTCTGTCTGGTGACGTTTGACCTGGCCTCCATTTAAAAGCCATCCAAACCCCCTTCGTTCTCGAACCTCTTGACCCCTCTTTCCCATCCTTCATCATCCTGATCATCCATCACTTGTCATCTACAACTACATTCTCAAACACGACTCTCCTCCATCTGTACCACCAAGCGTCTTTCCCTCTACACCTCTCACAAGTTAGCTTGTTGTCGCCCCTCTGCCTCCAACCTCATGCTGACTCCATCTCTCGTAGTGACTCGCTCTCACAAGGCCAACGACCGTGACCACAAGGGTCTCGCTGAGGGCACCGCCCTCCCAACCGAGCATCTTCCTCGCTTCTTTGCCAAGAACGGCTATGCCGATGTCGACCCCAAGAAGGTGAAGAAGGACGGCTCTGGTCGAGGTAACTGGTATGTGACACAGAAATTTCTTGAATATACAACAGCGCACTAACACGGCCACTAGGGGAACCGTCAACGACGACATCGCTGACCAAGACTTCACCTTTACCAACACTCGTCGCCGCTCCAACAGCAGCAGCTTCTCACACCACGTCTCAGACTTCAAGACCAAGTTCGAGGTCAACGAGCCCGAGCCCGTCTTTGAGGAGTCGGTCCATGGTCCAGAGGAGGAGGACCATGAGGACCTCACCAAGACCGACTCTTCCGAGAGCGGCCGATCCTCCTCTTAATCGGCATATCGCATCCTCCTCGAGAGGTCGATAGTCATACGCTCGCTGCCATGTTTGGCAGCAGCAATTTTTTGAGGGTCCAACTGTACAAGGAACAAGGGGGGCAAAGGTTTGATCTTTTTTTTCTTAATGCAAGCACGAAACGACATGGAATGAAACGAATGAAACAACAGAATTATGGGGATGAATACTTGATCAAACGGATGGGGGGGAATCGGAACGGCAATTTTTGGACGGAGTTGACGGACCCTCGTGACTATTCACTGATCTCGACGTGGATCATGGTTATGGGCCGCCTGTGAAGACTTCTTTTTTCCTCGCGGCCAGATGTATTACTGTATCACTAGCTTAGCTTATCAAACAAAGCGACGACAAGGCTGGAAAGATGCTCATATGAGCCCAGCCGAAACCACAGTGTTCCTTGCATGAGTTCCATGTCTTGTCATGACTGTTTGTCTTATTGACATGAAATGCCCCTCTTACAAGATGCATATCCGATCAAGATGCGGTCTTTCATATCCGGAAACCACCAACTCAGCTTGGGCTGCCGGGCCTCAAGACCCGAGACCATCACGAGTTCACCTGCAGCAAATGAGAGTCGGATAGGGACATGCCCAGAAACCCATTGAGCGAATAACCAAGCCCTGTTAGCCTGTCTATCCACGACAAAAAAAGCCCCTTCATCTCTCTCATTATCTACCCCGCTCCCTCAAACTCCCTCCTCCAGCACAGTATCAGGAGCAACGGACGGCGCTGTCGATCCCTCGCTTGCGCGCCGCTGGGAAGGGATAAGCGTCACTGTGATACTGTGTGTGCTTCTTTTGACGCCCGGCCGTGATGGAATATACGCAGGAGAGTTGTCCCATTTGCTGTGATGGGAATGTATGGATGGTGGTTGGTGGGTGTCGGCATGGTGATGCTGAAGCTGGAACTTGTGTTTTGAAAGTTGCTTTTTTAAAGCATGTCTGTATTTTTACCCTTCTGGATATTGTACCGTAAATTACAATACCAATTGATCACCTCTATCTCTCCATCACTCTCTACCCATCTAGAGTAATTGTCCATGTCGTCGTCCTTATCGCTATCGCCATACATGACCGCAGTGGAGATTTTGACCCCCTCCTGCGGATGTGACCTGCATCGCGATGGCCCGCTGTAACACCCCTAAACTTACAGGGGGGGTTAGCAAGAACCACCCCGCGATACCTGGATGGGGTGGTTGGTCTGGGCGTTGGGTCAAGCCACCAAGGCTGGGAGACGAGGCTGAGGTGTGGTCTGTGCGTTTTGGTACCGTTGAAATTTCCTAGGACAGCTTGCGAGGCTGTGATGTTTGGAGCTTCAAGTTTGCGACGCGACCAAGATCAACGACGACTCGAGACGGCATAAGACAACAATTGGGAGACCACCCAGCTTCAGAGTGATTGCGCGATACATCTGCACCAAATACTACCCAATATCTGGCTCCCACAGCCAAACACGAGCGCAGTCTAGCCAAAACACCAGACCAACCATCACCATGGCCGTCCCCCCAGCATATCACGAGTCCCTCCCCTGTAAGACTTCCTCACCCGTCACTTGCCCAGACAAATCTAACAAACATCCTAACAGATGTCGACCCTGAACCTTCTCCCGAAGCTCTTGCCGCCGCCCGCGCCCTCATAACCGCCGAGGCAGCTACACAACTCCCCAAGCCCTCCTCCCACCCAGAACCCTCCTTCTCCCCCGCCATAGCCGCCGAGCTCGCCCGCGTATCCAACTCGACGCCCCTCGCTCCTCTTGATCTATCCCGCTACGAGGCTCCCTCCCCGAGCGCACCCCCTGTTGAGGCACTCCCCTTAGCTGCCGTCGCGCACAGCTACCTCTCGTCGCGTCTCACCAACCTCGAACTACTCGATAAATGGGGCAAGAATGCTTGGCTTCTCGGTAACCATGCCCTCGAAGCTGAACTACAGGCTCTGGAGCGCGAGCTCGCCGCCACCAAGCGAGAGGTCGACCTTGTCAACCTCGAGAGACAGAAGCGTCAAGGCGCCGTGGGAGCAGAGATCAAGGCCCTCGACGATACCTGGCGTGCCGGCGTTGGTAGGGTGCTCGAGACCGAAGTCGCTGTCGAAGAGTTGAGGGGCAGGATTCGGGAGGAGCTAGCACGGAGGGCGACTCAGGGCGATGAGCAGGCCCAAGGCCAGGAGCAGTAGGAGTACGACAGGGTTTTCAAGTTGGAGCTGATATTACGACACACCATGGGGGTATATCATGGGAATTCCCAGAGACCAGTCTGTTGTCTCTTCATTTCACAGGCGTTTTGATACCAAAGGGTTTCTCTTCCGTTTTGAACATGGGCCATATTAGACATAAAATCCAAGAGCCAAACAATATCAAGTACTACACCAAGGAGTCAACCACTTCCTTAGACAAACACATATGCACAACTCATCATTTCTCCAGTCATAGTACCATACTTTTACAGGAAATTGAGCGGCGAGTACTGCATAATCATGATGATGCTGATATCGACCAAGGTATCTGATCACTACCTACCTAGCCATGCTGTCTCAGGAAAGCGAAGGTGGGAGAAGAACCTCACAAAACGCCAACCACAAGTCCATTTCTTCCATGCGTCACCTCACGTCAACCCCTCAACTCGGATACAATCGTATCCAGACCGTCCACTCGAGGCAAATTGGGGTTACACTTGCTTGATCCAACCACCCTCATACACCGAGATTCTTCTGCTCATCCACCATCCTGCCATAAACATACACACATCCGTACCAATCTTGTTGTTTGCCCATCTATCCAGCGTGCAGAGGGTCCATCTCCTCGACGCCAGACTTGACGCCCGGGTACTTGGTCCGTCGAAGAATACCCTCCACAGGTCCCAACAGTCGCTGGAACGCGTTCTTGCCCAGGCTCGCCACCTTGACGTCCGACGTGGCCACGATACTAGCTGCCCGTGGTGCATCATTGAGAAGTGCAAGCTCACCAAAGAAGTCGCCTTTGACGTAATGCCGCACCTTGTTCTCCGGGCTGCCCTTGTAGGCATCTGCCTCACCGTTCTCCAGCAGGTAAAACGAATGGCCGGGATCTCCCTCGTTGATGATGATCTGTCCTGGCGCAAACTTCCTGGTCTCCAGAGCATCTGCAATCTTGGACCTCTCGTACGGCGTCAGGCTCGCCAGTAGCGGCACCTCTTCAAGGAAGCTCTCGTACATCCGTCTTCGGGCAAACGTCGACTCCATAAGAATGCGTCGGAACGTCACACGGTCAAGAGCCCATAGAGTGCACCCGGGTTCGGCAGAGATGACAGTTGCGGCTCGGGGCGCGTTATACATGAGGGCAAGCTCGCCGAAAGAGCCGCCAGCCTGGATGTTACCAACCTGGTTACCCATGCCGTCTGGGCCGGGCTGGAGAGTGCCAGCAGGGTTGACGTAAACATCAAAGGATCCCTTCTCGACGACGTAGAAGTAGTCGCCGGCATCACCCTGGCTGATCACCTGTACGACGATCAATAACACGTCTTTCATCTTCGGTTCAACACAACGTACCTTAATTCCCTTAGCGGGTATCGGCTTCTCGACCAGAGCGCCCAGAATTTGAGCACTCTGCTCATCTTCCAGGTGGTTAAAGAGAAAGTTGCCCTCAATGGCACGCTTGAGGCGCTCAAGCTGGTCGGCCGACTTCTCGTGGTAGGGGGGAGACCAATTATCATTAGAATCAGCGCCAGGCTTCAGAGATTCGGCAGACACTGAAGTCCGGCGCCCAAAGTTGTACTGGGCAGGATAACTATCTGGGTTCGGGGGTGTTCGAGAGCTGGGAGGTACATCACCCCCGGCATCGCCGCCGAAGCCGCCGCCAAAGGGACCTGAGAACAGCGATCCAGAGTTTTGCGCTCCAAAGCTGCGGTTTGTGGGTGATGTGATGTTGTCCGTCTCATCCTCTTCGATAACACGATGCATCAGGTTGTTCGAAGCTTGCCCTCTGTCTGTTCCAAAGGGGTTGCTATTCTCCCCAAAGGGACTAGAAAATGGACCGGCCATGATTTGACGGTGGTTGAGGCTGCAAGTATTTATATAGATATCGTCGAGTGTTGTGCGAGACGACGCCTGTCGACTTTCCAGCCGAGAAAAGAAAAGGCCGGCGCCAATTTGGAGGGATCGAAGGTAAGGGGAACAGCTGTTATTCAGGCTCCTGTGTCCTTTTGGTAAGCTTCCGGGAAAACGGAGAGTTTGGTAGTCCGAGGGCGATCGCAGATGGGGCGTGAAGCTGTGATGATTCGCGGGACGGTAACAGGTGAAGCGAGGCGAGGGGTAGAAGTGTGATGGACGTCAACTTACAGCTATCAAAGCACCCTCGTGAACGGTCTTCAGAGCAGACAAGCTAAGCCAAGGTCAGCACAAGCTGCAGGTGAAGCTGGGTTAAGATCAATGGCGATTTGGAAGCAACAAGGGGGTGGGTGCCGTGCAGGAAAGGGAGCTCCGGGGTCTGGGCGCTAAAGATGAAGCTGGACGCGGGCTGCAATCCGCGCTTGAAAGTGACGTGTTGTGGCGGGGCCTAGATCAGGACCCTGTTGCAAAGTCTATGCGTAGCTCAAAGGGTGAAGTGATGAATCAAGTGCAAGACAAGATACTCTTGGCGTGCAGCATCGACAAAGGAAGTGGAAGGGGGGGTATATGGTGGCTGTAGCACCTGAAAACGAGTCCTTCAAGGTCTGAGGCCGAGGGGCATCCGAATGGTGATGATGAGATGACCCAAGAGGTGGCGTAGCGAGATGCGTTCAAAGCTGTATGGCGGGACGGCGCAGGGAATCAGGAAAACAGGGTTAACTCACGCTCAATCCTAGCAAGGTAGACCCCAGGAATTCGGATTTGACCGAAGGACGAAGGTATTCCGTGAGTGTTCTAGAAATCAGGTACCGAGGAGGGCTGGACCGGGGTTGGGTCAGGACGGCGGGGGAAGGATCAAAGCTGTAGGCGACGGCGGGCTGAGGTCGAGAGTCCTAGAGCTGAAGGCGAAGATGAAGAGGCGAGATGTAAGAGAGAGGAGGGGTCATGACATGGGCCTGGAGCGGCCAAACCGAGGAGGAGGAGGAGAAGGAGAGCAAGTCGCAAGGCGAGTGGGGTTGAGCTTGGGTTGCTTTGCTTGACGTCCGTCCTTTTGCGCTTGCTTCCCCGCCTTGCCGTGGTCGTCAAAGGAACAAGGGGAGTCGAGGAGAGAAAGGCTGCAGGATATAGAAGATGGAGTTTGATGTGTTGAAAAGAGAGAGAGTAAAAGGAGAAGCTGATGAAGAAGGAAGAGATGAGCGAGCAGAGAGTCAAAAAGGCAAGAAGAGACCTGACTTTGACTGACGGAATGGGGAGAAGTGGGGGAAGTGAAGGGGAAGGTGAGAGGGGAATCTTGTTAGTTAAAGCGAGAGACTTTCCCAAGATGGTTGCCGCCCAGGGAAGCTTTCTAGAACGAGTGCGCACGGGCCAGGTGACGGCACGGGCTCCTCGGGCACTTGTTCCACAGGCCGTTCCGCTGCTCTTCGATGCAGCTCCCGGACTGGGAAGCTGCTATCAACCTTGACCTCTAATGCGCCGTGATGCCAACCGCAGCGATGGACGCCTAGACTAGGTACAGTAGGTGATCGCTCCATCAACAAGGCTTTTTACTATTTCAGCAAAACGTCCGGAAGCAGAATCAACGCATGTTTCGGGCCCCCGTCGGTGGAGCCGCTCTCCCGCTGAACCCTCTGTGGACGAACCCAAACGATGGCTCTGGTATGTGGTAGGGCGCTGGCTCCAAGCTAGCTCATTGCCACCTTTCTCCCCTTGACCAGAGCTGCATGCCATTTCCCTAGAGACGATGCTCGGCCACGTTATTACCCGTGCCTCGCTCGTCTCATGCTTCGATCCTCTGGGAGCGGCTACTTGATCAGACTCGGATGACTCCACGGCGCCGGGCTGCTAGATCAGCCCTGGGACCGTCCATGTCGCCCCCGCGTAAGCTCCCCGGGAGCTCCTAGCTCCCATTCCGGATGGTGGCGGCCAACTACACCACTTTGAACGAGAACAATGAATGAATCGAGTGGAACGCCTCCGTCCGTAGATGCATTGCAGCCTGCTACCTAGTTATTTGCATGACTCTCCTCGTCATGTTTGCTACACCATATCTTCGGCACTTGTCCCTCCAGCTCGCAGCTTGCTCTGCTGCTGCTACTGCAGCTATCCCGATATGCACCATCCTCCAACCTGCACAGCAAGAAGCTGCCGTGTCACTCTTCTCCTTGCCGTATCCCCCGCATCACACCACACATCTTCACCTCTGCAAACATTATACCCTTTTTGAACTGATTTCTCTTGAGCCAACGATGCGCTACATACGTAATACATGGTTGGCCTCTGTGAACCCTCCACCCATCATTGGACGTAGCAGCTCATGTCCCTCAAAAACTGCTCGGGTATCGTTCCTGGCTGGCAATGATAAAGTACAAAAGTCCTCCTCCTGCTCATCTTCTCAATCACGCATCCCCAAGTCTTTCTCCCTCGTCATCCAGCTACGCTGCTCGGCGTCCATCATCATCCCCTGCTCGGTAGCAAGTACAAGTATACAAGAAAAGATAACAAAACAAGGTCGCCGCAATCGCAACCATAAACAAAACCCCCCAAGAAACCCCTGCGCCAAAGAATAAAGCCGTCCGGTGCAAATGCATTCGTTTGATCCCCCCAAATCCAAGCTTGGCGCCAGCAACGCGGCCTCACGCTTGTGCCCGTGCCTGTGTGCCTGTCAAACGCCGGCTCCTTGCACGCCTTGCCTTTCCGTCCTTCTTCCTAAATTCCATATCCAGTGTCCACCTTGGGACGTGACCTGGGGCTTGAACCCCTTGTCTCGTACCCTTTAGTGTGTTTGCAGTAATCTCAAATAATCCATCGGACATGCCTTTCAACAGACTGAAATCCCCAGCTGATGGTTGGCAGCTGCGCATATTTGGCCATGCACCATAGGACCCCACCACTAGGCACGAGTCCAGGAGTCTGTCCAACATATCCATGTCATGGCTCTCTGCGCCCTCCCAATGGCTCTGTACGCCAATTTCCACGCTGTGGAAGGCTCTGTCCGGACCCTGGAGAGTCGGCTTCATATCTGATGGCTCAGTCGCAAGACACAAGTCCAAGACTGCGTCCAGCATCTCCAGATCCTGACTCCCCGCACCCTCCCACCATGTTTTTATATCAGTATCAGGGCGGCCATTCGGGCTCTGCGAAGTAGGTTTTATGTCCTATGACCCAACCGCAAGGCATGAGTCCAAGACTGCATCCAACATATCCATATCTTGGTTCTCTGCGCCCTCCCACCATGTTTCTGTGTCAATGTCCATGGCGTCGGGGTGGCCGTTCGGGAGCTCGAATACTCTTCCGCCGTTGATCCCAGCCACATGGTTCTCTTCCAAGTAGCCTTCTGGACCCTGATCGTGAATCCAGGTGTAGTCGTCCCAGTTCTCTAGCTCGCCTTCCCGGTACCCATACAGAACTTGTGTCATGAGTACTGGGAACTGTGCCATTCCTGTATCGGCCATTTCCAAGGACAGGCGCAGGTCTGCCATGCCCAGGGGACCCCTCTCGCTCGCCGACTTGGACTCGATCGGGAGAAGGCCGCTTTTGTCCCGGGATATCTCGCCTCGCATGGCCGCGTCTTCTTCGTACTCGAGTTGTCGCTTATACTTTTGCGTTTGTATCCACGTCGTTCCAACGCCAAACCCGGCACTGCCAGAATCGCCAGGTCCGTTACTTCGTGTGCGACTGAACACCTGTGTCAAGACTTCCTTGATGAATGTGTCTACAGCAACCGACATAAATTGAGGAGCATCTCCAGCGTGGCCGCTGACAAGGCCTGCCTCATAACAAAACGGTAGCATCCGCCCTGAGATCATACCGATATCGGGGAACTCGCCGGATTCGACCGCCAAGGGTTGGGCATATCGTTTTCGAATCTCGAGGTCAAAGTCTTGCGCCATCGTTAGGATACTCGTAGAATGCGCGCACATGTCCGATACTTACTCATATTATTGATGACCCCTGCGCTAGGGGTAGCATCCATCACCATGGAAGGCTTGCGATGGTTATCTGTAAAAACATGGGATATACTCTCGTGAGGATCCCACTGACACATGTTAGTGGTTGCGACGAAGCAGGCAGGGATGCACAAACATCATTGTGAACCAAGTCCTTGATGCGCCGTCGGTCTCGCGCAGGCAGTTGCATAACATCTCCCTTCAACCTGCGCTCGGCGGCATCGCCTGATACTGGTTTGCTCCCGGTGGTGGCGGCGGGTTTATCGTTGGCGCTGACCCAGGGAGCCAGCCCTTGGTCGGGCATCTCACGGGTGACATTTCCGTAGATGGCCGCTATAAGGTTATTATGTAGATGTTCCTTGTCGCCGGGGCCTGCGAGGATAGGGTCGATTCGTTCCGAGTATTCGACCTGGTTTAAACGTCCTGGATAATGCGTTCAGTATGCGCAACTGTAGATGCGATGCGCATGATACCTACCGGTCAAGAACTCGCTGGTGGAAGCCTTGTAAATGGACCATTGTTCGTTGCCGATGGCGGCCTTGAGGGCGGCATACGGGGCCTCGAGGTCAATTCGCGCAGGGATAATCTGGCTCGACTTTGCGATTTTGGGCGCCCCAGCACCAGAGCCAGCGAGGGTCTTGTTGGAGAGGATAGGAGTCGAGAGGCTGACGGATGGGCGACTCAGAGCCGCGGGGTCGATGTCGGGCATCTTGACAGGAGACGAACAGGCGACGGCGGCGTCGCGTGCGGCAGTGTAGCGCGGCGCGACACGGAGAAAAGACGCATGAGTTGGATAGAACGAATGGCAGCAACTCTGCGATCACGATGGAGGGATTAATTCGATGGGAAACGCATTCTGCGGTGTCTAAGTTGATGAAGCGCCCTCTAACTGTTGACGTGAGGTAAAGGGTTGATGGTTGGAGTGTAGTCCTTTTTTTGCCGCGAGGCCTGACAGAGGCGGACATCAGAGCATGGCCGAGGTAGTGGGTACATGGCTGTGCACATAGAATGATGCGCTCTGCCGAGTCACCGCTACTTTCTAGCTCCCGCACCTTCTCACCCAACAGCCTTGAACCACCACCAAACTCTCACTGTCGCGTCTGGCGCGTCTGAACCAAGTCAAGTCAACTCTATACTTCACAAATATACCAGATTTGGCGAATCTGCCTGCGCAAGCCCAATTCTTCCTGTTTTTGACTCTTGGGAGATTCACAAACGCATCAATACGATCATACTGCACCTGCTCGTCCTAAGTCGCTTGCGACGATGCCGTCATGGCTCCCGACCGCATAACCAATGCCATCGACAGCTTGATAACCCACCTCGTGCCCAGCAACCCCAACGACACTGAAGATGTCGCCCAGGAGCGCCATGATACTTGCTTTGAAATAGTCAAATCGATCATAGACAGGTAACTAACAGGCTTGCCTATTAATCCTATACCATCAACCACTAACCAGGCCTCCACAGCCCATCCTCCCCCGCTATCTCTTCCGACGTCAACCATGCCTCCGACCTCATAAAGCGAAAGCTCATCCAGAGCAATCCCACCCAAGCCCTTCGATTCTCAAATCTCTACACCAGACTTCTCTCTCTGCCCGTGCTCGAGCACAAGTGGGCTATCCTCTACTTGCTCTACCAACTGGCTGATTCTCCAGACCCCAGCGAGCCCCTCCCACTGAGCCCTGTGAAGCCATCGGCGCCCAACTACCGAGACGCCATAAACCGCGATGCTATAAAACGACAGGGCCGGGAGCGTGCGACCAAGACGTCTAGACAAGAGGAAGAGCAGTTCAAGGAGGCTTTCCAGCCAGAAGGACTCAGGAAGCTTCCACCAAAAGAGCCCAAAAAGTCGGGCAACGATGGGGATCCACGGCCCGAAGCACCCAAGAGAGATGTCTCTCTCAAGTCAACGTTACTGGCAAGCAACTATTCAGAGATCGAGCCCCCGGAATCAGTCATTCTCAGAGACCTTCCCTTTACACTACAAGGCCTATCTTCCACGACATTACCGTTTCCCAAATCAGACACCATAAAGTTACCTCCAACTCTGCCTCTACCAATCGTCTCTCTACTCCACACCTTGGCGGAGCCCTCACTACTCTATCGCGGCCTCGACGGCTTCTGCAAAACTCCTGCCAAGGGACTTCTTGGCCAGAGCTTGAGAGCGGCCATTGGTAGTGAACTCAAGTCATATTTGAGCTTGATTGCTACGCTAGAAGGACAGATTCGAAGAGCTTTGGCCTCTCTCGATGAGGAAGCGCCACGGGCAGGCATCGGGAAAGCGGGCGTGACACTGAAAAGATGCGTGGTCTGGACTCGTGAGGCAACCATGGGACTCAGATTGATGAGTCTCATCGCTGAAGAATCTGAAAAAAAGAAGGGAGGCCAGCTCGTCTCGCTCATCCACAGCTTCTCATCGTCTCATGGAGACCCTGTCGTGGCTGCTTTCGCAGAGCGCCTCCTAGGGAGCTTCACGCGGCCGTTTTACGACATCCTGCGCCATTGGATATACGACGGTGAACTATCAGATCCATATCAAGAGTTCTTTGTCAGGGAACAGGCTGCCAACAAGGACCCTTCAAAGGCCAAGGGGGCGGGCAACGTCTGGGAGGACAAGTTCGAGATTGCAACGGACATGATTCCGAGCATCATCACCCAGGATTTTGCTCAAAAGGTGTTTCTGATCGGCAAATCGCTTAACTTCATCCGACACAGCTGTGGTGATGCGATGTGGGTTGAAGACTACTCCAAGGCAGCCTCCAAGGAGCTCCGGTATGGTGACACGGCAACGCTGGAGGCTTGGATCGATGAAGCCTACAAGACGACCATGAAACGGCTCATTGACTTGATGGCCAACAAGTTCCACCTGTTTGAGCATCTACAGGCGTTGAAGAACTACATTCTCCTGGGACAGGGAGACTTCATTGCCCTCCTGATGGAGTCATTGGCTGCCAATCTGGATCGTCCTGCCGGTGCACAATACAGACATACGTTGACGGCGCAGTTGGAGCACGCCATTCGAGGCTCAAATGCTCAGTACGATTCGCCCGAGGTGCTACGACGTCTGGATGCACGAATGCTCCAACTGTCACACGGTGATATCGGATGGGATTGCTTCACGCTCGAGTACAAGATCGACGCCCCTGCTGATGTTGTTGTGACTGAATGGGGCAACCGGCAGTATCTCAAGGTCTTCAACTTCCTCTGGCGCATCAAGCGTGTGGAGTTTGCCCTGTTGTCAACCTGGCGCAAGTGCATGACAGGTTCTCGTGGCGTGCTCCAGAACCCAGACCCTGCCGTCGCTCAAGCGTGGAAGTCGACACGTGGAGTTCTCGCCGAGATGATTCACTTTGTTGGCCAGCTTCAGTACTACATCCTATTCGAAGTTATTGAATCCTCGTGGGGCGAACTGCAGAAGCGCATCCAGAAAGAGGACTGTACTCTGGACGACCTTATCAAGGCGCATACACGCTATCTCAACGACATCACGCACAAGGGTCTGCTTGGCGCCAAGCGACGAACGCACAGCGCGGATGAGGATGACCGCACAACCTACATGATGCAGCTCGGAGAGATCCTTCGGTTCATGCTCAGCTACCGAGACTCGGTCGACGGCCTCTACAGCTGGAGTGTGTCGGACTTTACCCGGCGGCAGGAGGCCGATGTACGGAGCACCACGCGGTTCAACGACGAGCACGACGACACTCCAACAGCAGGCTCGGGGGCGGTAACGTCCGAGTTTCCCGTCCTGCAGGAGCGGCTGCGGCATCTGGGCGTATCATTCAGGACCCGCCTGCAGATCCTCCTCGGCGATCTCGCGTACCAGCCAGACGTGGACATGCGGTTCTTAGGTGTCGCCATGAACTTCAACGACGTGTACCAACCTACGAGGAGAAAGACCAAGGTTGCGGGTTCCTCAACGGCGACGCGCAGTGCGTCGGCATCAAGGGGCTGAGGGGGCTCTTTGTTTGGGTGTGGGCGAGCGAGCGCTGGGCGTGGCTCGACGAGTTGGAGAATCGCCGAGTGCATAGCGATGGGTATCATGCTTGTTTGCGGGAATCCGGAGTTAATACACACATGTTATTTGGCGCAATCTGGCAATGCCGGCCGGTATAACACTTCCGATGCCTTTGTGATGTTGTGACGGGTTCGAGCTAGTTCCCAGGGTTTGCCACCTTGGTGAACGAGAGGCCAGTCTAGACTAGTTAGTTCTCGGGGCAGGCAACAGTCTTGGTGTTGCTATTATGGTATCTTTAAGGCCCAACCATATGCATGATAGAGTTGCCAACTGGCGGGCCAGAGCCTCGGGTAATCTCCATCACATTCGAGGTTCTTGGTGATGGTCCAGGGTAATCAGATAAGTCGCAAGTCAAGAACGCCTTGTTGCCACCTCACCCGATGTTAGGGAATGATATCTGACTCGTCAACTTGAAATTGATGTTGAAGGGTGTATGAGAGCCCCAACGTCGCATCATGCCATGCCACGTGCTCAGTTATCAACCCGCGAGGTCATGAGGCAACCATAAAGACAAAGTTGGGAAAGCCGTGTCAGATACAGTAGAACAAGTTGGGGGTAGCCGCCGAACCCTGAGTGTATCCAGGGTAACTCGCATCCTAGTACGGATACACCCGTTTTAATCCGTTCAAGGCCACCTATGAGATGGAAATAACCTCGCTAGCCGCCCGTGGAGTTTCCCCGTGTAATATCCCGACTACCTAGGGAGAGAAGCCCCATGGGGCAGGAGGGTTCGATAGTCGAATGTAAGCAAGATAACGGATTACTCAAGATAACAAACGTTCAACTCAGAATTCCGGTTGAACTGGGCTCCCCCCTGTCCAACGTCCGGCGTTATCAACCCGGCGGGATAGGTAAGGAAAAGAGATAAGCCGTTTGCTTTTCCGTGTCGGGGGCTTACCCCCAACTATCTTAACCCTATCGAGCAGGTAGTGAGAGAAGGATAAGAGCTGTACTGGAGGGTATTGTCTCGACGACTGAGTCAAACAGTGTGATCGGCCAACGGCTCATGTGAAAAGGGCGAGCTGTTGATCTGCCATTTGCCTCAATACGGCCGTAGTCTGATACCGGCTGCGTACACTGAGATGGCTCGTGTCACCAGGGAGTTCCCCGGCAGAGGAGCAACAGAAACGCTCCAGTAACGTTTGAGACGCCATGGTCAACGACGGAAACTCAAATGGCGTGCATGACATCCCGATCCTAGGCACAGGGCATATCCGTATCAAGGATATGTTGAAAGCGCCTGGAGGATCTGCCTGCAAGGTCTTAAATCCAGGAGGAAGTGGTAAGCAAGCGCAACTTGATCAACCAACTTCAATGTATCCAAGACATAGAGCCTATCGGCCCCCCAACAGCTGAGACGTCCTCGATAAACACACCAAAGATGTGTAAAATGGCTGCCACCACGGATTACTGAAACGGCTCGCTACGCATGATGATCTGGGGTAATATTCAGGGAGCAACAACCCCGGCGGCGTGGCGTGCCAGAATGCAGGAAGAAAAAAAGCTGGAGCCGTGCATGAGAATCGCGACTCAGTCCGCTAAAGATCGACAGGGCAAACTCGCAGACCGCTACGGGTATCTGCCGACAAGGTCTCCATCCCACCACATATCCAATATCGACGGTCCAGCCAGAAAGTATGAGGCTGCTTGGTGTTCCAGAATGCTCTTCTCAAGCAGGTACGCGTCCC